CAGAAGTGGTGAACTTCCACCATCCCTAATTGTTGGCTGGATGGAGGGGTTTTGAAGGCTAGCAAGATGTAGAGAGCTATGAGTCACTCCACGCCTCTCTAACCCCATTTGCTTAGTTTGTTTTTATAAATAACTCAAGACAATCCTACATAATACTCCTTCCTCCTCCTATTTTGCCCACAACAATAACTGTGAGGTGAGTTGGGCTAGGAGAGAATAATAATAATAATAATAATAATAATAATAATAATAATAATAATAATAATAATAATAATAATAATAATAATAATAATAATAATAATAATAATAGTAGTAGTAGTAGTAGTAGTAGTAGTAGTAGTAGTAGTAGTAGTAGTAATAAAGTTGGAAGGGACCTTGGAGGTCATCTAGTCCAACCCCCTGCTCAGGCAGGAAACCCTATACCATTTCGGACAAATGGCTGTCCAGTTTCTTCTTAAAAACCTCCAGGTGGCTTTCATGCCTAAGGCAGGACTGGAACTGGAACTCACAATCTCCTGGGGATTGGCCCAAAGACACCTTGCTGGCTTTCACACCTAACTCACCATCTCCCAGACCAGGGGTGGGCAACCTTGTCTCTTTTATGACTGATGGACTTCAACTCCCAGAATTCCTGAGCCAGCCATGCTGAGGGGAAAGGGAGCGGTTTCCATGCTGGCTCAGGAATTCTGGGAGTTGAAGTCCACGAGTCATGAAAGAGCCAAGGTTGCCTACCCCTGCCCTATCCTGTTCTTCTACTCTAGGCCAAGGGGTTTCCAAACTTGGCAACTTTAAGACTGGTGGACTTCAACTCCCAGAATTCCTGAGTCAGCCATGCTGAGGGGAAAGGGAGAGGTTTCCATGCTGAGCCATGCTGGCTCAGGAATTTTGGGAGTTGAAGTCCACGAGTCATAAAAGAGCCAAGGTTGCCTACCCCTGTCCCAGACTGTAGCCTGATGCCACTAAACCAAACCGGCTCTGATGTCTGTGTTTCCCTCCATTCTGTCATCGTATAATAATAATTCATTTAGCTAAATTGCTGAATTCTCAGAGAGTCTGGGCAGGTCCCGACAATGAAAAGCATTATAATAAAATCAATAAAACATTTTTTAAAAAAAGATAAAAGATGGCAAGCGTAACGAATCGAGAAGTACCTGGAGAGGCAGTCACTTGCTCTCAGTCCAACCCACTCCACAGGGTTGTTGTTGTGGGGAAAAGAGTGCCACTTGCCCTCACAGCTAAATGTAATAATGAAGTTTGATACAATTTGGGTGATGCAATGAAGCACGGGCATTGTAGTACCTTTATCCTAAACGCTTTTCCTTTAAAACTGGGCCTACTGACAATTGTCGGCCTGTCATTTGCCAAATGGGACCGTGTCAATTTATTTGTGGGTGGGGGGTGTGTGTCTCAGACACAATCAGAACAAGATCTGGGATTTTGGCTCCCAGATTTAATGGCTGCTGGCTAGCAGCCCCCTTTTCAAGAAAAAAAAGGTGTTCTCAAAGGATAATTTTCTTCGGTTCCTAATAGAGCTCTACTGCTGAACAAGCAACCACTGAAAATGCTTATCAGATCTAGAACAGCATCCTCTGTGTTGATTGAGAACATCGAGCAGGGATTTTCTCAGCCCTAAAAATGAGAGGCAGCTTACGTTTAAGGCCTTTGGCACGCAAAAACATGTATTCTGCCTTTTTTTTTTTTTTGCGTTCTTGAAAAATATGTTTCTATACCCCCTCTGCAGGAGCCAAACTCTGTTCTTTTCTTGCTTCAGCCATTTAGCACTGTCCTCTTGGATAGCAACAAAATGTAGCTAGCTTTTCTTGACGAAGTGACTTTTCTTTCAACTGACCAGCATGCTAACTTTCTGTCAAAACAGAGCTGTGCATTTGATGACGAGAGCCCTCTGTCCTGCTCAAATGTCAGTGAAGAGATAAAAACAGAAGAGCAGGTAAGCACAGAAAAGTTTTCAAAGTGTATGTTGGAAGAGAATAATAATAATAATAATAATAATAATAATAATAATAATAATAATAATAATAATAATAATAATAATAACAACAACAACAACAACAACAACAACAACAACAACAATAGTAAAGTTGAAGGGGACCTTGGAGGTCATCTAGTCCAACCCCCTGCTCAGGCAGGAAACCCTATACCATTTTGGACAAATGGCTGTCCAGTCTCTTCTTAAAAACTTCCAGTGTTGGAGCATTCACCGCTTCTGGAGGCAGGTTGTTCCACTGATTCTAACTGTCAGGAAGTTTCTCCTTAGTTCTAGGTTGCTTCTCTCCTTGCTTAGTTTCCACCCGTTGCTTCTCGTCCTGCCTTCAGGCGCCTTGGAGAATAGCTTGACTCCCTCTTCTTTGGGGCAGCCCCTGAGATATTGGAAGACTGCTATCATGTCCCCCCTCGTCCTTCTCTTCACTAAACTAGACATACCCAATTCTAGCAACCGTTCCTTATATGTTTTAGCCTCCAGTCCCCTAATCATCTTTGTTGCTCTTCTCTGTACTCTTTCTAGAGTCTCAACATCTTTTTTACATCGTGGTGACCAAAACTGGATGCAGTATTCCAAGTGTGGCCTTACCAAGGCATTGTAAAGTGGTATTAATACTCCACGTGATCTTGATTCTATCCCTCTGTTAATGCAGCCCAGCACGTAGCTGATGATTTTAGTGTTGCTCCAATTGAACTGGTGTTGTTGGTGTCGGTATGGGTAGAGGTTAAGGATTTCAATTCTCTTCTTTAAATAGGAAACCTGTTGCTCTCAAAGACTAGGAACCCAACTCTACTGGCCTTGGAGTACGTGCTGGTCCACACAAGATATCTTACTGTTAGGTAAGCTTAAAATATGCCTTGGCTGCCAGTGGGTTGGTTAAAAGGAGGAGCCCTGGAAGAAGAAAACTGTATCTGATTTGCATGTTGCTATGTGTTATTTTTTCAAAATTTGAATTTATTTTTTTTGAAGAAAAGGGTAAGGTGAAAGACATGGAAGCAACATGGTCAAAGTTAAGGAATTCTTCCGCTTGTAACATCATTTTCCAAGTTCTTTCACCCCCTTTTATTATGATTATTCAGTTAAGTTAATGCTTTCTCATCAATATTATTGTATGTGTTTATGCTTCTGTTGATTAGCGTTTGTATCTATCGTCCATCTATGGGTGAAGATTAAAGCATGCATCCTTTTTTTTTAAATCGCGTAGCTCAGGAGCAATTAAAAAAAGGCTCTGATTGAAATGAGCTTATTGAACAATTAAGTTTTTTGAGAGGTCATTTGTACGTTTAATGCAGAACTCTCAGATTACAAAAAACTCTTTGAAATTGGCCACAGGGCTTACATCTTGGAGGATCAAACCGTACTTTGCAATATCCCGACTCAATTATCCCAAAGGTGTTTTCTTTCCCAAAAGGCAACTGGACCTTCTTGGTGTTTTCTTTGAAAATGTTTCTCTTTTCATCCAAGAAGCTTCTTGGATGAGAAGTGAAATGTTTTCAAAGAAAACATCAAGAAAGTCCAGATGCCTTTTAGGGAAAAAAACACCTGTGGGACAACCATGACCTCGATCAGGGGTAGGCAGCCTTGGCTCTTTTATGACTCGTGGACTTCAACTCCCAGAATTCCTGAGCCAGCATGGCTCAGCTTGGAAACCTCTCCCTTTCCCCTCAGCATGGCTGGCTCAGGAATTCTGGGAGTTGAAGTCCACCAGTCCTAAAAGAGCCAAGGCTGCCTACCCCTGACCTAAGTGATTGAGAATCTCCATAGACATCCCAACTTGATCTGCATGATTCCAGGTAAACAAAGTCACATTTTCTGGGCTTCCTCTCATTAATAATCCTGCCACCTCTCCTTCTCTGTATCTTTAACAGAAGCTTTGTCACTTGATTCTCTGCGACTGCTTCGAAGAAGCTCTCTACCCGGGACTGTTGGAAATTCTCAAATATTATTGATATTTGGGAAACAACACTTAAGAAATGGAACCACCTCGGATGTGATATTGGATGAATGCAAGTAAGATCACAGACCCAGCTTTTAAAATGTTGAGTCTTCCAAGGTTGATAAAGGCTACACACAGCTCAATAGATAATTTTTATCCTACATTGCCAGTATCTTCTCACTTGATTCTTATGATAGTTACCTATTATATCCTAGTGACTTCTGTTCCCTTTTATATATGATTCAAATAAGCAAATCTACAGAGCTTCTTTGGAGCTTAAGAAGACATTCGTAGACATTCAATATCTTAACAGCCCATCTTTTCCTTTATAAAAGTGGGCAGTTCGTGTGAACACTTCCAGTCATTACGCATTAATTGGGCAACTCTTGGGCCAAATATCTTTTACAAATATCGTAAGGATTTCTTTTTGAGCAAGCAATGTTGTTAGAAGCTTCACTGCTCCTCTGGGTGGTGTTTTTGTTGTTAATTGCAAAGTCGTGTCCGACCCATCGCGACCCCATGGACAACGTTCCTCCAGGCCTTCCTGTCCTCTACCATCTTCTGGAGTCCATTTAAGCTCACGCCTCCTGCTTCAGTGACTCCATCCAGCCCCCTCATTCTCTGTCGTCCTCTTCTTCTATTGCCCTCAATCTTTCCCAGCATTAGGCCCTTCTCCAGTGAGTCCTTCTCATTAGGTGGCCAAAGTATTTGAGTTTCAACTTCAGGATCTGGCCTTCTAAAGAGCAGTCGGGGTTGATCTCCTCTAGGACTGACCGGTTTGAATGCCTTGCAGTCCAAGGGACTCACAGGAGTCTTCTCCAGCACCATAGTTCAAAGGCCTCAATTCTTTGTCCATACAATTACTATGTATGTCGAGAATGTGTTACTTTTTTAGCAGCCTGCTATTCTGAACAGCTGGCATCTTAACTCAGATATTTTTTGGTGTTAAGGTTACTTTCCTTCAGTTATAAGAATTGAGCACAGAATATTGCGAAAGGTCATCGGATGGACCCATTGTCCACTATAGGAGAGGCATCATCTGAATTTTGTCTCTCTTGGCTATGGAAGTTCTTGCTTCCAAAAGTCAAAATTTTGCAATTTCATCTCTCTGAGTTGAAGTGATTATCTCAGCTACAAGTGCCTCTGGCTTGTTACTGTTGAACAGGCACCTGAAACTAGTGAAAGCTACTCGTTCTACTTTGTCTTAGGCTGGTTTTGTGTTGCAGCTAGGGTTGGATTCTTCGCTTAAGCAAAAACTGTAGATAAAAATAACCCCCAGGGTTTCACTTTAGGGGAAGGGAAAGCTGAATAGCTGCCATATGCAAATATTGCTTTCTGCCAGCAGGTGTAATCACCATTCGGTCGGTAACCAGACAGATGCAGACCTGATCTCGGCAAGAAGGATGGATGGTGACTCTCCCAAGGTTAGTTTCATTTACTTGTTTCCAATAATGGATTCCCTAGAAGAAGACCATTCATTCAGAACCATGGAAGCAGAATTCCTTCCCTCTATGCTGTGCTGTCTCCCAAGATCGACAGAGGGTTTTTACCCACATTGATTTGGTTCGGTAAAGGAGAATATTGGTAGCTCGGCGTTGACGTGAAAGGTCCTTGATGCTCTCTGAGCTTCTTTGTTTTCTTGCAGGTGTTTCATTACCCAAACTAGGTAACATCCTCAGTGTTAATCATCATCAGTCACTAGCATTGATGATGTTATCTAGTATGAAACGTCTGCGAGAAAACAAGCAAGCTCAGAGAGCACCAAGGACCCCTGATTTGGTTCATTTGAAACTTGAAATTCACAAGTTCATTCAAAACTCTGCAATCCACACATGCTTGTCCTTCTGAGGAGATGTTATACAACCTGCTAGGACACACACATAGATAATTGGATAGATTTACTTGGTGCTTGATGGGCATTTGAATGCATGAATCAGTTAGATGCAAACCGAGCACCATATATCTGTAGAATCTTGACAATTAAATTTAAAAAGTTATACTTTGTTAGATTTTTCCTCGCAGTTGTCTTGTCCGTTATGAATTGTGGCATCCCAGGTTCAAATGTACTTTTTCCCCCCAAATGCAAAATGTCCATCCTAATCCAGCTGTCCCAGTTAGTTCTCCTCCAGTTCCCAGAAAACCAATTCTTTGTGCTGGTGTCTCAAAATATCTGGAGGATAATAAATTGAGGAAGATTCTCTTTAACTATCCTAGGAATAAAAGACTTCATTTATAGGACTAGGGTATGATAATTCTGGCATGGCTGGAGAATTCTGGGAATAGAATAGAATAGAATAGAATAGAATAGAATAGAATAGAATAGAATAGAATAGAATAGAATAGAATAGAATAGAATAGAATAGAATAGAATAGAGCTGGAAGGGACCTTGGAGGTCTTCTAGTCCAGCCCCCTGCTCAAGCAGGAGAATCTATACCAGTGGTGGCAAACCTATGGCACGGGTGCCAGAGGTGGCACTCAGAGCCCTCTCTGTGGGCACGCACGCCGTCGCCCCAGTCCTGGGCCTTCAGCTGGGTTTTATAAAACCTTTTCGCTTTAGGCCTCCGCCGCCGTGTGCAAAAAAAAAAAAAAAGGTTCAATCGATCAGTCAATTTCAACTTCTTGCGGGGAAAAAAAAGATCTTGCAAAGTTGGAATTGATTGATTGAACTTTTTAGTCCCACCCAGTCTGCCGTTACGACAGCCACGCCCGCCCAATGGGCCACACCCACCCAATGGGCCACACCCACCCGGCACCTGACGATGCATAAGTGGGTTTTGGGTTGCAGTTTGGGCACTTGGTCTCTAAAAGGTTCGCCATCACTGATCTATACCATCTTAGACAAGTGACTATCTAGTTTCTTTTTTTTTTTTAAGAAATTTTATTTTTTTTCCATCATAAAAAACAATCATAACATAAGTAAACACAATAACAAGTAAAAAAAAACCCCACCCACCCCCCCGGACTTCCCAAACCTAATCCCAGGATAATATTCATATAAAAGTAAGCAAATACTAATATCTCTAACTCCACAAAATATCTTAATCTACATGAAAAGATAGAAAGAGTAAGCAAACTTAGAAAGTCTAAAAACCTAAATTATATTCTACCACTCTATGCTTCTTTTGAATATAAACAATCCATCTTCTCCATATTGATAAAAATTGTTCATTCGAATGATTCTTCAAATAAGCCGAAATCTTTGCCATTTCAGCAAGATACGAAACTTTCAATCTCCAGTCATGACTATCTAGTTTCTTCTTTAAAATCTCCAGCGATGGAGCGCCCACAATTTCTGGAGGCAAGCTGTTCCACTGGTTAATTGTCCTCACTGTCAGGAAGTTTTTCCTTAATTCCAGGTTGCTTCTATTTTTGATCAGTTTCCAACCATTGTTTCTCATCCTGCCCTCTGGTGCTTTGGTGAATAACATGGCAGCCCCTCAGATCCTGGAACACTGCTATCAGTGTTCCAGGGGGAGGGCCTTCTCGGTGGGAGCTCCCACCCTCTGGAACGAACTACCCCCAGAGATCCGGGTGATCCCGGATCTCCCCTCCTTCCGCCGCGCCCTTAAGACATGGCTCTTCCAACAAGCGGGATTGGCCTAGGGGAATTTTTAGTGGGGTTTTAAGAATAATTTTAAATTGACACAGGCCACATCAAATATTTCATTTTAATTAGGTTTTAAAGTGGGTATTTTTATCTTTGTATCTGTTTTATCAGGCTGTCAGCCGCCCTGAGTCCGTAAGGAGAAGGGCGGGATAAAAATTCAAATAATAAATAAATAAATAAATAAATAAATATCATGTCTCCCCTATTTCTTCTTTTCTTTAGACTAGCCAAACCCAAGTCCCGCAACCGTTCTTCGTATGTCTTAGTCTCCAGGCCTTCGATCATCTTGTAGACCTAGTAGATTAGTAGACCTATTATCTGAAAGCTGCCAAGGTTGAGAGACACTGATCTCCTCCATCCATACAGAATATTTGGGAATAGTTCAGGCTGAAATTTACTGCATCTGGGAAAAAAATCAGAGATGGAAAAAAGTATGCCTGCCTGACAATGTTGCTAACTTTAACACCTTTCAGCTTTGTAGCTAAGTCTCACCAATGGTGAAAGATGCTAGTAGCAGTAATTATACAGTACAAGTAGACCTCGGCTTACGATTACAACTGAGCCCCAGATTTCTGTTGCTAAGCGAGACCCTTGTTAAGTGATTTCTACTCCATTTTACGACCTGTCTTGCTACAGTTGTTAGGTGAATCTGCCTTAACGGTTGTTAAGTGAATCTGGCTTCCTCACTGACAGAGATTAACTGAGTTTTGCCCCATTTTACGACCGTTTTTGCCACAATTGTTAAGGGAATCACTGCAGTGGTTGAGTTAGTACGTGCCGGGGAAATCAGGAGATTCGGGCTGTTCAAATGAGTATAAAGATTTATTGCAAACGTAAGCTCTCCGCAAGAATCTGAGCTACTAACGGTCAAGGTGAAATCATGGGAATTAAGAATAAAAAAGAATTCAAGGTGGGCTGGGCTTAGATCTCTTGTGGGCACTCGAGGACTCATGACTGATGACGCATTTGACCCCTCCCTCGGGCTCAGCCTGGTCATCTACTACAGTAACATGGTTGTTAAGTGAATCTGGCTTCCTCATTGACTTTGCTTGTCAGAAGGTCACTAAAGGAGATCACGGGACACTGCAACTGTCATAAATACAGGCCAGTTGCCAAGCATCCACGGTCACATGACCCTGGAGATGCTGCAGTGGTCATAAGTGTGAAATGGTATCTATAAGTGTTGGAGGGAGAGAAAATCCCTGCTTTTGCTTCAGGGAATCTACGGTATTGAGTGCTGGAGACCAGATAATAAATGTGGTATTCATTTGTAAAGAAAAAAAAAGGAAGAAGAAAAAAAATGGACCGGCCTAGCCTTTTTCGTCTAGCTTTCCTCGTGTTTAAATGGGTCCTTGCAATAGAGATCTGTCGCTCTTTTTTTGAACTTCTCCTAGGGGCTTTTTAGAGAACAGCTGTTGTTAAAATAAACCGAATGAAACGGTGGACTCTGCTCCAAAGCAAATGACGATGGAAATAACATTAACCACAGGAAAGCTGCACAATCAAATTGGTCCCTCACAGTATTTCTCCCAAATAACTAAGTCTTAGGCTGGTTTTATTTATTTAGGAAATCGATCTGGTAGCATATTGATTATATTAACAATAGGATTTATTGTGGGAGATGAACAGACTGGGATGGAAGGCGGGGTTAAACATGTCATTTGTGGGGTGTCATCGCGCAGCCACAAGAGTCCAGCCTTCCGTGAATTCTGAAGACCTCATCTAGCACCAATTTAGCTTTCACTGTTGACTAGATTCTTGTATATTAGCAAGCCATAATAAACTCTTCTGTGCTTTGAACTCAACAAATGCTCCTGGTTATTGGCTCCTGACATTTATTGTTGTTGTTGTTGTTAGTTGCAAAGTCGTGTCCAACCCATCGCGACCCCATGGACAACGTTCCTCCAGGCCTTCCTGTCCTCTGCCATCTTCTGGAGTCCATTTAAGCTCACGCCTACTGCTTCAGTGACTCCATCCAGCCACCTCATTCTCTGTCGTCCCCTTCTTCTCTTGCCCTCCATCTTTCCCAGCATTAGGCTCTTCTCCAGGGAGTCCTTCCTTCTCATTAGGTGGCCAAAGGACTTGAGTTTCAACTTCAGGATCTGGCCTTCTAAAGAGCAGTCAGGGTTGATCTCCTCTAGGACTGACCGGTTTGATCGTCTTGAAAGCAGTCTCCAGGAAATGTCCCCATGCCTCATTTTTTATATATCTATACAAATAAATGTTTCCAATGCTTTTTGTTTGGCTATAAATGCTAAGATGTTTCATCTTTTTTCAAGGAGAGAGATGCCAGAGCATTAACAGATACCTTATTCAGGTAAGAGAAAATCTATCCATTATCTAATCCACCCTGTTTTTCTTCTATTGGATTGTACACTCATCTCTCATTCTTTTCCCAGTGAACTACTTTCATCCGAAGAAACTTTTGTCTCTGCCGCAGAGGGCATTAAAGAATCACAAGGTACGTTGAGCGGTAAGTAGAGTAAAGAACATCTCAATTTTTTGTGGGTTTCCGCAGCAAACGACAATGACCCCAGAATGACAACTCATGGTCAGTGATAACGTCAGAAAGAAACATTGGCTGTGATTGTTCCAATAGTAAACCTCTCTGATCTGAGCAGGGGGTTGGACTAGAAGACCTCCAAGATCCCTTCCAACTTTACTACTACTACTACTACTACTACTACTACTACTACTACTACTACTACTACTACTATTATTATTATTATTATTATTATTATTATTATTAATCATCGCACAATCAGCCAAATGTTCAGACTGGATTTGGCATTTTTATCTGCATCATCATCTTCATCATCATCATCATCATCATCATTATTATTATTAATGATCGCACAATCAGCTAGATGTTCAGACTGGATTTGGCATTTTTATCTGCATCATCATCATCATTATTATTATTATTATAGCAGAATAGATGAGAAAGAACTGGAGAAGATAACAAAATACAAAGACCTACAAATAGAAATAGAACGACTGTGGCAAAGGCAAGCAAGGGTAGTACCAATAGTAATAGGCGCCTTGGGTGCAATCCCAAAACAACTGGAGCACCACTTGAACACCATCATTGGCATTGACAAATTCGCCATTAGTCAATTGCAAAAGGCAGCCTTACTAGGAACTGCTTCCATCCTGTTACGATATCTGTAATATCATCAAACATCCACATCTGCCTATTCCAGGTTCTTGGTAAGGACTCGATAGATAGACAAAAATGCCAAATCCAGTCTGAACATCTGTGCGATCATCATCATCATCATCAATAATAATAATAATAATAATAATAATAATAATAATAATAATAATAATAATAATAATAATAATAATAATAATAATAATATCTTCCACAGATTACGGTGAGAATCCAGATTTGGCTTTTCCTACACCTATAAAGAACTAAATATTTTTTCCTAACTAGCATTTTTCTTCCTTCACAACCAAGAATTCTGTAATTTGGGGGGGAGGGGCGAATGCAGAGAGACTCAGAAACATGGTTGAAAGCCATCAAATTATGTCCACTTAACAGAAGCCTGGTGTTTCTTCTATTGAAATGTATGAAAATCTTTAAACATCTGGATATCATATTAGCATTTTTTCCCCCTCGTCTTCTGCCTTTATAGATACGGACTCTACACTACTGGAACCGGAGGGGAAAACACACCTTTCTACTTTAGGGTTGCCGGAAGCAACAGCTGTTTCAGAAGAGGAAGCTGCAGAAGATGCCTCCAGCAACAAGACTGGTATTGGTGTTACTCTTGAGCCCCTTGACAAGCAGGAAGCTAGTGAATGCTACAAGTAGTCCTTGACTTACAACAGTTCATTTAGTGATTTACAACGGCACTGAAAAAAGTGATTTATGAGCATTTTTCACACTTACGACTATTGCAGCATCCCCATGGTCACGTGATCAAAATTCAAATGCTTGGCAACTGACTCCTATTTATGACGGTCGCAGTGTCCCGGGGCCATGTGATCCCCTTTTGCGACCTTCTGACAAGCAAAGTCAATGGGGAAAGCCAGATTCACTTAACAACCATGTTCCTAATTTGACAACTGCAGTGATTCACTTAACAACTGTCTCCTAGCAACGAAACCTTTGGGCTCAATTGTAAGTCGAGGACTACCCGTATTCCTGGAGTTTGGATTGAACCAAAATAGGCTTGCTTTCACACCTTGCATGAAGCCATGGCTTACAAGTCACAATGACTGACTTAACAGATCACACTCAGCCAAGATCTCAAGAAGGTTTCATGCAGCATGTAAAGCCAGCCGTGTCCTTAACTTGGACAGGGTTCACCACCACTGTGTGACTGAATTACTATTTTTTTCTAATTGTAATCTACATTGAGCAACTAAATATTCCCTTCCATTCTTTGATGCTCAGTTACTATTTGTTTTATTTTTGACACTGTCTTCCTCTTAAGTAACTACGAAAATTCTCAATCATCCAGCTCACGGTTGTCCCAAAGATGCTTTTTTCAAAAGGCAACTGGACTTTCTTGGAGTTTTTTTTTCTTTAAAAACATTTTGTTTCTCATCCAAGAAGCTTCTTGGATGAGAAGCGAAACATTTTCGAAGGAAAACACCAAGAAAGTCCAGTTGACTTTTGGAAAAAGCACCTTGGGACTGTCGAAAGAAAAATCTTCATCAGGGTCCAGTCCAAGCCGGGAATAAACAAAATGGAGACTGTTTTAGAAAGAAGGTTGTAGTTTATTGAAGAGGAGAGCCAGACAGAAAGACGGCTCTGAAAAAACTGACCACATGTAGTAGGGAGTGGTGGGTTTTTATACCTTCCTGAGCTTTTGTTTGGAGTTGTTCCTGTGGCATGAACTTTGACCTGAGTCTGAGTGTGCCTTTCTGGTATTCTGATGGTGCTGGGTTAATCCTATTATGTCCCAAAGGTCATATCCTGCTTCCCTGGGGCTGTGGCTGATGACTGTTTGGTGTGAGGGATTGTTGATTCTTGTCTTTCTAATCCAAGCTTCCTGGCTCCAATCTTTCTGACAAGATTATCACATCTGCATTTCTGCAGACCTGGTTTCTGTCTGGGGCAGAGAGACTTGGTGGGGGGGTTGGTTTCTGCCTTTAAGATCCTTTGGGGAAATATAATATTCTGCCTTTTAATATTCCCCCAAATATTTCTTTCTCTGGGGGGGAGGGGGCTGATTTCCCACAGGACCTCCACTTAAATAATCTTCCCTCCCAACTTGTAGTCTTTGAAGGCACCAAAGGACTTCTGTAATAATAGTAATAATAGTCACGAACAAAACAGTCTCATCTGGTTGCATGGGTCTGATCTGAGCTTTCTGGGAATCTTTTGGGAGTTTTCCACTCATGAAAATGGGCCCTGGTAGAGCATCAGCAGAAGACAACCTACTCAATGCTCATGGCTTCTCTTCTTTTGCAGGTGATTCATCTTCATGTCAGGATCTGTCAAGCAGTGTCATGTGCCAAAAGAACCAGGATAAGTAAGTATCAGGTTTCAGAAATATACTCAAGTTATGGTGGGGGGGAACCAATATAACGACTATAGTAGGATGCCAAGTGCTTAGCCTGTTTTTTCTGTGTGTTGCAGCTTTATTTTTGCACTGTTCTAGATGCCATCATTTTTGTGGCTTTTCCTGGAATAACTCACCAGGTATTCTGCTTTAAAGCTCCATGTTCTGTGCTGTAGTTGATGTGCCATTGTGGATCTGTTCAACTGAAATGTCAGCAGTTTATCCTCTCCCTGAGGGCATAAGGATTGGTCTGCAGATATCCCCTAAGAGTAGACCTTGTTCCATCTTGTGAGGTCCCCAACCCCCTTGAGATATGGTGGTGCTGGGACTCCAGACCTTTTGGCCAGAATGGTTGATAAATGAGGAATTTGGAGAATTGCAGTTCCAGTTAATCTGCGAAGGCCTTAGAACAGGGGTTCTCAACCTTGGCAACTTTAAGACTTGTGGACTTCAACTTCCAGAATTCTGGGAGTTGAAGTCCACAAGTCTTAAAGTTGCCAAGGTTAAGAACCCCTGCCTTAGAAGAAGATATTCCAGGTCTGTGTATCTATTAATATCCTTCCTTTTGTTCTTCTCATTTCAGTGGCTCTCCCAATGAGAAAGAAGTGGAGGTAAGCATGGGTGTATTGGTTGCTTTTTCTACCTCCTCTTCAGCAGTGAGATTTAACCGGTTCGCACCAGTTCAGCAGAACCGGTAGCTAATTTTTTGTTGAGTTCGGCAAACCGGCTGAATCCCACCACTGGATGGCATCCACTGAAGCTCTAGCCCTTTTTTGCAAGGCCCAGAACAGCCCTCCAGAAGTGCATGGATGCCACTTCCGGAAGTCCGTTCTGGGCCTCAGAGGCCCGGAGGAGGCCTCCCAAGCTCAGAATGGCCAGCAGGAAGTATGTGGATACCACTTCCAGAGGGCCATTCTGAGCCTGGGAGACCTCCTCTGGGCCTCCGAGGCCCAGAACAAACTTCCAGAAAGGGCATCCACGCAGAGAACCGGTTGTTCATGTATTTGAATCCCACCACTGCTCCTCTTGGTATGTGTTCATACTTTTTAACGGTGTTTCCAGGAGAGGGGGGAAGGGAAGCAGGATTCTGTGTGTGGGATCATGACGAGTCCATGTTTTCTGTTTGAGCATCTGCTAGTATTGCCTAAAACAAGGTGGCAGGTTAGGACCTGGTTAACTGGAGACAGCATGTTAATTTGAGCTTCTTTGTTCCATCTACCTATATTCTATGTCAGCGTGATACTTTCTCCATTTGAGGTAGGTTTGGGCCGTTGGAATTCATGATCTAACAAACAGGAACGTCCTAGGAAACCCTCATTGTTGAATTAACTCCCAGGATTAGTGTTTAACTGAATGTAAATAAGTGAAATAAATAGTTACTTTGGGGCACTAGTGCCATCTATTGCTTATTAGATTAACCATGCGCAAAATGATTTGAGTTGAACTCTTTGAATTAAATATTCTGATTTTGAGCATGAAGACACTTTTCGGAGTGCAATACAGCCACTGTAAGTGCGAAAAGAGCCTCCCTCCCCAGCAGTTGGATGTGTCTTATGTTCCAAATACCTCTGTTTCAAGAGCAGAACAGCATTCAAAAATCAAAAAGTTTGGAGTGTGCTTGAAACAGCCCGTTTCACACTTCAAATGGTTGGTTTTACCTTACATGTGGATTATTTCAGAATTGAACTGGTTTGACTTGAAACATTTGGCACCTCCTGCACTGCCACCCAGATACAGATGCAGAATAACAGAGTTGGAAGGGACCTTGTAGGTCATCTAGTCCTACCCCCCTGCTCAAGCAGGAGACCTTATACCATTTCAGACAAGTGACTGTCCAGTCTCTTCTTGAAAGTCTCCAGTGATGGAGCACCCATAACTTCTGAAGGCAAGCTGTTCCATTGGTTGATTGTTCTCACTGTCAGAAAGTTTTTCCTTATTTCTAGGCCCAAGATCATTCAGAATTCAACTTGAGATTCTTTCCTGCTGGAAGCAATAACAGATTTTTATTTATTTTATTTTATTTTATTTTAATTTTATTTTATTTTATTTATTTTTATTTTATTTTATTTTATTTTATTTTATTTATTTTATTTTATTTTATTTTATTTTATTTTATTTTATTTTATTTTATTTTATTTTATTTTATTTTATTATTTTATTTTATTTTATTTTATTTTATTTTATTTTATTATTTTATTTTATTTTATTTTACTTTACTTTACTTTACTTTACTTTACTTTACTTTACTTTACTTTTATTTTTAACTAGCTGTTCCCAGCCACGCGTTGCTGTGGCTCAGTCTGGTAAAAGCATGTGTTGCTTTTATGTCCAACAGATGGCGCTGTTTTTCAAAAAAGCATGTTTTTACCTGTCACAGGTGTGACATCTATATAATATAGGTATATAAAAACACGTGCGTATTTGAATGCAACGTTGTATCAAAATTTCAAAGCAATCGGTGAAGAACTTTCAGAGATTTAAGATTTTGAACAAACGAACATTTACATTTTTATTTATATAGATTTAATTTTATTTTTATTTTTATTTTTATTATTTTTGCACAGAGAGAGATTAATCAACTGGTAATCTGCCTAGTAAGGATGTCTGCTCCTCTTCTGTTTTCCAGGCAGAATTCCTACGGCTGTCTCTTGGATTCAAATGTGATCTCTTTACTTTAGAGAAGAGAGTCAGGCTTGAAGAACGATCTCGGGATCTTGCGGAAGGGAGCCTGAGGAAAGAAATTGCCGGTGCTTTGAAACTACTTGATGTAAGAAGGAGGAAGATGGGTTCTGTCCTATACATCTATGGCTTCAGAGGGTGAAGGCAGACTTAACTTCTAGATCAGTTTTTTTTCTCAGCTTTGGCCATTCTTAAAGTGGGAGAGTAAAGGATAGCAGCAAATGTCCCGTATCTAAGCCTGAAGCAGAGGGACCCAAAGGAAGCTGATTCTCCCAAGGAGACCAGGATAGTAAGAGCTAGTGTGGGATATGTCTGTGGAGATTCTCAGTCATCCAGGTGATAATTATCCCAAAGGTGCTTTTTCATGAGGCAACTGGATTCTCTTGTTTTTCTTTGAAGACGTTTCGCTTCTCGTCCAAGAAGCTTCTTCAGCTCTGACTGGATGGTGGGGAATGGAAGGATTTATACTCCTTGCAGACAGCTGGTCATTTGCATTCTTTTAGAGAGTCGTAGAGGCCACCTGGAGGTTTATCTGTGTCTTCAGGGTCACCTGAGTGGTGCAAATGGGTGTGTGAAGCCTTCTTGGAACTGTTGAAAGGACTGTGTTGTGGATTGGAGATTAGTGTAGGACAGGGGTCTTCAAACTTGGCCCTTTTATGACTTGTGGACTTCAGCTCCCAGAATTCCTCAGCCAGGCATGCTGGCTGAGGAATTCTGGGAGTTGAAGTCCACAAGTCATAAAAGGGCCAAGTTTGAAGACCCCTGGTGTAGGATAATGGTGAAGGTCTTGGACTAACAAAAGGAAAACTCAGCCTCTAATGTCTAGAATAGGGGTGTCAAACTCAATTTCATTGAGGGCTGCATCAGCATTGCGGTTGCCCTCCAGGGGCCGGGCGGGTGTGTCCTACTGGGTGGGTGTGGGTGGAGTGGGTGGGGCCTATTGGGTAGGCATGGTCAGCTCTACATCATTTGCGTCAAGGGTGCCTGTGGGGGCCTGGGCAGGAGTGGGACAGATCTGAGGGTCTCTGGCAGAAGGGGGTGGGATCGGGGCAAGGGCCAAGGCATGGTCCACTGGAGGAGCCTCACTGCCTGCTGAAACCCCTCCGCCGGAGCCCATCAAGCCAGATATGTGAAGTAGGCGAGGGCCATTTGCTGGCCACTTCCAGGCGATGGTGCATTTCTTCATTCCTCACAAAGGGTGACACCTCCCCAGCATGCACCCAGGGGACGGGGCCAACACGGCAGGGGCTGGTTCCTCACTGTTTCTAGACGGCCTTGTGGAGCTAAGACTGAATGCATTTCAGCATAGATGGCCACCACAAAATTGTACAGTGGTTCCCGGCCGGCCTGGGCCAGGGCCAAGGCAGCGGGGGCCGTTCCCTCACTGTTTCCAGGATGGCTTCTCGGGCCACATGAAACCACTTCACGGGCCGCATCCGGCCCCCGGGCCTTGTGTTTGACATGTCTGGTCTAGAGGTTCCCTTGAGGCATTGGGCTAATCCTTGTCTCTCAGCCCAAGAACCACTGTGGTGTAATAGTGCTGGACCAGCACTAAGGAGATCCAGGTATTAGTCTGTCTTCAGTCCCATAAGCTCTGGGCCAGTCGTGCTCTCTCAGCCCAACCTGGCTTAGAAAATGGTGATAAAACGAAAGAAATCTCTACAGTACATTCTGCTCTGAAAAGAAACGGGATGGATATTTATTAATGCCTATTAATCTATATTGCTTTGCAGAGATGGTTATGCAAATCTCTAGCCACAGACAAAGAGATTTCTCTGTGCCGTGTGTGGGCGTGCTTATTGATACGAACGGCAATTACATTCTTATTGAAAACAAAAGTTTCAAAAATCATTTGCAGGGCTAAAAACCTAAAAGCGGGAGCTGGCCAGAGAGTTGTCCCATTCATTATCTTCATTCGTATAAAGCACAATGCTTTGTCTTCTTTTTTTGCATGCACATACTGGCTGTTCCTCCTTCAGTCTTTAGCCTCTCTAAGCGAAGATAATCAGGTGCTGGAGGTAGTTAATAAGCTGCAGAAGAGTTTGAACCTGCTGGATCAGCATGCCACCAGAATTGCTAGCAAAGCAGAAATGCTGGGAGCTGTTCATCAGGTAGGTGGACTGATCCAAAATTGTGAAGAATAAAAAAAGGTATTTAATAATAACAACAGCAACAACAACAACAACAATAACAATAATAATAGTAGTAGTAGTAATAATAATAATGATGATGCAGATAAAAATGCCAAATCCAGTCTGAACATCTGGCTGATTGTGCGATGATCAATAGTAGTAGTAGTAGTAGTAGTAGTAGTAGTAGTAGTAGTAGTAGTAGTAGTAGTAAAGTTGGAAGGGACCTTGGAGGTCTTCTAGTCCAACCCACTGCTCAGATCAGAGAGGTTTACTATTGGAACAATCACAGCCAATTTTTCTTTCTGACATTATCACTGATCATGATTTGTCATTCTGGGGTCATTGTTGTTTGCTGCGGAAACCCACAAAAATTATAATATAATATAATAATAAAGTTGGAAGGGATCTTGGAGGTCATCTAGTCCAACCCCCTGCTCAGGCAAGAAACCCTATACCATTTCAGACAAATGGCTGTCCAGTCTCTTCTTAAAAACTTCCAGTGTTGGAGCATCCACCGCTTCTGGAGGCAGGTTGTTCCACTGGTTAATTGTTCTAATTGTCAGGAAATTTCTCCTTAGTTCTAGGTTGCTTCTCTCCTTGATTAGTTTCCATCCGTTGCTTCTTGTCCTGCCTTCAGGTGCTTTGGAGAATAGCTTGACTCCTTGGAAAATAGCTTGACTCCCTCTTCTTTGTGGCAGCCCCTGAGATATTGGAACACTGCTATCATGTCCCCCCTCGTCCTTCTCTTCGTTAAACTAGACATACCCAATTCCATCAACCGTTCCTTATATGTTTTAGCCTCCAGTCCCCTAATCATCTTTGTTGCTCTTCTCTGTACTCTTTCTAGAGTCTCAACATCTTTTTTACACCGCAGTGACCAAAACTGGATGCAAAACTGTGTTGGCTTTTTTGGCAGCTGCAGCACACTGCTGGCTCATATTTAAGTGATTTAAGTCTTCTCCAAGTTGAGTTTGATTCCTGGTGACTTCATGGACATGCCTGCTGTCTTTGTCCAATGTGCATATGTGGGGAAGGCAGGGGTTAACACTCAAACCAATCTACACTCCTGGTATATTTTTGTCTCGTTCACAATGATAGATCAGGCCTTAGCTAGTCAACATAGAGCAGTTGGTTAGATGTTGCCACCTGGCTGGGTTTTAGAGGTGTTCCGTTCTTTCAAATAATCATGCCGAAAAAAAATTATACAGAACTGAATATTCCTTACCCTTGGTTGAGTTGGCAGGATGTTCCCACATCCTTGGAAGTCTGAATCGATAGGATTAAATGAAAAGTTATTTGAAAGTCGATTCTGGAACAGTGTTTCTCAAGCTTGGCAATTTTAAGATGGGTGAGCTTCAACTCCCAGAATTCCCAGTCAGCATGGATGACTGTGGAATTCTGGGAGTTGAAGTCCACCCATCTTAAAGTTGCCAAGCTTGAGGAACAATGTTCTGGAAAAATCCCATCTTAGCAAATTGTGTTTGTAAATGATGTGGGGATTTTGAAAGCTTGAGGAGCAAGGCAGCAGAAAAGCTAATCAGCCAGAAAGAAAAATGAACCAAGAAGATAAGGAAAAGGAGAAACAAACAGAAGGATATAAGAAACTTAATATTCTTAAATTTCTAATGAAAGCAAAATATCCAGATTGATTCAAAAAAGCAAGTTGAATCTCTACAAGTTCGAATAAATCTACAAAGACATTTCTGTTGCAGACTTTGTGGCTTTTGTTACTTCACACAATCTGTAAAGGCATATATTTCTCTGAGTGTCCTCTGTATTATGTTGATGATAGTTTTAATCCTGATTTACTAGGAAAGTCCAAGCATTATTGTTAGACGTTACAGAAGTATAGTAAAGCTATTGTTCAAGAATTTTAAATACTGGACTTGGTCTAATGTAATTGGGAAGTTCTGGAGATGAATAGAAGCACCATGTCTTACAATATTTTAGTTGATCTTTTAAGCTGTGAGGAAGCTTTTCATCTTACCCAAAACGCCCTGCTACTTAAATGTCCTATATAACATTTTGCCTGAAGAATCCTTCTGGCATTTCAAATTCTTATTTTTCTGAAGTTTGAAAAGGATGAGCTGCTTATTGTAATATCTGTTCCACCAAGACAATATTCAAGTCAAGATGTCTCAAGCTTTTAGTGAATTGCTTTTAGCATTACTGATCCAGCAGTGATTCTTGTAGAAAAGATGGTACATACAATGTGGAATTTGCCAGTCTGTCATTGAGTCACACACTCTGTTCTTTGAGCAAAATAGGGAATGCTTCCTTCTTATTCATGCGTGATAAGGAGAGGAACAGGAATGTTTAGTACAGGGGTCTTCAAACTTGGCCCTTTTATGACTTGTGGACTTCAACTCCCAGAATTCCTCAGCCAGTGTGCCTGGCTGAGGAATTCTGGGAGTTGGTCCACAAGTCATAAAAGGGCCAAGTTTGAAGACCCCTGTTCTAGTAAGTGGCTGGCACAAAACTCCTGCTTCTACATACCTTACCACCATACTCTTTTCCTTGAAAATTACACGGCAACCAGCCCAACCATTGGCCCACCATCCCCACCATCAAAGGCATCTGTGGCTAGAGAATCCAGTAGCCCATCATAAATCACCACTAGCATCAAGGTGGAGTCCAATACTTGTTGAGTTTATTTCAACTCCTAGATACTTGAATTTTATTCTTTCCTGTCCTCTTAAGATCATCCCTAAGTCTCCACAATTTAACCAATTTGACTTTTTCACATCTTCTCAATCTTCTCTGGAATCCCAGGCTTTGCACAGTTTGAAAAACAACAGAGCACATGGGATGGCTTCGGTACCAAGCCTTTGAATTCTTTCACCCAAAATAAGATGGGCCACTTGATGTAGGATCATGCTTACGCCCACCTTTTTTTCCCTCCAACAAAACAACCGGTGGAGTTTCCAGTTGGCTTCTGTCCTTCCCTACCTTTTCTTCCTTAGGAAAGCCGGGTCAGTAAGGCAGTAGAAGTGATGATTCAGCACGTGGAAAACTTAAAGCGTACATACGCAAGAGAGCACGCAGAACTGGAAGAGCTGAAGGAGCTATTACTCCAGAATGAGAAGTCTTTCAGCTCTCCGGGGGACCGAGGTAACAGCCAAGGTTGACGTTGACTGAAATGATGGCTACATCATCTTTCCCGCCTTTTCTCTCCAGTGCAAGATTGGTGGTCTGAATCAGGGGTCTCCAAACTTGCCAACTTTACGACTTGTGGGAATTCTGGGAGTTGAAGTCCTCAAGACGTAAAGTTGGCAAGTTTGGAGACTCCCAGTCTCAATAATCAGACGCCAAGTAGGATGACTGCATGTGAAAGTGCACTCATGCAATGTGTTGTGCATGGCCTAGGCTCAAATCAGACAATGGTGTCTCCTTCAGCTATTCCCTTTATTACCTGTTCATGCTGGGCCTTTTCTATGAAACACAGCCCCATCCATCAACCCAACTTAGTTGATTTCAACTGGGGCCAAGGGAAAGGGGTCTTAGTGCTTCCTAATATGGGTTTTATTTTTCTGATTTGTAATTTCAGACCTGCCTGCAGGGGAGGGTCAAAACAGCCACAAGCATGCAATCAAAACCCCACCCCTTTTAATGCAGATTGTCCATAAAAAGGGGTGAAGTTTCAGTCACAGTTTGTAGCCATCCTCTAGACCAGTGTTGACAATTTTAAGGCATGTGGACTTCAACTCCCAGAATTTCACAGCCAGGTTGAGAAACACTGCTCTAGACCTTCCCTCTGCCAAGCATCTCGGACCTACTTCTTCGTTACCTGGCGGGTTCCTCTGTTCATGGGGACCTTGATAGACCTGGTGTTGGATCTCTATGGAGGGTCTCCGTCATCCAGGTCAGGGTTGTCCGAAAGGTGCTGTTTTCCAAAAAGCAACAGGACTTTGATTTTTCTTGAAGACGTTTCACTTCTCATTCCAGAAGTTTCTTCAGTTCTGACTGAACGGTGGAGGATAGGAGGATTTATATTCCTGGCAGTCCTCTGGTCGTTAGTACTCTCTCTGAGGATCATTGAAGCCACTTGGAGATTTCTCTGCGCCGACGACCAGATGAACTGCAAGGAATATAAATCCTCCCGTCCTCCACCGTTCAGTCAGAACCGAAGAAGCTTCCCGGATGGGAAGTGACACGTCTTCAAGGAAAAAACAATGTCCAGTTGCCTTTTGAAAAAGCACCTCTGGGACAACTGGTGTGTCATGGTGGGGAGGGTTTGTGGCTGATCTTCAAATCTATTGCTCTTCACTCGCCATGCCAGGGAGAGGCATCCAAGGAAAGGCAAACAAATGGGCGAGAGCTCAGTTATAAAGAGGTGAGCCCACTCTGGGCATCTTCTCCAAACCGATTCAATCCCCTAAATCCAGACTAAGCTACTGTCCTACAAATCCCTCTTCTAATTTTATTGAAGCCATTGCTTCCTTGATTAATGTACCTTCTTCCATTTCTCTTGCACTTCCAGACGACTCTTCAATTAGAAAACTCTCTGGTTCTCTCAAGGTACCCTTGTTAAAAGCGTCTTGCTTTTCTGCACACTCTTCTGCGTTGCGCCCTGCCTTCCGATTGCGATGCTTTTGAGCAATTTTTGCAGTTTCTTTTTCTCCCCCCTTTTTTTTGCAGCCTCGCAACATGCATAAGCCGACTCCTGAAATTTCCAATTACGTCCCTGAAAATCGGTGCCATTTTCTTGCATAATGCCTTGAACTTGTACCATTTTTGTGGCCAGGTCTTTTCAATTCCAGTCTCTTTGGTTTTTGTTTTTAGTTTTGTTTTGTTTTTCCAAATTGCTCCTCTTAATGTTGAACAGAATTCTGTAATGGTGGTCTTTCTAGAGCAGGGGTAGGCAACCTTGGCTCTTTTATGACTCGTGGGCTTCAACTCCCAGAATTCCTGAGCCAGCATGAGGGAACTATGGCCCCCTCATGACTCGTGGACTTCAACTCCCAGAATTCCTGAGCTAGCATGGCTCAGCTTGGAAACTCTCCATTTCTCCTCAGCATGGCTGGCTCAGGAATTCTGGGAGTTGAAGTCCATGAGTCATAAAAGAGCCAAGGTTGCCTACCCCTGTTCTAGAGTGTAGATCATGAGATGGGCGATAGAAGTATTTTAAATGCAATTAATGTGTGGTCAAAACCCAAGAACAGTGACCACGGTTTTCGAGGAATCACAAAACCAAATTCCCAGCTGGGAACTTGGTATTTTTTTTACCTTGTTTTCTGCATAGCTCACTGAGGTAAATTGACAAATATAAAATGGTACACAAATAGTCTGTGCAGATTGGCCAGCAAAGCCCCCAAAGCCGCATACAACCAGGCACCATATGAATACCACACGCAGAATAGCCCAAAGCATACACCCTGCGAGAGAGGATGGGTTCTCGCACAAGTCGGAAAGCTTGGAAGACCGACCCAAATTGGATCTTGCAATTGAGAAACATTCCCTTTCTCTCTGGCTTCATTAAGATCAGAACTAAATTGGTGTTTTTGGGAAAGGAAGATGTGCTAAATAATTTGACCTACAAGACTTTGAAAAAACTGTATATTCGTTAACCAGGAAATTCAAGTTAGTCATAAGTATTTTAAAAAAACAAATTGAGGAAAGTGTCTGTGCATTGCTTTAGCCTTTTATCTGTGCTATTTGTTCATTTGCCAACCAATTCCTAGCCTAAAATCTCTCTCCAAAATCAATCTTAAGTATGAACAAAATTACAGCTTGAATTACAAATATTGACTCTGTGAGTCAAATTACAAATATCCCTAATAACTGAGTTTCTGCACCAGTTAGGATAATCTCATATGTAATACATATGTATGAACCAGTTGATTTTCTTTTTAAAAAATTGAAATAATGAATATATGGTAGTCCGAACCATATATTTCTTTGGAAATTGTTAAATATTTGTAACGTTTTATCTGTGTTTGATCATCAGTTGCTTCTGGCACGTTTGCTGATGGAAAAATGCAGATCACATTTCATTAAATAGCTGCTGAGGAACTGGATGGACAATGTAATCCTTTACTTAGCTAAAATCTGTGGATCTTCTTCTCTTTTGATGCTCCCACTAACTAGTGTGGTATGTTGCTTCGAATGTTTGCTTAGATGCCATTCTTTACAACAGGGGGTCCCCAACCCCTGGGCTGTGGGCCAGTACCGATCCTTGGCCTGTTAGGATCTGGGCTGCACAAGCAAGTGAATTTCATCTGTGCATGCGTGGGATCTAGGTAGCGCAAAAAAGCCACAATCGCTGCTTTATATGGCCCAGATATGTGGATCGCTGCTTTATATGGCCCAGATGAGTGAAGTTCCTATGCACAAAAGACCCCCTATGTGTTCTTCTATCTCTTTTTATTTGTACTATTGATAATAATAATAATAAGAGAGGCTGGATATGGAAAGTGGATCTGGGCCCAGGATTTGAGCTTTTGTGGTATTTCCTGTTCAGTGATGAGTACCCGTTTGTGAGATCAGCGATGAATTCCATGCCGACTTCTTAAATCTGTTTAGAACACTTTTTCAACCTTGTCCATTTTGGGATGGGTGGATTGCAACTCCCAGAATTCTCCAGTCAGCACCACCGGTCCTTGGTGTCCACCATTCTGGGAGTTGAAGCCCACCCATCTTAAAGATGCCAAGGTTGAGAAACACCGGTTTAGAAGTTCTGCTTTGTTCACGCAAGTCCCACCTTTTGCACAGAAGACCCACAGAACTCCACCAGGATATGCAATACCTAACTGATCAAATAGTATTTCTTGTTTTATGTAGCCTTCATCACTACGCAGAGTTAGCACTGCACCCTTGCCTAGGAACAGTAATGGAAATGCAATCACTTTTTTGCAACTGGTATGTAGGTGTTTTCCCAGAATTGACCGTTCCTTACTTTAAAAGTACTGGCTGCATGTAAATGGTGATCTCTCCCCATTCCCTGTTCCACAAAGGCTCAGATGAATGAAACGGACGGAAACAACCGGAATGAAAAATTCAACAGGCGCTTGAGTTGGTACGTATGATATTTTGTATTTGTATATGTGTGCACACGTAAGCACACACATTCCATCTCCGAAATCTTACTGTTTATTGAATACACTGTGTGGTAATGTCGAAGCAAAACTAACTCCAATTCGTAGACTTAAACAATAATTTTCCCAGCCAAACGCCCTACGTAGTCCATTTAAACAATGAACTGTTATAAGTCGAGGACTACCTGTATTTTTTGGGGGGGGGGGAGGGTGGAGGAATCTTTAATTTTAAAAAGCAATCAAGATTTCTTTTTAAAGAAGGCCCATTTGGTTCCCCTGCCTTTAGGAGTCTAAAAGGAACCAAACCAGGAGAAAAACGGCCATCGCTGCAGCGATTCATTAGCTCAGCTTCCTGGACAGAATCGGAGGAAGAACAACCTGAATTAGAGTGAGTCTTATTTTTTCCTCCTGGTGCCCCAAAGACAGAAGCCTTCCCGTAGAAGCCACTAATTTCTCTGAGCATAGAAGGAAGCAGGACAAGAAGCAATGGATGGAAACTAATCAAGGAGAGAAGCAACCTAGAACTAAGGAGAAATTTCCTGACAGTTAGAACAATTAATCAGTGGAACGGCTTGCCTCCAGAAGCTGTGGATGCTCCAACACTGGAGGTTTTTAAGAAGAGACTGGACCAGCCATTTGTCTGAAATGGTATAGATATACCTGAGAAAGGAGTTGGACTAAAAGACCTCCAAGGTCCCTTTCTATTCTATTCTATTCTATTCTATTCTATTCTATTCTATTCTATTCTATTCTATTCTATTCTATTCTATTCTATTATGTTCTATGTGGTTAAAGAATAAGGCAGGTGAATGTTGACTCTGGTGTCAGTCTAGACCAGGGGTCTTCAAACTTGGCCCTTTTATGACTTGTGGATTTCAACTCCCAGAATTCCTGAGCCAGCATGTCTGGCTGAGGAATTCTGGGAGTTGAAGTCCACAAGTCATAAAAGGACCAAGTTTGAAGACCCCTGTTCTAGACCCCTGTTCTCTAGGTGGAGAACCTTGGCTCTTTTATGACTTGTGGACTTCAACTCCCAGAATTCCTGAGCCAGCATGCCCGGCTAAGGAATTCTAGGAGTTGAAGTCCACAAGTCATAAAAGGGCTAAGTTTGAAGACCCCTGGTCTAGAACAATGTTTCTCAATCTTGGCAACTTTTAAGACCTGTAGACTTCAACTCCCAGAATTCACCAGCTAGCACCCTGGCTGGGGAACTCTGCGAGTTAAAATCCATCCATCTTAAAGCATGCCAGGCTAGGGAATTCTGAGAGTTGATGTCCCTTGATGTCAAAAAGCATACTGGACGAGCAGGGGCTTTTTAATCCATCCTCTAAATCAGTGGTTCTCAACCTATGGGTCGCGACCCCATTTGGGGTCGATCGACCATTTCACGGGGGTCGCCAAGCAAGGCTGTCCGCCATTTTTTTCCCCTTTTCCGGCGGGTGCCTTACCTCCCTTGAGCTGGGCCAGCTGGTGGTCGGCCTGCTCCGTCTCTGCCGCTTGCCAGCTACGCCTCGCAGGGGGCGGAACCACGCATGCACAGCGCTCCCGGGCAGGGAAAGTCCTCGACTTACGACCGGTTGGGTAGTCCTCGACTTACGACCGGTATAGTCCTCGACTTACGACCGGTTGGGGTCGCGGCATTAAAAAGGTTGAGAACCACTGCTCTAAATCACCCCTTACAGGGCTTCTCTTCAGGAACCGGCAGCTCCAGAGATCCAGGGAAGCAAAGCACGAAAGCTGAGCGAAAAGGAAAGCAACACAACTAAAGGGGGGCTACGCTCACTGTAAGTATAGCAGGAAAGCAAACAAGACCAAAATGCTTTGTGGGGAATGTGGGAAAGACATTTGGAATTTATAATTTGTTGAATTTGACGCAGTAGCAGTGATTTATCGGCATGCCTTGGGTGCTGGAGTGCTGGAAAGCTGACTGGGAGCATCCATGCACAGGACTTAAAAAAAAAATGTTCCCAGAAGTTCTATTAGCACTTTTTTTTTTTTGTAAAGCCGAAGGATTATAAATGAAGAATCAGAATAGAGCTGAAAGGGACCTTGGAGGTCTTCTAGTCCAGCCCTCTCCTCTAGCAGGAGACCCTATACCAGGGGTCTTCAAACTTGGCCCTTTCATGACTTGTGGACTTCAACGCCCAGAATTCCTCAGCCAGGCACGTTGAGGAATTGAAGTCCACAAGTCATAAAAGGACCAAGTTTGAAGATCCTTGCTCTAGTCTATAGGCTCTTGACTGATGGGTATTAAGACAGCTGTGGAAGAGTTTGGGATGAAGTCAGTTAGTACAGGATGGCAGGAGTTTTGTGCCAGCCACTTACTAGAACAAGGGTCTTCAAACTTGGCCCTTTTATGACTTGTGGACCAACTCCCAGAATTCCTCAGACAGGCATGCTGGCTGAGGAATTCTGGGAGTTGAAGTCCACAAGTCACAAAAGGGCCAGGTTTGAAGACCCCTGGCCTATACCATTTCAGACAAGTGGCCGTCCAATCTCTTCTTAAAAACCTCCAGTGGTGGAGCGCCCACAACTTCTGAAGGCAAGCCGTTCCACTGATTAATTGTCCTCGCTGTTAGCACCCTCCACTAGTTCCTCTTTACATGTTTATTTTTCCCTGAAAAAATTTAGATTTTTGTAGTACGTGTCCATGTATTGGAGTGTGTGAATTGCCACTGAAGGTAGACCTTGGATGAAAGACCCCATATCTGCTTTTCCATGTCTTTTTTTTCTTCTTCTTCTTCTGCAGATGCACGAGAGTATTTTCTTGGGCCTCCTCTCTTAGGACTTCCTTCTCCAGGATTAGCAGAGCCCTCTATGTCTCTCTCATTGCAGTCGTGTTCTTTGCCATCCTGGTGACTTTTTTCATGGGGTTCTCCTTCCATCAACCTGTGGAAGCCGCTCCTGATGGCACCGGGACCGCTTGGACCTCAGTACAGAAATTCTTGTGGCCATACACACGTCTTCTCCACCATGGACCACCGCCTGTATAATTCAGCAGTATTCAGAATGGATTTTTCTAATGCAGGTTTTCTCAGTCTTAACAACTCTAAGATGGGTGGACTTCAACTCCCAGAATTCCCCAGCCAGCATGGCTGGCTGGGGAATTCTGGGAGTACAAGTCCACCCACCTTAGAGCTGCCAAGGTTGAAAATACACTCATTTTTATAGTGCCTGTTCAGCATGTAGTCTTAAACTGAATAATCTAGCAGACGGATGAAGCAATTGAGGTTTATGACATTTTAAATTTCTGAATGCCGAGAAAAATGCAACTTTAATGCATCGTCTTCACATTTCTGTTAATAATTTAGGACCACGTCATTCAGAAACAAGATACGATTCAGCCTTTTCCGGCCAAGCGAGTCGATCTTCTGAATGATTGCAACTAATTTTATTTTATTTTTAATTTCGTCAGTCTTTTCTCTCCCTCCCCCCCCACACCCATCCCGCCCCAAAATCTCACCAAAGAGCTTATAGAAACAAGACGGATTTTTTTTTCAAAAAAAAAAAATTCAGGGCACGTAGTCTATCCTTAAATAGCTTACGGATATTTATTTTATTTTTCTTTTCTATTAAAAAAAAAAGAGATGTCTGAAGTGTGATTTCTTCCACCTCTGATCGACTGGAGTGTCTGTGAACTCAATAAAGTTTCTGAAGCAGCTTTTTGGCGTGTGTTAGGAGTATGTCAGCACCCTGGTGGCAAGGAGCGTTTGGTACACGGCATCGATGAACAGGTAGTTGCTCTGTGTGACCCGGTCCATTGCCGCTGTGCTCCCGGCATCTTTCAGGAGATGATAGAGAGTGGAGTGGAATTCGGAGCCTTCTGCAATGTTCTTGGAGAAAGAATCGCTGTCTTCACCGATCGCAAGCTTCTGAGCTCTTTGGCCGTTGAACATGTAAAGAGCCCATGCTTCTTCCTGGATCTGGTCTTCTTCGGTCAGATGTTCACAGGCCTGCAGTTGGGCGGGAGAAAGAGAGAGAGTGGACACCTCACCAGAATTCTGAAGGGGTCCCGGGTGCTCTCTGAGCTTGGCTGTTTTCACGCAGACGTTTCATTACCCAACTAGGAAACGTCATCAGAGCTTAGCACTCTCTTTTACGAGGGAAGGATCCCTGGGGGCGCAGTGGTCAGAATGCAGCATTGCAGGCTAGCTCACCGCTCACCGCCAGGAATTCGATTCCTTCGATCCTGAAGGGCTCAAGGTTGACTCAGGCTTCCGTCCTTCCGAGGTGGGTAAAATGAGGACCCGGATTGTTGGGGGCAATAGGCTGACTCTGTAAAGCGCTTAGAGAGGGCTGTAAAGCACTGTGAAGTGGTATATGTCTAAGTGCTATTGCAAGGGAGGGAGGGAGGCAGGGAGGAAGGAAGGAGATAAAAAATGAGGGAGGGAGGGAGGGAGGGAGGAAGGAAGGAGATAAAAAATGCAGGGAGGAGATAAAAAATGCAGGGAGGGAAGAAGGAAGGAGATAAAAAATGGAGGGAGGGAGGGAGGAAGGAAGGAAATACAAAATGGGGGGAGGAAGGAAGGAAGGAGATAAAAAATGGAGGGAGGAAGGAAGGAGATAAAAAATGGAGGGAGGAAGGAAGGAGATAAAAAATGGAGGGAGGGAGGAAGGAAGGAGAGAAAAGGGAGGGAGGAAGGAAGGAAGGAGATAAAAGGAGGCAGAGGAAGGAAGGAAAGAAATAAAAAATGGAAAGGGAGGGGAAAGGAGATTTAAAAAGGGAGGGAGGAAGGAGGGAGTTAAAAAATGAGGGAGGGAGGGAGGGAGGGAGGAAGGAGATAAAAAGGGAAGGAGAGGGAGGAAGAAAATAAAAAATGAGGGAGGGAGGGAGGATGGAAGAGAGGGAGGAGGGAAGGAGATTAAAAAGGGGGGAGGGAGGAAGGAGGGAGTTAAAAAATGAGGGAGGGAAGAAGGAAGGAAAAGGAAGATTGTTGGGGGCAATAGGCTGACACCGTAAACTGCTCAGAGAGGACTGTAAAAGCACTATGAAGCTGTACATAAGTCTAAATTGCAGGATCCAATCTGGATCGGTCACCAGGACCAGAGTTTTTTGTCGTCTAAGCTTTCGGACCCCCGTGCTGAAGCCCACCTTCAGGGAACTTCTCTCTAGCCTTTCTAAGTCCTAAGTGCTATTGCTATTGCTTCTAACACATATGACGTTACCTAGATGGGTCATGAAACGTCTGCAAGAAAACAGCCAAGCTCAGAGCACACCAAGGATCCCTCACTTCAACCTTGATCTACAAATATTATCCTTTAGTCGCTTCTGAAGGAACTGTTGGGCTTCTTCAACTGTTTTCAAAAAGGAAGAGTATAATGGGCGAAGTTGAATGTTTCCTGGCAAAATTGACATGCAACACACACACAAACAGGCAGAGCCTCGTTGGTGTTGTCATAGCCACCAACAGGTCCTCTTGGACTTGAGCACTTAGGATCCAAGGACTCTATGTGTCATCTTCTAAACCAGGCTTTGCAGAAATCCCTGGTTGCTTGACTGGCTTTATCGCTGTTTTTTGTGGGGGGTTTTGTGGGGGACTTTAGCGATGTGAATGATTGGTGATATTTTGATTGCTTTTGACCTTCTGTATGCCACCCAAAGTCACCTCTAGGAGGTGGACAGTCAAAAATCATTTAAATAAACACTGACCTGGTGGTCCATCCCTGTCCTAGCCATTTCTCTCTTCCTGCCCATTTTTGAGAAGAGGAGGAGACGGAGGTTGCAAGCCTTCCCTCTGATCTTGCTCGCTTGGGAGTGTGTGTGTGTATGTGTTTGTGTGTGGAGAAGACACCAAGGAGCAATGCCAGGGAGACTGCAGGGACAGAGTGGGGCCTTGGAGCCGGCTCTGCTTATACCTAACGGGGAGACTAGGCAGGGTTTGTGGTATCGCCACTTACACCCACCTTAAAGACCAGATTATTCTCTCCGCTCTTCAGATTCCATTTGCTCCAGCCAAAGGCAAAAGAGGTGGCAACAAGAGACATTTGCTGATAAACCATGATTTCTGCCAACAGCGTCTGTAAAAAAGCAGATGAAACTATCCAAAGTCAATTGCGAAGGAAACCTGGCACAGGAACAAGGCCCAAGCCTGATTTTTCTCTCTTGATGCTGATCTATATTGTCTGTCTGTCTGTCTGTCTGTCTGTCCTCTATCATATCTGTCAATCATCTATCATCCATATCTGTGTATCTATCTCCCTGTATCCTCTATCATCCTGTCAATCATCTATCATTTATTATCCATATCGTCTGTCTGTCTGTCTGTCTGTCTGTCTGTCTGTCTCTCTCTCTCTCTCTATCTCTATCTATCTATCTATCTATCTATCTATCTATCTATCTATCTATCTATCTATCTATCTATCTATCTATCTATCTATCTCCCTCTATCTATCATCTCTATCATCATGTCAATCATCTATCATCTATTATCCATATCATCCATCCATCCATCCATCCATCCATCCATCTACCTACCTACCTACCTACCTACCCAACCAACCAACCAACCAACCAACCAACCAACCAACCAACCACCTATCTATCTATCTATCTATCTATCTATCTATCTATCTATCTATCTATCTATCTATCTATCTATCTATCTATCTATCTATCTATCTATCTCCCTCTATCATCATATGTCAATCAACTATCTATCTATCTATCTATCTATCTATCTATCATCATCATCCTATATCATTTGTCTATATCAGGGGTGTCAAACTCACAATGTCACGTGATGTGTCGCGACGTATCGTGACTTTTTTGCCATTGCCAGCAATGGGATTGGCACAGTTTCACTATGATGCATCCGGCTTGAGGGCCAGCAGTTTGACACCCCTGGTCTCTATCATCTGTCTATCTATCGGATGGATGGATGGATAGATCTGAAGATGATGTATCTATCATCTAACAATCATCTAATAGCTAGCTAGATAATGGTAGCGATAGATTAGAAAGAGATAGATGATAAATAGACAGACAGACGGACGGACAGATAGAACTGAAAATATTCTAATTATCCTCTCTATATATTGTGCAGAGTCCACAAGTCTTAAATTTGCCAAGGTTGGACACTCCTGGTATAGGTGAAGGACTTTTAAGACTAGTGGACTTAAGACACTTCCATGCTAGAGACTTCCATGTTGGCTGAGGAATTCTGGGAGTTGAAGTCCACAAGTCTTAAGTTGCCAAGGTTGCACGCTCCTGCACTAAACCAGGGTAGACAACCCCGAATGACTGCATTCATACGTTCTTACCCAAACGGAACACATGAAATGAGGAAATGACAGAAAACCATTTCCCGGCTGCTTACTTTTTTGTTCACGCTGACATACTTTGAGGAGTATTCAGCGGGAAAGATGTTCATGCCGGCTCTCTTCAGGACCATCATGAGGGCCATGGGTGTCATCCATTTTTCTCTCAGCCCCATAAGCAGGTCAGAATCTTCGACTGTAGCCACAGAATAGATCATACATTGACTTTCCTGCCTCAGAAAAACAGAAGAGCTGCTAAACAGCCGTTTCATTCTTTCCTAAGAGTAAATAGTCCTCGACTTTCAACCACAATTGAGTCCAAAAATGAGACGTTAGGGGTAGGCAACCTTGGCTCTTTTATGACTCGTGGACTTCAACTCCCAGAATTCCTGAGCCAGCGTGACTAAGCATGGAAACCTCTCCCTTTCCCCTCAGCATGGCTGGCTCAGGAATTCTGGGAGTTGAAGTCCACGAGTCATAAAAGAGCCAAGGTTGCCTACCCCTGCGTTAAGTGAATTTTGCTCCATTTTATGACCTGTCTTGCCACAGTTGTTAAGTGAATCACTGCAGTTCTTAAGTTAGCAACATGGTGGTTAAGTGAATCTGGCTTCCCCATTGACTTTGCTTGTCAGAAGCCCACAAAAGGAGATCACATGATCCCGGGACACTGTGACTTGTCATAAATATGAATCAATGGCCAAGCTTCTGGATTGTGATGGGGATGCTGCAAGGGTCGTGAGTGTGGAAAACTTTTTTCCAGTGCTGTTGTAAATTGAACGGTCACCAAATGAACTGTTGTTAAGTCGAGGACTACCTGCACCCACACCGCAGATCTGCCGGTTGTCTTCCCACCTACCTTGATGTGGATCTGGACCTCAGCAAAGGTGGTGAGGATGGTAAAAATAGCTCGGTCGGGGCCTACAGGCTGGAGCTCCCAGGCTTGATACGGCATGTTGAGGTGAGCATCCTGAAGTAACGTGACGGTGAAGAAGCCGTTCATTCTGAAGGAGATCGCCTTCTCGTTCATGCTGTAGACCACCTCCCCAATGTCATCGGTCCTCCAGTATTTATCTTGTACAGCGAAGAAAAGGAAGAAAGACTGCATTCGTTCCACACAGCTCTTTAAATTGGTTATAACTGCCCTATTCCAATGGACTTCATACCTAAATCATAACACCGTCAATTTGTAAAAACAATTTTTACAACATGCAAATACTGTGGGTTGACCTCACAGAAAGGGCTAGACAAGGGTCCCCAAATAGAGCTATTAAATAATCCCCATAAAAGAAATGCTTAAAAAAAAGAACAGAAGAGGATTTATTTTTTTTAAAGGTGGGGACTAATATTCTGGAGATGAATGAAGGACATGAAATGAATTCATGTCTCAGGACGAAATGTTTCAAAAGTACAACAACGAACAAACGTAAAGTTAGAAGAGTAGAGTTTTGGTCACTCAGAATTCGTTCTTTTGTGGTTCTTCAAATCCAGTATGAACTTTGGGGAGAACTCTGGGGTAATTTGATCAATCATGTTCGTTGCTCAAAGGAATTCTGTAACAGAGATTGTTTTATGCTGCCATATCCTGATAGCTTTACTTTTTAAACTTTCTTTTTGCCAGCTGGTTTTTTTGATCTCAGAATTGCTTCAGGAGCAACACTCAGAATAAAGCCACCAAAAAGAACTAGAGGACAATTACAGGTTCGACTTACAACTTGAGCCCAACATTTCTGTGACTAATTGAGAAATTTGCTAAGTGAGTTTTGCCCCATTTTACGGCCTTTCTTGCCACAGTTGTTAAGTGAATCGCTGCAGTTGTTAAGTCAGTAACACAAATTGTTAAGTGAATCTAGCTTCACTTTGCTTGTGGGAAGGTCACAAAAGGGGATCACATGACCCCAGGACACTACAACTGTCACAAATGTGAGTCAGTTCCCAAGCATCTGAATTTTGATCACGTGACCCTGGGGAACGCTGCAACGGTCGTAAGTGTGAAAAATGGTCATAAGTCACTTTTTCGGTGCCACTGTAACTTCAAACAGCCACTAAATGGACTGCTATACATCGGGGACTGCCTGTAAAATATTTCTACCAGTTTTCTTCTCCAGATATCCGTTACTAGCACAGGAAAGTGGACATTAAAATCTAGCTCATTCTTGGAGTAGTTGTTAGAAGTGTATCATACCTTGATTATCCCACCTCGCTATCAGTGGCTCTTCAAAATAAATCACGGAATCAGTCAGATGGATCGTGATCCCCACCGTCACGGCTGAGTTGTCTTCAGATTCCTCACATGTCGCAGTGTAGGGGTAAGTCTCTAATCCTGTATCCAAGATCTTCAAGCAAGAAAGGAAGAAAATTTAGCTGCTTTATAGAAATAACTCAACTTACCTCTCCCCTTGAGTTGAAACCATATGATGAACGATTGAGGGAAGTAGGTATGTCTAGTCCAGGGGTAGGCAACTTTGGCTCTTTTATGACTCGTGGACTTCAACTCCCAGAATTCCTGAGCCAGCATGGCTAAGCATGGAAACCTCTCCCTTTCCCCTCAGCATGGCTGGCTCAGGAATTCTGGGAGTTGAAGTCCACGAGTCATAAAAGAGCCAAGGTTGCCTACCCCTGGTCTAGTCTAACGAAGAGAAGAACTAGCAAGGATATGATAGCAGTCTTCCAATATTTGAGGAGCTGTCACGAAGAAGAGGGAGACCACCTATTATTCTCCAAAGCACCCAAGGGCAGCATGGATCACTCAAGAGAGATCTAACCTAGAACTAAGGAGAATTTTTTTGACAATGTGAACAATTAGTGGAACGGCTTATCTCCAATAATTGTGGATGCTCCATCACTGGACGTTTTTGAGAAGAGGCTGGATGGCCATCTGCCCGGAATGGTATAGGGCAGGGATCCCCAACCCCTGGTCCATGGACCAGTACCGGGCCGCGGCATGCCAACAACCGGGCCGCAGAAAGAAGCAAAGCCCCATCCGCGGGATGCAGGCAGCACACGAAACCACGCACTCTCCGGTCCGTGGAAAAACCTTTCTCCATGGAACCGGACCCTGGTGCCCAAAAGGTTGGGGACCTCTGGCATAGGGTCTCCTATCATGGGCATGGAGTTGGACGAGAAGACCTCCACGGTCCCTTCCAACTCTATTATTCTATGTTCCAAGGTAGATCTCTGCCCAGCTCAGTTACACATTAAGTAATAATGTTCCTGTATTTTCTTTTACCAACAGTGAAAAGATTATTCCAACAGTGCACAACCATTGTTTCTTACATGTTTCTAACTAGTGTTAACATTCACTATTGCAAATGTTCTTCTTTAAAGAATTTAAGCCTAATTAGGGGAAGACATTTTTTATCTATCTGGCTGCCTTCTATATGCTCACCTACCACTTTACTTGCCTGCTAGCTGAATCATTCCTACAGTTTTTAAATTGCTGCCAATCAAAGCTATGTTAAAAAAAATGGGGAAAAATCCACCATGCACCATGCATTTATTTTTGCAAATGCATATCCAAATGCATATCTATTCCTAAATTTTATAGATAATTTCCCCTACTTGTTTTTTAATCTTTATAGTTAGAGAAGTGGGCATGCCTCCAAAGAAAGGACTGGATTGCAATTGCTTGCAACACTTGTTTTCCAAGAAAGCTGTGCAAAGTGGTCAAAAAAAGTCAAGAGGGTGCTGGCAACTCTGGGGATTGAAGCTCCACCCTCTTTTCATAGAAAACACAAGTAAAAATGAGGTGGGGCTTTGATTGCTCTGTGGTGGACCTTTCTTACTTTTTTGACCTGCCTCTGCAGTCACTCTGTAGCTAGAGTAGAGAGACCAGGGAATCTGATTCCACAGACACGCTGGTCTCCATCCAGCACACCCTTAAGGATCCCACTTTGANGAAAGAAAGAAAGAAAGAAAGAAAGAAAGAAAGAAAGAAAGAAAGAAAGAAAGAAAGAAAGAAAGAAAAAAGACCATTACTTCCACGATGGTCCATCCTTTGACCTGCTTGGCTTGAGGTGGGAGCTTCAGCAAATCACAGTGATAGACGCCTCCCACTGGCATGAACTGGTGTAAATCCACCGTGTAATCTTCGAGGATATCCAATTCACTGATATCAAAGAGCCGCAGGGCTGAAACATGAGCTGGAAAAGGACAGACAGGCGGGAGGTCTTTAGTTTGTCTGTACCGTAATTCTAAACTGCCCTCATTTTTCAGCTGAAAAGCAAACCCCTCCCCTTTACAGATCGGCTTGCCAAGGCCTGGCAACACAGAATGTAAAGTTAAAGCATACAGAGCTTACTCCGCTAATCATTGCTGGGGTGGTGCTCCTCTCCATTTCAAGGGCCGCTGAGCCAGCACTGTCCGAAGACCTTTCCGCGGTCATGCGGCCAGCATGACCTCACGGAGTGCTATTACCTTCCCACCAAAGTGGTACCTATTTACCTACTTGCATTTGCATGCTTTCAAAATGCTAGGCTGGCAGGAGCTCATCAGAGTAATGCACTCACCGTAGAAGTACTAGAAAAATACTGCCAAGATTTAGGGGGGGGGATGTCCTTTCAGCTGCTTCTCCCACATCAGTGATTCGAGGCTAGCCAGCCTTTTCACCCTTCCCCTCAATTCCGGATTCCAACACAAACAGGAAGTGGCACAGCCGTGGCCAGTCCAGCACAAGAGTGGGACACAAGCCCAAAATGCACCTGTCCCCCCCCATCCTGGTTTGCTCTTCCCTCCACAATGCAGCCTGCATTTTGCAGGCCCACCGGGACTCCCCATGAGCTCGGCACACCTTTGGAAAGAAGGTGTAGGTCGGAGAAGGACAAGCAGAGCCTGGTGGGTGGATTTAAGGGAGTAATCAGCCTAGAATCCTTAAGTTCCCACAAATGATCCAAGTCCAGACCCTCTTGAATTCTGTTAATTCTTATTTAGCACCAATTCAATGCTGACCATTAGATGACTACATTGTTGGGTATATGTTTGAGCAATAAATCAGCTTGACTAGAACAAAGCATGGTCCTGATTCTTCACACCTGAGAGAAGGGCACCAATTCCCTTCAGAAAGTAGGGTGGCTAATTTAGTCACTGACATTCTTGCTTATCTTCTGCAATTGTTGGTTCTTTGGTTGTAGTCAAAAGTTTGGATTTGGGCATCTAAGCTGGCGTCTTGATCTTTTATGTTAGTTCTTATTTTATCACAAGCGGAAAGAATGGTTTCATGTATTGCTTTCAACATGGAAAGAATCTGTTCCTGGTCTTCATCCATCTCTTTCACGTGTTGATAAATAGTTTTTCTAGTAAAAAGCTGTTTGTCGAGCAAAATTTTATAGTCCAAGGTATTTCAACATCTCATATCGTGACCAATATTCCTCAAGTAGAGAGATAGGAAAGCAATTTCTCACATATAACTCTGAAAGACTGACATTCTTGCTTAACCACCACCCAGGATTTGCTTAATAAAGATAACCGAAATCGCTGGATTTACTGTCGTTAAGTGAGGCAATCATGTGATTTTTTTTTTTTTGCATCTCTATACCCTACAATGAACGTCTCTGCATTTGCAGAGTGGCAGAGGTAGAAGACCTGGCTCACATCCTATTTGATGATTGCCTGTATAAGAGGGTGAGAGACAGGTATATCGGTTTACATACCAAACAAATGACCCATTGGGATCCCCATATCAAAACAACTTACCTTACATGCAGCCACAATCTGAAAATAACATTTAACACTGTGCGGTACTTAAGCAAAATGGTTCAGTTGGGATCTGCATATGTGGGACTGATTGGGGTAGATTGCAGGGGTGACACCGAAATATAATTTTATCATATTTTATCTATATCTTAAATTATTATATTCTATTCCCATTTCATTTTAGACTGCATTTTATACCAATTTCATTTTTGTTGTTATTAGTTGCGAGGTTGTGTCCGACCCATCGCGACTCAATGGACAACATTCCTCCAGGTCTTCCTGTCCTCTACCATCTTCTGGAGTCCATTTAAGCTCACGCCTCCTGCTTCAGTGACTCCATCCAGCCACCTCATTCTCTGTCGTCCCCTTCTTCTCTTGCCCTCAGTCTTTCCCAGCATCAGGCCCTTCTCCAGTGAGTCCTTCCTTCTCATTAGGTGGCCAAAGTACTTGAGTTTCAACTTCAGCATCTGGCCTTCTAAAGAGCAGTCGGGGTTGATCTCCTTTAGGACTGACCGGTTTGATCGCCTTGCTGTCCAGGGGACTCGCAGGAGTCTTCTCCAGCACCAGAGTTCAAAGGCCTCCATTCTTTGGCACTTAGCCTTTCTTATGGTCCAACTTTCACAGCCATACATTGCAACTGGGAAAACCATGGCCTTGACTATACTTGACTATATATATACAGTACACGTAAATATACACGTAAAATAAAATTTCATTTTATTTTTTTCCAATTCCATTTTAAATTGTATTTTATCATATTCCATTTTAAATTGCTTTTGTCGAATTTTAGTCATAATTTGTTTCTGGAACTTTGCACTTGGATATGGCCCAAGAGCTAATCAATCCATCAATCAAATATATATATAGTGATTTTTATTTTTTTTTGCATCTCTTACCGATGGCGTTCCCAGTCCCAGTTCCCATCATTAAACAAGGACTACTTGTAAAGAGATGCCATTATTCAGAGACCACATTACCTCTGGAGGTGGACCGAAGGAAAAAGGAGCTTTTGTTATAATGATCTTCTCTGCTGCCAGAGCCCCTGGAGCTGCTGCTTCTTCTTCTTTCTGAATAACTGAAGACATCGCTGAAGGTCTACAAGCAGGAGAAAACATCAGCCGGTGACAACGTTAGCCAGTTGAATGATATTTATAAATCACTTTTGGAGGCTGTGTACTCTCCTCTAATTAACTAAATATTAAAATCACTTAAAACTGGCAAAATCAATAGAAGACCCTGAATTCAACCCTACTGTTCAAGCCAATATATATTTGCTTGTTAGCAAATAGAACCCGGGTCTTCTACTCGCTCATCCAGCAATTTGGCAGTTCGAATCTCACTGGCTCAAGCTTGACTCAGCTTTCCATCCTTCCGAGGTCAGTAAAACAAAGACCCAGATTATTAGGGGCAATAGATGGACACTGTAAACTGCTTAGACAGGGCTGTAAAGCCCTGTGAAGCTGTATATGTCTAAGTGTTATTTGCTATTGCTAAATTTCGCTTTGGCTTGACCAGCTGACAAAGCATACCAATTGAGGGAGGTTGCAAGTCCTTGTACTGTAATGTCCCTTCTCCTGCAAGTTTCTGCTCTGTTTTACTGTCATGCCTCCATCGGAGCCTGAATCTGCGGAGGAAAATGAGCTGGAACGGGACCCTATGGAGGTCGAGGGAGAGATGTCTGTGGCTTCAGAGGAATGTGGGGAAGAGCAGGCCGAGGCAGGCCAGAGCCCTTCAGGAGTGGGACAGGAGGAACAGGAGAGGCAGAGTTCAGGTGATGAGCAGGGGCCACCCCCACCTGACCCTAGAGCACGGAGAGTGGAGAGAAGGAGGGAACAACGCAGGCAGGCTCAACTACTCGGGAGGAGAGCGTCCCACCCTTCTCCACAAGGAACACCTGGAGATTGAGATTTAAGGAGACGCTGTGGGGAGAGGCATTTGTTGGGAACAAATGCTGATTCCTTGGAGTTTTGTGTGTGTTTTTTTGCTGATCTCTTGTTCTGTGACTTCTGCTTAGAAACCCGGAAACTCTGACCATTGGACTGGCTGACAACGTTGCTTGGATGTTTATAGATCTCGGACTGTATTTTGGCTTCCCTTTTGAAACTGCTCAGGCAAGCTGTATTCACACAGACTCATTAGGTTTATGATGTATGTGTCATTCTTTCTTATCTCCATGGCCTTGAGTAAATTCCTCTCCTAATCAGACTACTTGCAGCCAGAGGTGTGTGTCTCTTCCTTTGTTTGGAGGCTTGCCAGAAACGTGGGAGCATTTGGGGAAAATTTGGAGCAATTAAAGGTTGGTTTGAATTGCCAGCTGACTGCATTGCCTCGGTGCTGTGCCCTGGGGTCATCACACTTACCATCGTTCTGGCTGAGGCTTCTGTTTTGATCTCAGACATGTCTTTCAAGGTCTCCCGCTCTTCACTTGAGACTTGTTTGTCCTCGCTGGGCTGAGTGATTTCCTCTGCGAACGGGAGGTCCAACTTTGGGAGTTCTCTGGGGAACGTTTGAAAAGGCGACAAATGGTCATAATGGGTGTGCAAGATGCGTACGGCCACGTCGCAGGTGGTCAGCGGCTTGGGAAGATCAAACGCATGGCAGGGCTGCTTGTTCTCATCGTAAAATATCTGGCTCCGGAATCTGACAGAGAGAAATTGCAACCAAGGTTATACGGATATGGGAAGTCCTCGCTTTACCACCACAATTAAGCCCAAAATTTCTGGTGTTAGTTAGACATTTGTTGAGTGAATTTTGCCCCATTTTCTCGCCACGGTTCTTAAGTGAATCCCAGCGGTTGATAAGTTAGTCACCCGGTTGTGTTAAGTGAATCTGGCTTCCCCCTTGTGAGAAAGTCACAAAAGGGGATCACGTGACCCCCCCCCAGGACAGAGCCACGGTCATAAATGTGAATCAGTTGCCAAGCATCTGAATTCTGATCTCGTGACCGCAGGGATGCTGCGAAGGTCGTAAACTGCAACGTTGCAACAAGCACAAGGAATGGACAAGCAAGCAGAACCAAAATTGCCAGTCACAATTGTGTGATATTTCGGTTAACAACCATTGTGACTCAGATAATGACCAGATGGGGGGGGGAAAGGTCACAGTCATATTGTTGGGGCCAGGGATTTAGGCACTGGTTCTGAAGGTGAAGAAGCTGCTCCAGCAGAACCTGTGAAATGGCAGCCTCGGGAGACACAAAGATAAGACCCACCTGAGACTGATCAAACACAGCTGGTGCCACAGCTGTCAGATGATGGTGCCATAAGGCCAGCCAGCCCTCATACCTGGTGAGTATAAGGCGGAACAGAGATGTTCTATGAGGCTCTTTGCCAAGCAAGGGACTAAACCTCTTGATTAAAGATGGCTGGCTGCAGCCTGATTTAAGAGACAGTCTTGACTCATGATCCTCATTGGAATCAACCATCTGAACTCCAGCTCTTACGTGATGTTTTTTAGACCCTGCTTGTGGAATTGTGACCTCTGGGTTGGCTGACAACTCTGATTTGGCTCTCAGAACCTTGGACTGGATTTTGGCTATTTTTCTGCGTGCTCCTTTTAAAAGCAAACATGCAGGCCAGCTCTTTTAAGAGATTCTGCTTTGGTTTGCTTTCCTTGTCTGCTGTCATCTCCCTGATCTTGAGTAAACTGCTAATTACCATAGCAACTATGTGTTTGTGTATGCATTAGAAACCAGCAACTAGACGCACATGATTTTCGCTTAATGACCACGATGCTTAGCAACAAGTTGCAGGTAAGTGAGGACTACCTGCATGTCATAACAGACTGCATCACTGACACACTCACATCCACAAGTTACTTCCCAGTTGTGGCTCATCTCAATAAGATCGTAACATGAAGCCTTGTTACTGTCTCTTTAATTTGTTAGCAAAGAACTCTACCTTGCATTCTTCTTGAGATTGGCCCAAAGGCACAGCGTCATGTCCGTCTCTTTCATGACGAGTTCCATATTTCCGCTTTCGGATTCTCCATAACTACTGGCTTGCTGTGTAAAGAACATTGGAACCAAAAAAAATCAAAAAGTTGTACCAATCTGCCCAAGAAATTGTCTGAGACAGATAAAAGCTATTGCTAATTACTGTTGGAAAGATAACAAACCTGAAAGGGCATTTGATCATGCATGGTGGACTTGTGAAAAAGTGAAAAGACACTGGACACAAATACGTATGGGGGATGCAGAGAGTTTTAAAAATTAATATGCAGATGAAACCAGATTTTTTTTCTTACTAAAATCTATGGACAGTCAATTAGAAAAGGCTTGTAGACAATTCGAGAGAACCAAATTAGAAATAAGGAGAAATTTCCTGACAGTGAGAACAATGAATAGGTGGAATGGTTTGCCTCCAGAAGTCGTGGGTGCTCCAAAACTGGAGATTTCTAAGAAGAGATTGGACCACCATTTGTCTGAAATGGTATTGGGTCTTCTGCACGAGCAGGGGGGTTAGACTAGAAGACCTCCAAGGTCCCTTCCAACTCTGTTGTTGTTGTTGTTGTTGTTATAATTAAAATTAAACTGAGGAAGGAGAACAGCAGCTAACCTGGGCAGAATGAGATGCACATCAATCCATGTAATCTGAGGATCAGAGAAAAACCACAACGGGGTTGCCGACTCACCTTCAGCAGATGTTCTGTTGCTTGGTTGTATTTGTGGCGAAGCACATTCTGCAATTGCACAATTGTCTCCTGGTACTGAGCGACATCTTTGGAAGGGAGCTCTTCAAACGGGGTCTCCAACACGTACATCTCTAACTTGGCAATAAGCTGGAAAACATTCCACTCCGATAATAGATACAGGCATTCACAACACACAGTCGTTGTGTATTGTGTACGATCTCCCTTTCTGCCCTGCACTTATCTTCCACCTGCTCTTGCACAGGCAGTCTTCAGCTTACAACCATTTGTTTAGTGACGGTTCAAAGTTGCAAATGGCACTGAGAAAAGCAACTTATGACTGTTTTTCTCACAACCCTTGTAGCATCCCCCTGGTCACATGATCAAAATCCAGACGCTTGGCAACTGGCATGTACTTACGACGGTTGCAGTGCCCCAGAGTTATTTGACCACGTTTTGTGGCCTTCTGAAAAGCAAAGTCAATGGGGGAAGCCGGATTCATTTAACAATCATGTTACTAACTTAACCACCACATTGATTCACCACTTAACATCTGTGGCAAGAAAGGTCATAAAATGGGGCAAAGCTCACTTAACAACTGTCTTGCTTTACAATGGAAAGTTTGGGCTCAATTGAGGCCATAAGTCAAGGACTACCGTTACGTATTTTTATAGGGTTTTAATTTTTTTCTCTATAAACCATACCCAGAGTCACACTGCGAGTGAGTTGGACAGTACCTAAGTTAAAAAATAAAATAAATAATAAAATAAAATAATAAACTAATAATAATAATAAAATAAAATAATAAAATAAAATAATAATAAAATAAAATATAATAAAATAATAAAATAAAATAATAATAAAATAAAAAATAAAATAAAATATAATAAAATAAAAAGTAAAATAAAATGAAATAAAATAATAAATAAATAAATAAATAATAAAATAAAATAATAAAATAAAAATAACAATAAAATAAAAAATAAAATAAAAAATGAAATGAAATAAAATAATAAATAAATAAATAAATAAAATGATATAAAATAAAATAAAATAAAATAAAAAATAAAATAAAATAAAAAAATAAAATAAAATAAAATGGTATAGGGTTACCTGCCTGAGTAGAGGGTTAGACTTGATGACCTCCAAGGTCCCTTCCAACATCATCATTATTATTATAAAATAAAATAAAAAATAAAATAAAATAAAATAATAAAATTAAATAAAATTAAATAAAATTAAATTAAATAATAAATAAAATGAAATGAAATAATAAAATAATAAAATAAAATAATAAAATAATAATAAAATAAAATAAAATAAAATAAAATAAAATAAAATAAAATAAAATAATAAAATAAAATAAAATAAAATAAAATAAAATAAAATAAAATAATAAAATAAAATAATAAAATAAAATAAAATAAAATAATAAAATAAAATAAAATAATAATATAAAATAAAATAAAACAACAATCTTGCTCACCGTGAGAAGGCACCTCACCTATCTCTGGATGGAGGAATGACTATTATGGGATATCATGGCAGGGACTTACTTCCAGCACCTTGCTGCCTTTCTCGACCACTGTCGTAATATCGTTCTGGGTCTCTTCCAGCCACAAACTCATGAAAGTGTTGATTTCCTGGGGAACAGTTGGGTCTGGGCTGCCGTCACAACCTGTGTAATGTTCCCACTGGAGAAACAGCAAGACATGAATGGGTGAAGGTGGAAAGCAGACAAGATTTGGAGGGATTTAAAACAGAGGCAGGTAAACAGATATGCAGGACTGCTCACTTGTTTACAGATAGTCCTCGCTTAAAGACCGGTTGCTTTAAAAAGCTACAGGTAGTCCTCCACTTACAACAGTTCAATTAGTGACCGAAGTTACAATGGCACTGAAAAAAGTGACTTATGACCATTTTTCACACTTACAACCTTACAGCACCCCCCACAGTCACGTGATCAAAATTCAGAAGCTTGGCAAACAGTTCATACTTATGACCAATTCACTGTCCCGGGGTCATGTGATCCCCTTTTGTGACTTTCTCACAAGTAAAGTCAATGGGGAAGCCGGATTCATTTAACAACCGGGTTACTAACTTAACAAATGCAGTGATTCACTTAACAACTGTGATAAGAAAGGTCGTAAAATAGGGCAAAACTCACTTAACAACGTACATTTTGGGGCCTGTCCTCAGAGTTAATACTGTCACCACCATACACACAACAGTGTATAGTAACTCTTTCAAACATTGTCAAAAATGCTTTTCTACCTATATTACATGGCCGTGATTTTTGATGGGTTTTGCCGTTTTCTGGCAGAAAGTGGCAAAAAAACGCCCATTGGACATGCTGGATTTGCTTAACGACCCTGTGGTTTGCTTACTGACCACACAAGTCACTTAATGACCCTGGTAGCACACTTAATGACCATTGGAAAATGGTTGTAAAACTGAGTTAGGTCATGAGGCGAGCCATTTAATGACTCCAGTGACTTACAACCAATATTCTAGGCCAGAGGTCTTCAAACTTGGCCCTTTTATAACTTGCGGACTTCAACTCCCAGAATTCCTGAGCCAGTGTGCTCGACTGAGGAATTCTGGGAGTTGAAGTCCACAGGTCATAAAAGGGTCAAGATTGAAGATCCCTGTTCTAGGCTATGGGTGGAGAACCTTGGCTCTTTTATGACTTGTGGACTTCAACTCCCAGAATTCCTCAGCTGGGCATGCTGGCTCAGGAATTCTGGGAGTTGAAGTCCACAAGTCAAGGTCCCCCACCCCTATTCTAGACTAATTGTAATCGCAAACTGAGGACTATCTGTACAGTGAAAATCTTACAGCAATGTAGATTTGTTCGTAAAAGATTTGTAGCCTTTAAAAATTACATGGTGAATTCCAATTTTCCCTCATAGGAAGCAAGGGCCAAATATCCCAGGACACATGTACCTTAGCAAGGGCTCTACTTTTCAACTTCCATTGGCTGGCAAGGAAAAAGCTCTCTTCTAACTCATAAAGTTCATCTAACTCCTCACCCCGGCGTTCTTGATCCTGAATGGGACACAAGAAAGAGTTCTTTTATTTATTTTAAGCCACTAGTCCATCGCAACTGACTGCTTGTCCTTGAAGATCACTCAGAAGCTGCAACTGATAAAAAATGCAGTCAGGTGAGTATTTATGAACCCGTTTTGCTTTATCCAAGATAAATGCAGAGGTATAGTGGTAGGCGCAGATGGTAATAACTGCGAGAGGGACATTGGAGTCCTAGTGGACATGTCATAAAAGAGCCAATGTTCCCCACCCATGGCCTAGACCAGGGGTCTTCAAACTTGGCCCTTTTATGACTTGTGGACTTCAACTCCCAGAAATCCTCAGCCGAGCATGCTGGCTCAGGAATTCTGGGAGTTGAAGTCCATAAGTCATAAAAAGGCCAAGTTTGAAGACCCCTATACTAAGCTATTCAATAAACTCCACTTTGAATAAAATGGGCAATTTCATGGCCAGCTGGGAAACCATACTTTGATCTCACAGTTGTCCTAACAAACTACACTTCTCTTCATTTGGGTGTTGCATAACTCTCCAACCGTATCTGCAAGGAGGATCAAGATGGCAAAGTCAGTGTTACAATCCAAAACCCAATCTTGTAAAAAAAAAAAGGGGGGGGGAGTCGGATTGAAATAATGATAATGTCCCCACCATCTTTCAGTGGCAATCTCTACCATGAAGTGATGAATTCACAAATGAAGAAGGATATTAGAAAAAAGCAATAGCAATAGCACTTAGTAGACTTATATACCGCTTCATAGTGTTTTATAGCTCTCTCTGAACGGTTTACAGAGTCAGCCTATTTGCCCCCAACAATCTGGATCCTCATTTTAACGACCTCGGAAGGATGGAAGGCTGAGTCAACCTTGAGCCAGTCAGGATCGAATTCCTGACAGTGGGCAGAGTTAGCCTGCACTACTCCATTCTAACCACTATGCCACCAGGGCTCCTAGGAAAAGATGTTAATGCTTCTCTGGAGTTTTTCTAATAATATGACGTCCACTCTATTCGGTTCTTCGTGTTTATAGCTGAATTTTGACTAGGACATTTGAATATATTTTCTTGTTTTATTGACCCTAAGCCTCCTGCAGTTACGCCATGGGGTGGAACACCAGTGATTGCCCTAGAAATAGAGGGTGGGGGGAAGTAATTTTCCCAAGAAGCCACGTGTTGTGGAAGGATGAACCCCTAGGCCTGCGAAGATGCATAGGCAGGCACACATACACATCCATAAAGCAGTCAACTTCAAAATAAAAGCAATCCATGTGGACCAGACAAGGACAACCAAAAGGCCGGATGTAGCCCAGGGGACATAAGATGCCCAGGTTTTCCTTAGATCGGGGTAGGGAACCTTGGCTCTTTTATGACTCATGGACTTCAACTCCCAGAATTCCTGAGTCAGTTATGCTGACTCCCTACCCATGGCCTAGAACAGAGGTCTTCAAACTTGGCCCTTTTATGACTTGTGGACTTCAACTCCCAGAATTCCTGATTCAGCATATCTGACTGGAAGGAATTCTGGGAGTTGAAGTCCACGAGTCATAAAAGAGTCAAGGTTGCCTACCCCTGCGGCCTTAGATAATATCCATAGCAAGGCCTGAGGGAGCTCACTTTGGCTTCGAGGCGTTCTGTCTTCTCTCTTTCAATACGTTCCTTTTCGGCCTTCACAGCTTGTTCCTGCTCAAAACGTAAGCGGGCTTGCTCTGGGAACAAAATAAAAGACACAATTAACGAGGTTTCATTTACTTAATCGATCAGCCTGATTCCTTGAACGCAAACACAGGTAGTCCTTGACTTATGACCACAAAATCCCCATTCGTAAGGAAGACGGCTGTTCAGTGAATTTTGCCTCACTTTACGATCTTTCTGACCACAGTTGGGAAGTGAATCATTGCAACTGTTCGGCGAGTAACACGGTTGTAAAGTGAATCTGGCTTCCCCATTGACTTTGCTTGTCCGAAGGTCGCAAAAGGGGATCACATGACGCCGGGACTCTGCGACCGTCAGAAATATGAGTCCGTTCCCAAGCGTCTGAATTTTGATGACATGAGTCATGGGGAGGCTGCAACGGTCACAAGTGTGAAAAACGGTCATAAGTCACTTTTTGCAGTGCCGCTGTGACTTTGAATGGCCACTAAACGAACCGAGGGTCAAAAGCCACCTACCTTCCTCCAGCATTCGACGTTCTTCCTCTTCTCTTAACAATTTCATCCGTTCCGCTTTACTAATCTTCTTACTACCAGCAGACTGAACCCACACAAAATAATGGAAAGGAAATTAAAGGACAGAGCAGAAAAGGGACTCGATATATATTTCTTACCCTGAAAAATATATTGGTAAAAATATATCCGCTTTTTCAAATCAAGGCGTAGTTCGTTTTGAAACTTGTGGAATGGAGGACGAACTGGTCTTTATTTTCCTTTTGGAAAGATGTTGACATTGAAATGGGCAACTGAGAGATCACAGGTTGGATAAATCTACTCACATCACCTGGACACATCAGAGCTGCCATTTTAATCGCCCACAATGCCCCATCATTTGGCAATGCTGAGGAGCAGCTGGGAAACTAAAATGGTGGTGCTGTATGCTAAGACTTTCTGAATCTCTGACACAGAAGGTCCTCCAAAGAGGTCCGTCAGCTTCAAATTCAGTATGGAGACATCCCTGCTCTTCTCTTGTAATGACTATTTGCTCCAGTGCAGGACACCTTCTGCCCTAGCAATCTAGAACAGCAGTAGGCAACCCAATCTTCTTCAGATGTCCCAAAGGTGCTTTTTTCAAGAGGCCACTGGACTTTCTTGTTTTTCTTTGAAGACGTTTCGCTTCTCATCCAAGAAGCTTCTTCAGCTCTGACTGGATGGTGGGGAATGGAAGGATTTATGCTCCTTGCAGACAGCTGGTCATTTGCATTTTTAGAGAGTCGTAGAGGCCACCTGGAGTCCAGCTGCCTCTTGAAAAAGCACCTTTGGGACAACCATGACCTGGATGACTGAGGGTCTCCATTGACATATTCTTCAGATGTTTCTTCTGGCTTCCCCATTGAATTTGAATTCAGCTCAAGCAACTTTGGCCAGGCTGGCCAATAGCAAGAAATTGCAAGAGTTATTGTTCAACTTTAGGTATTGGAAGACAGATAAGGAAACTCTTAATTTTACAAACTAATATCGGGGTAGAATGGGGAAAGCCCAATGGACACGAAATCTGAATTTCTACAATGCACATGACATTTAATTTTTGCATTTCTACATGATGTACATTAAATGTACACAATGTACATAAGATTTGCACAAAATTAAATGAAACGTTCAATGAAACAGCTTATGAAAATGCTATCAATTTATACAAACTACAAGGACATTGTCTGGACTGATTAAGCAATCAGAATTAGCTTGTTGTCCACTGCACTGAAATCTGTTAAACAAGGTCCATGATATCCACATTTTATTATCTTACTTATGAAGACTGCTACCTCACCGAAGAATGGTGAATAGCTCCATGCACTTATCTATGTATTGGGCATCATGCCAAGGTGGGTCACAATGCACTTTTGTCCATTCTTCCTAACTGGAGGAGGCCACTGGCTGGTAACCAAAGCCAGGCAAGAGGGCTTCTCGAGATATTCCCCAACCCCAGATGTGATCTTGCAACTTCCCAGATCTTGAAGGACATCATGACAATGCTTTCTTGGGTCTATTGAGAGGACAGCAAAACATTGCCCTAAGTATTCCCAGCAGTATAATTATAGTGTGGACACTCAACTGTCTTCAAGATGATGTTGGGCGTAGGTCCTATGATCCAGAGGTCCCCAACCTTTTGGGCACCAGGGACCAGTTCTGTGGAGAAAGGGTTTTCCACGGACTGGAGGGTGTGTGCTTTTGTGTGCTGCCTGCATCCCACAGATGGGACTTGGCTTGTTTGTGTGAACCGGTTGCTGGCATGCCACGGCCCGGTACTGGTCCACAGACCCGGGATTGGGGACCCCTGCTATGATCCTCAGATAATGCATACGAACTGGGGCTATTGGGAATTAGGTCCTGAACCACTGTCTAACTACAGGTTCTTCACTATTATACTAGAGTTCATCAAAAGTGTGTTTTGTCTTCCCCACAAAATTAATCATATGGTCAAAAGGAAAGAAGCAAAATTTGGGTGAGGAGAAGATATATATGACTATGGAGGATGGGGAGATACTGGCAAGGCACAATGGCCACCTGGCGGGAAGGAGAAAGGCAGGAGGCAGGATGAGATGAGTTTTTCTCAGCTGTGCCAGAGGAAACCCTAGGTAAGTCTGTCAGAACAGTCACTAAACGACCGGTCGTAAGTTGAGGACTACCTGTATATGCTTCTTCTGAGGCAAGAATCAAATCAATAGCATTTCAAACATCTCAAAAATCACACGTGATTGTGGAGGTGTGTCAATTTCACAACCTCTGTGGTTACAGAAGGTGAAAGTCTAACCATAGAAGTATTAAGGTGCTCCAGATGTTGATGCATTACAACAGGGGTCTTCAAACTTGGCCCTTTTATGACTTGTGGACTTCAACTCCCAGAATTCCTCAGCCAGGCACACTGGCTGAGGAATTCTGGGAGTTGAAGTCCACAAGTCATAAAAGGGCCAAGTTTGAAGATCCCTGAACTACAACTTCCAACACTGAACCATTGGCTATGCTGGCTAGGTTGATTGTGAACTGTAGTTCAGCAACACCTGGTGCTAGCAGGGGGTGTCAACAAATTTAGGTCACATTGAAGGGGACTGTAAATGTGTTAATCATTCCTGCACTTAAATTCCATGTCATTAAAAATAACTGTCAAGTTTATCCTAATGCAGTGTTTCCCAACATGGGCAAATTCAAGATATGTGGACTTCAATTCCCAGAATTCCCCAGTCAACTATGCTTAAATATCTTTAAACTGCTAAGGTTGGGAAACTGCCCCAAAGGATTGAAATGCATTGTATGAACTAATGTACTTGTAATATATTTTGTTACACTAAAGTGGACCATAATTTGAAGTTATAATCTATTATCAACATTAAATATATGAGCTATTGGTAAGTATTAAGTGATAAGAGATTAAGTATTAAGTGATAAGTATTAATGCCTCCGAGATTAAGTATTAAGTGTTACGTATTAATGCCTCTAAGATTAATTTAGCTATCTGTCTACCTACATACCTTTTTCTTTTTGGGACCCTAAATGCAGAGAGAGAGAAAAAAGAAGAGGGGGAAAAATCAGAAAAACACAATAAAATTGTCAAGAGGGGAACAAAGTAGTTAGAATTCCATCTTACCATCAGCCTACTGGCTGTGTTCACACAAACACTGAATTGGATTCTTGAATTAACTCAAACCCAATTAACTGAGCATCCCCAAATGGAAATAAAACATTTTTAGGGGGAAAGAAAAAGAAAGAAAGAAATCCGGGTTATGTTTTTTTTTTAAAAAAAAGACATGGAGATTATAGCCTCAATGGGGACGGAAGTGCCAGATCCACCAACTGCAGTTCACGAGGTGACTGGCTGCGTTCACACAACACGTTGACCCACTCGCGTGCTTCATCTCTTTGGAAAGGGTCTACAAGCGAGACGCGGGGGTGATTTGCATATGCATATAAGATATGCAAATAAACCCACCCCCAGGTTGGGGAAAGGGCGTCACTCACCATTTTTCAGCGGCACCCCAATAACCCGGGCTGAAAAGTTGTTGATGACCCCGCCCCTCCGTTTCCGCGGCAACGAGTCCCGCCCCTCCCCCAGGCGCTCCGAGAGTCCCGCCCCTTTGACGCTCCTCCTGGCAAACTGGAATGAATTCAACCCAAGAGGTTGGAAGGCTTGTTTGTGAAAACACTTCCGGTTCCCAAATGAACTTTATGGAGGTGGGAACTCTATGGCTCCCCCCACGCTACTAATTATACAGAAAGAGCATTGAGAAAATCGGTATTCGTGGCGCTTTGGGTGGAAATAAAGTAAGGATCGGGTTGTTTTGGGGGGGCAATCCGTGCAATGATGGAGGTTTGGCCAGTGCGAACATTGAATTCGGAAGTGATGATTGGGTGGCAGCTTTCATTTTGTTCTTCCTCTATGATTTAATCATTTCCCATCTTTGTTATATGGCAAGTCAGCGCAGGCGCATTACTCCCAATGCAGACCTGCAATAAGCTTAACCAGTATTCTCGATCTATAGCACTGTTTCTCAACCTCAACAACTTTAAGATGTGTCGACGTGCTGGCTGGGGAATTCTGCGAGTTGAAATCCAAACATCTTGAAAGTTGCTGAGGTTGAGAAACACTGATCCAGGGTTTTGCAAATAAGGTAGGTGGTATAATTATATATTATATGTTTCATATGTTTTTACATACTAACATGCGACATGCTAACTTGGATACACAGGGAAGATTAACAGTTGGAAGGGACCTTGAAGGTCATCTAGTCCAACCCCCTGCCCAAGCAGGAGACCCTGCACCATTTCTGACAGATGGCTGTCCAGTCTCTTCTTGAAAGCTTCCAGTGATGAAGCTCCCACAACATCTGGAGGCAAACTGTTCCATTGGTTGATTGTTCTCGCTGTCAGAAAATTTCTCCTTATTTCTAGGTTGAATCCAAGTTGAAAATCTAGGGGAAAAAATTGAGCACCCTTTTAAAATTAACCAAGCTTTGCCTATCGTGTGAATGGAGCCGCCAACTCTTGCTGAGGATGAATTCCATTGATGAACGATGAATTCATTCATCATTGATAACGATGTGATGAAGTCCATTAGGTCAAACGGGACTCTTTTTCGAGAGCAGAGGCACCCCCTCTTCCCTTTCGTACCTCTATCTGCCCCTGCCTGCGAATCTTAGGCGATGCCATCCTGGACGTTTGAAGAGTCGTCTGTCCCCGCCCCTCCAGCTCGTGCGCAGGCGCAGTAGCCGTCAGACTCCCTGGGAGGCTGTGCGAACAGCTGGAGAAGTTGCAGTTCCTGGACTGCGCAGGTAGTGAATTTTAACTCGAACTTTAGTGAAGTTGTGATTTACATTCGCACCGGTTTGCGGGGGGGGGGCTCTCAGACTCCGAGGACTCGATTTTATTGGTGGGGCAGCTTGCAGTTGTAGCCTGCAGCCCTCTTGATATGTTGAAGTACTACAGCTCCCATCATCCACAGGCTTGCCTGGCTAGCCATGTTGACTGCTGAATAGGAAATCTCTTGACATTAGCTGGGTTCGTGGTGTATATATATATATATATATGCAGGAGCTCGACAGGTTGCAGAGCATTCCTTTTTCCTTACAACAACCCTGTGAGGTTGGTGGGGGAATCTTAGGAATGGGCCAAAGTCGCCCAGGGAGTTTCTGTGGTTGTGGAGGGATTCGAACCTGGGTCTCGCTGTTCTCAGTTCAGCCCCTTCACCACTGCCGCACCCTGGTGAGGGCAGGTCATAAGCAATAACTTTTTCCTATAACTTTTTCTGACTTTTCCAGCCAATTTGTTTTCCTTGGTTGATTTTTTTTTCCTGCAAACTCCTGCATTCTTGCCTAAAATCTTTTTTTTTTTTTTTAATGTGCATCTTGACTCCAATCTTTTATTTCCATCACTGGAGGTTTCAAGAAGAGACTGGTCAGCCACTTGTCTGGAATGGTATAGTCATAGTGTCTTCTGCTTCAGCAGGGAGTTGGACTAGAAGACCTCTAAGATCCCTTAATCAGGGGTCCTCAACCTTGGCAACTTTAAGACTTGTGGACTTCAACTCCCAGAATTCCTCAGCCAGTTTTGCTGGCTGAGGAATTCTGGGAGTTGAAGTCCACAAGTCTTAAAGTTGCCAAGGTTGAGGACCCCTGCCTTAGGTCCTTCTCAGTCCTGTTATTTTATGTTCTGTGTATTGGAAGCTGTTTGGAATTTTCCCGTTGGCTTTTATGGTCACGTCCCAAATCTTCTCATTCAGATCATGGAAATATTTAGTACAATTCATCACCAGCTAGAGCTGCTGGGAGTTGGGCAGCCTCTAAATATATAAATTTAATAAATTATTATCGCCATTGGTCCATAAATGCATGTTCCATAAGGTTGGGATATCAGTTCTTTTTTTTCTATCCCAGTTAATTCAGTTTTGAAGTGTTGGGAGATTGTGTTCAAGAGGGATTGGATTACAGGTTACCCGTGACCTATGACCTTTTTCGCACTTATGACCGTTGAAGCATCCCTATGGTCACATGATCATAATTCGTAGAGTCAACTGGCTTGTATTTATGACAGTTGTCATCAACTGATGCATGTTATTCCCTTTTGTGACCTTCTGATAAAGTCAATGGGGAAGCCAGCATCATTTTATAGCTGTGTTACTAACTCAACAAGTACAGTAATTCCCTTAACAACTGTGGCAAGAAAGGTCGTAAGATGAGGCCAAATTTCCTTCACTATTTTGCTTAGCAAAGAAAATTTTGGACTCAGTTGTGGTTGTATGTTGAGAATTATCTGTACTGCTATATTTTTTGTTGTTGTACCCTCTTGCCATATACAGAGAATAAATTAAGAAAATTTCCCTAAAGAAGACAGTAACATATTTCTCTTGCCAAAAGACACACACACACACACACACACACATAACATGTCCTTGAAGTCACCCGGTGTGAAAGAAGGCTATTTTTAATTATCTAAAGTGAAAGGCCATTCAGAGATTTAATCGGAGTTAAGTGGTGGAGAAATCTGAATCTGAGAGGGTGATTCTTGTCAATCGTGAAGAACTGTTCAGATTATGCAGCTCATTTTAAAATGATTGTCCTTCAGGTAAATATGCCAGTCCACATGAATAAAACGGACGTAGGTCTCAACTGACAACATGGCCAACCCTCTTAGATATGAAGTACTGAATCTGTACAAAAACGTAAGTTCTGAGGACTAACTCAGCCCTCTCCCAGTGGTTGACCTCTGAATATCTTGACCTGTACTCCTTTAATCCTCAGCCTGATGAGAGTTTATGTCCAGCCATTGGAAGGACACCTGGCTAGGACAGACAGAGTAATTGGCCCTAAATAAGAATTTCTGTGATTTGTTGGTTGTGTAAAACTCAACCTTTTCTTGTGTTTTGAAGCTTCTGTATCTGGGAAAGGAGTACCCCAAAGGGGCTGATTACTTTCGAACCCGACTCAAGGCAGCCTTCCTGAAAAACAAGGAAGTGAAGGATCCAGAAGAAATCAAAAAACTGATTACCAGAGGCAAGTTTGTCATTAAAGAACTGGAAGCCTTGTACTTCCTCCGAAAATATCGAGCTCTTAAAAAACGATACTACGAGGACAGTTGAGCACTAACCGGTTGTAAAATCTGCAAGGCATTTGTAGCCAATGGGTTAAATGGTGGGTGATTGGCCTGTAGTAATAATAATAAAATCTGTTGAATGATGGATTCGTTCGTTCGTTCGTTAGTTCTGCAGAAATCAGGGGTTAAAGAAAGGCAGAGTGGCATTTGCTACCATCAGGCTGGGGAGCGGCTATTAATTGAGATAGATTTAAAACTATTAAAAGAAATATAAATAGATTTAAAACTAGATTTAAGACCAGAATAGTCTTCCCGAATGTTAATTCCCCCAGCATCACAGACAGCGTATCTTCCATGCCAGCTTTTGGGCGTAACTGGGTGAAGACCATCACCATCTAATGTGAACATCTTGCAAACTTCTGCTTGGTCTACAGTAGGGGTCTTCAAACGTGGCCCTTTTATGACTTGTGGACTTCAACTCCTAAAATTCCTCAGCCAGTGTGCCTGGCTGAGGAATTCTGAGAGTTGAAGTCCACAAATCAAGGGGTCTTCAAACTTGGCCCTTTTATGACTTGTGAACTTCAACTGTTGAAGCCCACAAGTCATAAAAGAGCCAAGTTTGAAGACCCCTGGTATACAGAATGCTGAAGGGGAGAACAGTCATAGCCCAATCCAGCCTCACGTTTTTGTTCTTAATATCCCCATAATTACAATCCTTCAGGAATTCATCCGTGATATTCTCCAGTTTGTGTCATCTAACCACTGGTATATTTAAAGAGTTGGTAACAGGGTCTATAAAGGTTTATTGAACTCTGAATACCTCATCTGACCCACCAGCAAAGCAAATCAGGATTCTGTCACCTATTAACAATTATTGACATACACAGACATCCCAAAATTAACCCACTTCACTTCTTCACAGTCGGCTGTTAATTAAATATGCTGGGTTATCCTACTTTTGTAGGATACGGTTAATCTTAACCGTAACCCAGTTTCTTTTCACTTTGAATTTTTATTTTTTTACACCTTTTTTTTGGCTAACCAAGTGTTTCACCTCAATCAGAGTTTTTCAAACACTTGGCAACTTTTAAGATGTGTGGACTTCCAACTCCCAGAATTCCCCAGCCAGCTGGAATTCTGGGAGTTGAAGTCCACACACCTTAAAAGTTGCCAAACCTGAAAAACACTGGACTACATAAATAGTATTTGTTGGGGTTGCAGTCTCTTTTTTTCAATTCCATTCTCACCTTTTCCAGTTTTTGTCATTCAGAAAGGGCGCATATACCACCCTGGATCATGTGACCAGAAAATAGAATTTGGATACAGGAGTCAATAACTTCATGAGCCCATAGGGGGAAATTTTAATTTTTTTTTTCTCAGCATCTTCTGGACCTATCCAGCCTAATTTGGAACTTGAACGTTCTTTTTAATGGCTCATCCTTCATGCTAAAATTGGTGGTCTGTCTAATCAGAAATCATTAACATTTTTTTCCAGTTTCATGCAAAAAATGTCTTAAGAGGTTTCAAATCATCAATAAACATAGATGTTTTCTCTCTGATCATCTCAGCAAATTCCATCCTCTTTGGAGATTTTGCTTCCGAGGACAAAGAAATGGAGAAGGATGCACAAACCCTTTTCCTTTTTACTAAGTACAATGACAGCAATATCGTTGTTGGTGTGTAGTTTTCGTAGCATTTCACAGCACGTGCAGCTAGTAAAACTTTTGCAAAGGTTTAAGTGAACGGTGATTGTACTTCAAACGCCAGGGACCAATATCCTGAGGTCACGTGACCAAAATAAAAGGCAGCTTTGGAGATGGTAAACTCACCACTCTGTGAGTTTTCCTTCCTATTTTCACACGCTCAGAAAAAAAAATGCCTTGTAGTCATCATAACACCATTTCAAAACTCTGTGTAACAATGGAGCTACACCCAGGCACAAGTAAAGTATAAACTGCATTTGGATAGATAGACGGTTTCCTACTAATGTAAACCTCACACATATATTCAATGCTCCACTGAGAATAAGTGCTGAAATAGGAAGGATTCAGAATCTGTTTTAATTCAGGGATACTTTAATTGGGGGGGGGGTTGTTAAATTTCCTGCATTAAAAAATAGACAACTTTTTAAGGGGGTTTAAAATAAAGCATAAGGCATTCCTATCAGCTACCTGGAAAACGAAGACATTCGGATTGCAGGCTTCCTGCACGTCCAACATTTACACTAATGTAAGAAACGGCAGCTTAAATCGATTGAGGCACCATAATTCCCAGAATTCATCTCTCTGGTTGCATCAAGACCAACAAGCTGTTGCATGAATTGGAATAATCTCCGTTGCCAGACTAATAAGAATGCAGTCAGATCTGTGGGAATCCTTTTTTACCTGTACATGCATCTTTGCAGAGCTGACTAATCAGCCACCTGCCAGAACCAGTCCATAACCGGATTATTTCCAGAGAGTTGTTGAAGGCAACACCCGTCTTATCTGAACTGGCATTAGGCTGACTGCATTCCCACAGCACAGATCCTTGGCCGAGTGATCCCAAAACTCCTGTTCACACGATACAAGAAATCATAATAGGACCGTGCAATGCTTCAGAGTCCATTCTGAAGCTACGTGCTTTAGACAGAGCAGGTAAAGACATCCATATAAATAAATCACTTTGAGAACACTGACAAATTAGTTGACCACCTTCTGGATTGGCTGTGAAACTTACCCACTGGCAGGTTCTCAGTCCGGAGATCAAAATTATGTGAAAAAGAATAAAAAGAGATTGAACAAATGAAAAGGGCTTCAGCAGATCTCATCCTCAAGGGCATTTTAGAGACCGCTCTTACTGCAGTTTATTGTTCACATTGATCCAGCAAACAACCAAGGTCAGAGAGAATCCAGGATTCCACAGTTTGACCCTGAATTACACATAGTCTCTTCTTTTGGAAAGTCTTATCCCATTTAAGAGGAAATTTCCTGACAGTTGGAACAATTAATCAGTGGAACAGCTTGTCTCCAGACGTTGTGGGTGCTCCAACACTGGAAGTTTTTAAGAAGAGACTGGACAACCATTAATCTAGACTAGGGGTCTTCAAACTTGGCCCTTTTATGACTTGTGGACTTCAACTCCCAGAATTCCTCAGCCAGGCAGACTGGCTGAGGAATTCTGGGAGTTGAAGTCCACAAGTCATAAAAGGATCAAGTTTGAAGACCCCTGGCTTAGAAGTTGATTCCCTGACTATAGTCTCTGTCAGTCTTGAAACCTTTGGTCAGGAATAAATCTAATAACCTTTCACTCAGCTTCTCAGATAAACTAGGTAGAAAACTCACAGGTGCAGCCCAACTAGATTACAATCTTCATTGCAGGCCACAATAAATCCACCAACACCCCAGTTGCTGGCTGTAGAAAGTAAGGAAGATAATTTTGATAAATATATATATATACCAGAACTGTTATTTAGGTCAGAGGTCGCCAAACTTGGCAACTTTAAGACTTGTGGACTTCAGCTTCCAGAATTCTCCAGCCAGCCATGCTTGCTGGGGAATTCTGGGAGTTGAAGTCCACAAATCATAAAAGGGCCAAGTTTGAAGACCCCTGGTCTAGGGTTTCCTGCCTGAGCAGGGGGTTGGACTAGAAGACTTCCAAGGTCCCACCTCTGTTATTCTATTCTATTTCAGGGACACAATTTCAGAAGATATAGGGGAGGGGGCACCAAATGGACTGAGGTGATCCAAACTTCAATGGAACATTATATTCCATCTGGAATGGTAAATCTGGTGTCCTGGCTGAGAGAAAACCGCTCAGTTCTTCCTCCCTATGCCCGGAGGAAGGAACATCACGCATAAAACCGAGCTCCAGAGAAGAAAAAACAATGTTTATTTGCTACCATAACCGATGTTTCCAGCCTCCATTTAGCTCTAAGGCTGGTCCTCAAAAGTCCAGAGAAGGCTCAACGTTCTGGGCAAAAGGAAAACAAAATGGAAGCAAGCCAGAAGACCATGAGAAGATTCTGCGTGCACCGAGACACTCTGAAGAAGAACTTTCGGGAGGATCTGTTGCTTTGTTTCACAAGCGTGGAGAAGTTGGGAGAACTAGCTTCCCAGGATGATTCGGCACTTTTTTTTTTTTTTCCTACTGTGAGGAAAATAAGCCGTGGTTGGCAGGTTCAAGAAACAACGCGGCGGAAGAAGAAGTGATGTTAAAAACGTTCGTTCTAATAATTTAGTGTGACGGGTAGAAAAATGAGTCGGGACTCTTGACGGGTAAAGGATGGACAGTATTTTGTTGTTTGTTTTACAGGATTATACATTTCGTCTTGGACTTCTTTTTCTTCTTTTTGCCGTTTTTGCTCATCTTCTCTTTGTGCTTTCGGATCTCTCGGACTAATGTGTAAAAAGCGTCATCCACACCCTGCAGAGAGAAGCGAGAACTTTTAGTGCGAGACAAGAGTGACAGAATAACCGAGTTGGAAGGGACCTTGAAGGTCTTCTAGTCCACCCCCCTGCTTAGGCAGGAAACCCTATCCCATTTCAGACAAATGGTTGCCCAGTCTCTTCTTAAAGACCTCCAGTGTTGGAGTACCCACTACTTCTGGAGGCAAGTCGTTCCACTGGTTAATTGTTCTCACTGTCAGGAAGTTTCTCCTTAATTCCAGATTGCTTCTCTCCTTGATTAGTTTCTATCCATTGTTTCTTGTTTTGCCTTCTAGTACTTTGGGAAATAAGTTGCCCCCCTCCTCTTTGTGGCAGCCCCTCAAATATCGACACAAACGATACATGATCACCTGGGGTCCCTTATTGCTGCACCCCAAAGTTTTAGCAAGTTTGTCTCTCCTGTTTCCTCTAAGAAACTCGATGTCTTTTGCTAGGTTTTATAGCCTGCTTCCGGTTTTCCTGAAAATCTTTGAGAAACAATTCATTTTATAAGCAGTCCTCGGCTTATGAGCACAGTTGAGCCCAAAATTTCTATTGCTAGGCAAGAACATTTATTAAGTGAGTTTTGCCCCATTTTACGACCTTTCTTGCCACAGCTGCTAAGTGAATCACTGCAGTTATAAAGTCAGTAACACAGTTGTAAAGTGAATCAGGCTTCCCCCGTTGACTTTGCTCGTCAGAAGGTCGCAAAAGGGGGGTCACATGACCCAGGGACACACTGCAACCGTCATAAATACGAGCCAGTTGCTACGTGTCTGAATTATGATCACGTGACCAAAGAGATGCTACAACAGTCGTAAGTGCGAAAAACAGTCGTAAGTCACTTTTTAAAATGTGAGTGGGACTTTGAACAGTCACTAAACGAATCGTTGTAAGTCAAGGGCTACCTGTATAGAGTAGCTAATGCAACCTGATAGTAGCTCAGGGCCTTAGGCTATTACTTGCAAAATATAGTCCTCAATTTACAGCCATTCCTTCAGTGACCGTCTGAACTTACAACGGTGCTGAAACAAATGACTTACGATCTGGTCCTTGAGTTTACAACATTGCAGCATTCCAATGGCGTGATGGACAGTCGCATGATCAGAATTTGGGCACTGGCATGTATTTATATGTCAGTGTCTTGAAATCACGTGGACCGCCATTTACGAATTTACGAATTTCCCAATGGATTCGCTTACCGACCGCATCATTCATTGAAGAAATATAGTGATTCACTTAACAGCTATGGCAAAAAAGGTGGTTAAAATTGGGGCATGGCTCACTTAACCACGGCCTTGCTTAGCAACAGAAATTCTGATCCCAATTATGTTTATAAGTCAAGGACCATTTGCACACTGTAAGAACAGCTTGCAACAGAATGCAACTCCGCATCTGTGCTCAAGGCTAATTCTTATGAGATTCAACAGATCTACTCAGAAAATGGGATATGGGCATCAATCTTATGGACACTTATCCTGATGAATCAGGGTTTCCCCAGTGCCAATCCAACACCTTTACTATGATTGTTACATGCTGGTTTTCAGTAAGGCTTATTGCTAAGAAGGGAGAATGTAAATATTGGCAGTATTCCCCAACACACCAACACCTGATGGCTTCGTTCACATAATATACTAGGCCTTGCCAAGCTCTGGTAGCATAGCATGTTGTGTGAATTCAGCTCATAAGGTAATTTATATTCAACGTATTGTAAGAACCCAGAAAATGGGTCATGCCAATAAGCCAGTTGAAGTCTGTCATGTAAACCTAACAATTATGTACAACAGCAACAAGAAGCCAGGAGAAATGTAAAGTTTATTAGCATCCATTTCCTAGATATTTTACTTTCCAAAAGAGAGGAAAAACAGTACTATGTATTTCTGTAAGATACAGAGAAGCTAGGAGCAAAGGATCCCATCATTTAATAAACCCAATAAGCCACAGTGAAATATTTCCAATTTTTAGTCAATCAGATAATATTCAGCAGTGAGAATCTTACATTCACAAACATGGAATGACACATTGATTTCCATTATGGAAGAAGCAAAGGAATTAGCAGAAATAGTAAAATTGTCTCTTTTAATCAAAGAAAGGAATTTATCTAGCTTTGTTTCTATTTGAAAAGCACTTCTGGACTTTTTGCTTGAAACTGAGGAAAAAAACTGAAACTTTGATTTTAGGGTTTGATGATTATAAGGCTTTTGTAATTATAGAAACAGTTGAAATCTTATGAAATGTAAAGCAAAGGCCTGTGAAGATCATATATATATATATATATATATATATATATATAAATAACTTTTTCATCACTGTTGTGAATCCAAAAAAATGCTGTATGAGGCAGTCACTCAATGAGGACTACCCGCTTCACACTTGCTGGTAAAACAAATGGAATGTTGGGCAGTCTTTCAGAAAGCTGCCTGGACAAGGACCCAATCAGGACTCAGCCGCTCAAAGCAACCAACCAGAACCCAGCCCAAGCAACGAACCAATCAGGAATCAGCACTGCAAAAATGCTTTATTAGAGAAAAGACAATTGCCTATATTGATTGGTGACTGGAAACCCTGCATGGATTTTTTTGCATAAAAAAACAACAACTTTTGATTTATGGTTTTGATTATTAGACAGGATAGTTTATAAAAAGAAGAGAGTCATGATGTAACTTCAGAAAGAAAGGTTGATTTATAATTGTATTTTTAACTGCTGTAAAGAAGATTGGAAATCACCTTATATCTTTCCTTATACCTTTTTTTTTTTTACTTTCTTTCTGGACTTTCAGCTTTTTCTTTTTTTCTTTCTTTCTTGCTTCTTTTTCATTCTATTTTAGTTTTATTCTATCTTACTGTTTTTATATATGTGTGTGTGTATATATATATATATGTGTTTGTGTGTGTATATATATACACACAAACACACACACACATGTGTCTATATATATATACACACACATATACATATACACACATGTGTCTATATATATACACACACACATATATATATACACACACACACATATATACATATACACACACACATATATATACACATACACACACACCACATACACACACAGGGTGCAATTGTAAAAGAAAGCTCAGCGCACACACACGCACACACACACACATTTATATAGCAGGCCCAATTGGTAAAAGAAAGCTCAGGACACACATACACACACATATATATAAATCAGAGGTAGGCAACCTTGGCTCTTTTATGACTCATGGACTTCAACTCCCAGAATTCCTGAGCCAGCATGGCTCAGCATGGAAACCTCTCCCTTTCCCCTCAGCATGGCTGGCTCAGGAATTCTGGGAGTTGAAGTCCACAAGTCATAAAAGAACCAAGGTTGCCTACCCAATATAAATTATAAATTATATGAACAGCTATACAAAAATGATGAATCAGAAGACCAAGAACAAAGAATCAAACAGGAACCAAGAACACCAGAACAACCAATCAGGATCAGACCCCAATCAGGGACTAGCCCTCACCACCCTGCCCCAATTGGAAAGCAGCTTGGATGAAGATCAGTCAGAAGTCAAAACACTTGGCCATAAAACAGAATCGCGTCTGCAGAGCAGGCCACTTCGCCTCTGAAGATGCCAGACACCAGCTGCTGATGAAATGTCAGGAAATCTCTTCTCTAGATTGTGGCGACTTTAAAACCTGAAGCCCAACCTTGTCCAATAGATCTTGGCCATGAAAGCCTCAATCCACATATATTTTCCCAACAATTGTTCTTTCAGTCACAGTGCAGTGACCTCTGGTACAGGCAGTCCTCAACTTAGTGACTGTTCGAAGTTACGACACTGAAAAAAAGTGACTTAATTCTTAACCGTTGCAGCATCCCTGTGGTCACGTGATCAAAATTCGGATGCTTGGCAACTGGCTTATATTTACGACGGTTGCAGTGTCCTGGGGTCATGTGAACCCCTTTTGCAACCTTCTGACAAGCAAAGTCGACGGGGAAGCCTAATTCACTTAACAACCGTGTTATTAACAACTGCAGTTATTTACTTAACAAGTATGGGCAAGGGAAGTTGTAAAATGGGGTAAAAACTCACTTAACGTATCTTACATAGCAACAGAAATTTTGGGCTCAATTATGGTCATAAGTTGAGGACTGCCTGTGTGGAGACTATTTCTCACCCATGCCACTCTAACTCTAACCCTGTTGACCAATAATCTATGTACATGCTTGGAAAATCAGTGAGATCTCACAAAAAAGCATCAGCTTCTTATGAAGCCCTGTGACTTCAGCGAATTTTGGAAAACATAATTTTGGAATGACATAATGAGAGAGTAACAGAGTTGGAAGGGACCTTGGAGGTCTTCTACTCTAAGCTCTGGTATGGAGACCCTACACCATTTTGGACAAATGGCTGTCCAGTTTCTTCTTGAAAACCTCCAGTGATGGAACATCCACAACTTCTGGAGGCAAGTCGTTCCACTGATTAATTGTTCTAACTGTCAGGAAATTTCTCCTTAGTTCTAGATTGGTTCTCTCCTTGATTAATTTCCATCCCATTACCTTCTTGTCCTGCCTTCAGGTGCTTTGGAGAAGAGGTCAATCTCCTCTGTGACAGCTCCTCAAATATTGGAAGACAGCTATCGTGTCGCCCCTAGTCCTTCTCTTTGTTAGACTAGACATACCCAATTCCTGCAATCATTCTTTGTGTGTTCTAGCCTCCAGCCCTCTAATCATCTTTGTCGCTCTTCTCTGTGCTCTTTCTGAGTCTCCACATCTTTCTGTTTATTCGTCTGGACATTTTGGAGAGGCAATTGATCCAGCACTGTACACAATTAAGTTCCTTCAAATGTGTTGGGCTACAATCCCTAACATCCCCAAATCTTCTCCGAGTAGGCAATGAGAGACCCAGCCTGGCACAGTCAGAGAGGACCAAAAAGCTCCTACAGCAGAAAAAAAAACTTCGAAAAGAATTCAATCGGCAGCGACTTAACAATCATTCTGAAATTAGGAGAATTCATCAGAGAAAAAGTTGGAAGTTAGATTTGATTCATACTGGTCGAACCCGTTTTTTTTTTCTCCTGTCAAATGCTTAGGATATTTCTCCCCCCTCCCCCCGCTTTAAACAAAATTGAAACTTACCCGGTTACATTAAAAGGCATTTTTTAATTTTCACACACCCAGGAGTCTTTTCTTCCGTGCTGACTTTTGTCAATCGGTGCTGCTGTATCTCTCGCACCAAGGTGTAGAAAGCATCTTCCACTCTCTGTTGTTGCAAGACACAACTCCTTTAGAGTCGGTTTTCGTTTGCGCAGGCGATAAAGCAGGGCCTCGCCCAGGAGCCAGGAGGAAGTGGAAATTGACTACCAAACTTTGGAGAAAAGTAGGGGAGAGGGGTCTCCGGCCTTTCCTGGTGAAAATCTTGGGATGTCATCTGCATTCACCATGGCCGATGGCAAAATATATCAATGTTCAGAGAAACCACCTTCCATACACATTGCGATCCTTCAGATGGGCTGGCTCCACAATACGTCTACAGAACATCTGTTTCTACAGGTTTTAGTCCCAAAAGTTCTTTTTCAAAACGCAACTGGACTTTCCTTGTTTTTCCTTAAAGACAGTGGTGGCGAACCTTTTAGAGACCGAGTGCCCAAAGTGCAACCCAAAACCCACTTATGCATCGTCGGGTGCCAGGTGGGTGTGGCCCATTGGGTGGGTGTGGCCCATTGGGTGGGCCTGGCTGCGGTGGTAATGGCAGACTGGGTGGGACTAAAAAGTTCAATCAATCAATTCCAACTTTGCAAGATTTTTTTTTTCCCGCAAGAAGTTGAAATTGACTGATTGAACTTTTTTTTTTTTTTGCACACGGTGGCGGAGGCCTAAAGCGAAAAGGTTTTATAAAATCCAGCTGAAGGCCTAGGACTGGGGCGACGGTGCGCGTGCCCACAGAGAGGGCTCTGAGTGCCGCCTCTGGCACCCGTGCCATAGGTTCGCCACCACTGTTTAAAGACATTTTGCTTCTCATCCAACAAGCTTCTTCAGTTCTGACTGAACAGTGGAGAATGGAAGGATCTTATATTCCAGTGGTGGCGAACCTATGGCACGGGTGCCAGAGGCGGCACTCAGAGCNCTAAGTCCGTGGTGGCGACCCTATGGCACGCGTGCCACGGGTGGCACTCAGAGCCCTCTCTGTGGGCACGGGTGCCGTTGCCCCGGTCCTAGGCCTTCAGCTGGGTTTTATAAAACCTTTTCGCTTTAGGCCTCTGCCGCCATGTGCAAAAAAAAAAAAAGGTTCAGTCAATTTCAACTTCTCGTGGGAAAAGGAAAGATCTTACAAAGTTGGAATTGATTGATTGAACTTTTTAGTCCCACCCAGTCTGCCGTTACCACTGCAGCCACGCCCACCCAATTGCCCACACCCAGCCAATAGGCCACACCCAGCCAATAGGCCACATGCACCCGGCACTCGAGGATGCATAAGTGGGTTTTGGGTTGCAGTTTGGGCAGTCAGTCTCTAAAAGGTTCGCTATCACTGTTATATTCCTTGCAGTCATCTGGTCGTTAGTACTCTCCCTGAGAGTCGTTGAGGCCGCTTGGAGGTTTATCTGTGCCCTCAGAATCACCTGACTGGGGCAACTGGGTGTGGAACTGTCTTGCAACTGCTGATCGGACACAAGGTCTCCTCTATGTTCTATGTTTACACGAGACCACAAGCAAAGCACAACTTTGCATGATCCATATAATGACACCATGCATACGACGTCATGCTTTTAAAGCAGACTGCTCTGCTTGGAGGGACGTATGGCTGCTATCCACCTCTTATAAATCTGATCTAATATGTAAATGAAGGTTGAATCATCCAGGCCAAAGGTATCTGAAAAGGTTAAATCGTGGCAACTGGGCCAAAGTTTACTAATACTGAGACGTTTCATTTCTCACCCGAGTAACGTCTTCCGTCAACGTGAAAAATTGGGGTAGGCAAAGAGTCAGAGAGTTGTTGGAAAGAACCAACTCTTGCCATACAGACTGCAAGGGGTTTCTCCCCAAAACGAAAAGGAAACATGTAAATGAACTTTAGTAATAATTTAATAATTTTTAATGCTGTTTTAACAAACTTTGGTCCAGTTGCCACGGCTGAAAGGAGTGTGTTGTAAACAGGAGATGGGTGATATTCTCTCTCTCTCCCTCCCTCAATTTTAATGTAGATGGCCTCTTTGACCCCTCTTTCAAACCAGCGGTCCTCTCTATCCAGAACGTGGACTTTGCTGTCTTCCAAAGACTGGTCGTCATCTGGTTTTTCAAATGCAGATGGGCTGCTGAATCTTGTCCTGATGGGTTTGTTCTCCTATGTTGTGCCATGCATTTGTGAAGTGTGGTTGTTTTGCTTCTCCAACGCATTGTCCCGCATACATGCACACTTTAAAGCCAAGAATATACAAAGCAGAAGCTTGCCCACCCTGAAGATAAAAACACCCAGACACAAGCTGAGCAATGTGATATATGCAGGACAATGCAGTGGGACATTCAGTCAGAACCGAAGAAGCTTCTTGAATGAGAAGCAAAATGTCTTCAAGGAAAAGCAAAGAAAGTCCAGTTGCCTTTTGGAAAAGCACCTTTGGGACAATCATGACCTGGATGACTGAGAATCTCCATAAACTACAGGTTTTAACTTAGTCTCTCAGGTTAAGCCATTGTGTGATTAATTTTGTGGGTGTTGGGAGTAGACTTAGTCAGTGTGGTTTGTTAAACATGGTGTATGGCAGGGGTCTTCAAACTTGGCCCTTTTATGACTTGTGGACTTCGACTCCCAGAATTCCTCAGCCAGCGTGCCTGGCTGAGGAATTCTGGGAGTCGAAGTCCACAAGTCATAAAAGGGCCAAGTTTGAAGACCCCTGGTGTATGGCTTCAGCACAGTGTGGCTCTTTCAAGGATGAATGAAGTGGATCCAACCAGATTTAATTTATCTGACTATGTCGAGTGCCCCCACAAACAATGACAATTTAGGAGCTAAATCAAGTGGTCTTGAACCCTTTCCACTTCAGGACTTTCCATTTCAGCGTCAAGTCATTAAACAAGGATCTCTAGTCCATACTGAATATTCTGGGTGAACTTCTAGTCAATCTGGCTCAGTTTCACCTTAACATTTAGGGCTTCAGAATATACCTTTTTCCTCGTAGCTTTAGAGAAAATGGAAACTTTCATACAAACTTATCAGAAGAACCTCAGATTTTTGGAAAGGCTATGAGCTAAGCACCTGTAGATGTCCCATCACCAAGCGCCAAACGTTTCCCATCAATATTGTCCTGGCAAAGTCACCTTGATTGAACCCCTTTGATCACCATCACAATGCCACGTGCATGCTGGATCATAACCCTCTTTTTAAGCCTCCCATAAGAAAATGGGAGACGTGGTGAATTCTGTTGTCCATGTGCCCCTCAATTTAGAGCATCTGGATGCTCTTTGCCCCCCATCCTAACGCCTCAAAATAGGAGCTGCAATTCTTTCACCCATACAGACAAATCAACATGGCCACCACCGTGGAGATAAAGCAGAGCAATCATTGGAGAACGGCCCACTGGGGCAAAATGCTTCACCATCAGGAGGAAAAAGAAGAAGGTCTGGAGAAAGGCCTTTAAAGAAGCCCTGGAGAAGGTCTGGAGAAAGGTCTTTAAGGAAGACCTGGAGAAGGTCTGGAGAAAGGTCTTTAAAGAGCCACCCATCACTGGAAGACCCCGTTTTTGAAGCACATCAACCAGTACATCAATTTGTTGAGACCCCATATAAATATCTCAAATCTCATAGATAAACAACAAAGATTTCTGACTTCCAAGATCTCACTCACTGCAGAACACACGGTGACGAGGTGTGATTTTATCCTTCTTCCAGTGGCACTGCTAAAATAAAAATCTGAAAGGCCCGGAGCTACCCACGAAACACAACTCTCTACAGGGCAAGATCTGATGCTGAGAACATGTTTTGAGACGGAGAATTCTTCAAATCTTCGAATCGCCCCTGAAGGTAGAAATGGCAAATCACTTCTGCATTTTTGTGGATGACACTCTTGTGAGTGAGATCCAGGTGATCACCAAGAATCCAGTTTAACTTGAGATTGCTTTACAATTCAAAGATATTTACAAAATGTCTTGTTCTTGTATATGTTGAATTGGACGTTTGTAATGTTTTTTTTTACTGGTTTTACTGTTTTAAAATGTTTTTTAAATTTTTTGTTCGTATTTCCTGAATTGTAAGCCATCCATATTAGTGGACTGAGATGGGCGGCCATAGAAATTGAACAAATAAATGAAATAAGAGAAAAACTGAGCTTGCTTAACTTGGTTACAGAATTAATCCTTTTTTAGGTTGGCATGGCAGCCTTATCTGTAAATTAGCCTAATGGTCTAGATCAGGGTAGGCGACCTTGGCTCTTTTATGACTCGTGGACTTCAACTCCCAGAATTCCTGAGCCAGCCATGCTGAGGGGAAAGGAAGAGGTTTCCAAGCTGAGCCAAGCTGGCTCAGGAATTCTGGGAGTTGAAGTCCACAAGTCATAAAAGAGCCAAGGTTGCCTACTCCGGGTCTAGACTCACACAACTTGCTAACTCTACCTTCCCATTTCCAGGAGTGGTTCATTTGCAACCCTCCAATCTTGAGCTGGTTTTGCTCAGCCTATTTAGATGAAGACAGCCTGCCATCCCAGTTGACAGACCCTCTCCTTGGTCACCAGATCTATCAGCTCCACTTTTAAGGAGATCTCAATAACTTCAGAATGATCTCCAGGGAGGTCCCATTCCCTAAGAAAATCCACCATTTCTTCTTTCCTTAGCTCCATCATCTGCTCCAAACTGGTCAGAATCTTCTCCCAATGTGAACAAGGCCAGGACAGCAGTTCAGTCTATCTGAACTGAATTGAAAGATTACAGCTCATCTTTCTCAACCATGGCAACTTTTAAGATGTGTGAACTTCAACTACCAGACTTGAAAAAGTTGACAAGGTTGAGAAACACTGCTCTATTTTCATAACTAGCTATCATCTCCACACCTCAAAAACCTGCAGCAACAGCTCTCCAAAGGTCCATGAATCCGTAAGGATCCCACCTTTCCTCCATGATGCCTTAATCTTAACCCACCCACCCCCAAAAGCCAAATCCTGCCATAAATTGCATGGAAAAGCACAATGATTGTTTCTTGTTTTCACTTTTGGTACCTACCCCTTTGGAAACTATTTTCCAGAAAGGACCCCACTCCAATACACTCCACAACTGCAGGAGAAGGACTAGCAGAGGCAGGGGGCAGAGTGAAAAGAGGGATCAGCCTAGAATCGCTATGTAGTCACAAATGCCCTAGGTCCCAACTCTTTTTGACTGCTGTGGACTTTCATCTAACCTTAATCAAGTGCTGATCGTTAGTTGAGGAGATTCTTGTGCAATAAATACGTTAAACAAAACCTTCACGCAAGGAACTGGTCTTTCGCACCTGACAATAACAAGTTAAATCTTTCAAAATAAGAATGAGTTCAAAATAAGAACTAAGGAGAAATTTCCTGACAGTTAGAACAATTAATCAGTGGAACTACTTGCCTCTAGAAGTTGTGAATGCTTCAACACTGGAAAGTTTTAAGAAGAGAGGGTGTAGGTCTATACATAGGTTGTATATAATATGTTTTAAATGTGTGTTAACTATGTGTACACTTTGAGAGCAAGCAACTAAATTTCATTTTTAATGTGTGCTGTTGAGCCCACAGGAAAAAATGACAATAAAGGTTATCTAATCTAATCTAAATCATTTGCCTGAAATGGTATAGGGCAAGGGTAGACAACCGTGGCTCTTTTATGACTCGTGGACTTCAACTCCCAGAATTCCTGAGCCAGCATGGCTCAGCTTGGAAACCTCTCCCTTTCCCCTCAGCATGGCTGGCTCAGGAATTCTGGGAGTTGAATCCACAAGTCATAAAAGGGCCAAGTTTGAAGATCCCTGTTCTAGATAAACACAGGGTAAACTAATAGAAGAAAATATTTGCAGCTCAGGGTTGAACTGTGGAGTCCTTCCTGTTCTCTGAGTTTGGTTGTTTTCTTGCAGATGTTTATTTATCAAACTAGGTAACATGAGCATCTAGCACTGTTGATGTTACCAAGTTGGGTAATAAAACGTTTGCAAAAAATCAACTAACCTCAGAGAGCACCATGGACTCCATAGGGCAAACGTTCAACTGGGAATCCATAGATCCAACAGGCACTTGGGTCAACTGAGTCTCTCAAACCATGTTAATTTTCCAGTCTAAAATTTTCCAGTTGGGAAATGAAACGTCTGCAAGAAACCAAGCCAGCTCAGAGAGCACCAAGGCCCCCTCATGTCAACCCTGAGCTACAAATATTCTCCTTTATTAGTACTAAAATATGAGAATCCAGCTCAATTATGCTCTATGTTTTAAGCTCAACAGAGACATGTTTTAAGCCTAAAACACTTCAGAAACAGTTAAGTCAACCTGCTTTGAACCTGAAATGATGGTTTCAAACTTGAAATGAGGAACTTTATTCTCAGGATGTTTTGAATTAGAATTGTTCAACCCACATTATAAGGGATGACTGAAGTAGCCTTAAAGGTGGTTAATGCTGGTGCCTAAAATATCTGGACAGCCATTTGTCTGAAATGGTATAGGGTTCCCTGCCTGAGCAGGGGGTTGGACTAGATGACCTCCTAGGTCCCTTCCAACTTTATTGTTGTTGTTGTTATTATTATCTTTTATTCATTAGACATGAACCTCAGTCAACTAAACATTCAAATTGGCTGGCGCTGATGGTTGACACAGGTTGCTACCAGCCATCCTAGGTGTCAACCAGGTACCTCCTTAAAATATAAAATGTTCCGAGTAGCGCAGTTTTTTGTAACATTGCTGGAGTTATTGCAGGAAGCTGCAGTTTCTTGATGTATTTTGCAAAGTTTTTGGACATAGTTCCCAGTGCCCCGATGACAATGGGTATCACTGTTACACATTGTTGTTTTGTTTTGTTTTTTTGTTGTTGTTATTATTATTATTATTTATCTCAGTTGAAAACTGGACACATTTTTTGATGAAAACCAGAAGTCCATGCTGGCTTTCAGCAAAAACCATTGTAAAACATGTCACGTGACTGGGGGACATTGCAAACGACAGTAAATGGGGCCCGGATGCTGAATGTCCAAAGTGGGATCGTGGGATCATGTGGGATGCAACTGACAGAACTTCAGATCCAGGTGATAAATACCTCTTTGGTAGGTCCTTCAGAACTTTTAACGGTTGCTAAATGACCAGTCATAAATTGGGGACTAACTGTATTAGTGCGTAGATGTTTAACTGCAAAGGTACTAAGTTGTGCATTGTGGGATGATTCTATTCATGAATCATGAATAGCGTTAGCAATCTTGCTTTTAGATAGTATCCCAAAGATGTTTATCCCAAAGATGTTTTTTCAGGAGGCAACTGGACTTTCTTTTTTTTCTTTGAAGATGTTTTGCTTCTCATCCAAGAAGCTTCTTCAACTCTGACTAGATGGTGGGGAACAGAAGGATTTATACTCCTTGCAGACAGCTGGTCATTTGTCTTTTTTTAGAGAGTTGTTGAGGTCACCTGGAGGTTTATCTGTGTTTTCAAGATCACCTGAGTGGTGCAAATGGGTGTGGAGCCTTCTTGGAACTGTTGACAGGACTGTGTTGTAGACTGGAGATAGATGATGTTGTATCCCTCCCCCTCTGTTGAGGGAGGGCTGTTCAATTTTGACATAGATGGCCTCTTTGACCCCTCTTTCAAACCAGCAGTCCTCTCTGTCCAAAATGTGGACTTCATAAACGCATGGCACAACATAGGAGAACAAACCCATCAGGACAAGAGTCAGCAGTCCATCTGCATTTAAAAGACAAAGGCCACTTTTTCGAAGACAGCAAAGTTCACATTTTGGACAGAGAGGATCGCTGGTTTGAAAGAGGGCTAAAAGAGGCCATCTACGTCAAAATGGAACATCTCTCTCTCAACAGAAGGGAAAGGAGACAATCATCTACTGTATCTCCAGTGTACAACACTGTCCTTTCAGCAGTTCCATGAAGGCTCCACACTCATTTGCACCACTCAGGTGACCCTGATGACACAGATAAATCTCCAGGTGGTCTCAATGACTCTCTAAAAAAATGCAAATGACCAGCTGTCTGCAAGGAGTATATAAATTCTTCCATTCCCCACCATCCAGTCAGAGCTGAAGAAGCTTCTTGGATGAGAAGCGAAACGTCTTCAAAGAAAAACAAGAAAGTCCAGTTGCCTCATGAAAGAGCATCTTTGGGATAACCATGACCTGGAGGACTGAGAATCTCCATAGACATTTGGCATAGCTCTTTAAAAGGCCTGAAGAAATTTAAATATCTTACAGGATGACAGACAGTGGGAAATAAAAGAAATCAAACTTAGATCACACCAGGATAATTCTAATACCAAATCACGGTACCCATTTAGAGCAAGCAAAATTTTAATAAAGCAAGTCTCGCCACCATGATGAAAGAACTATCGGGATAATAATAAAAACTCAAAAACATCCTTACAAAAATCAAGATAATAAATACACATATTCAGGCCTGATTTTGGCACGGTTGTCCAGTTTGGACAACTTTATGAAGCTCTTAGGAAGAATTCTGATATATTAGGCTAAACCAGGGGTAGGCAACCTTGGCTCTTTTATGACTCGTGGACTTCAACTCCCAGAATTCCTGAGCCAGCATGGCTCAGCATGGAAATCTCTCCCTTTCCTCTCAGCATGGCTGGCTCAGGAATTCTGGGAGTTGAAGTCCACGAGTCATAAAAGAGCCAAGGTTGCCTACCCCTGTATTAGGCTAAACCCTTGTTCTTGAATTTTTAACAAAAGCTGTCATATTGACTCAGACACTGTCCAAATCAATAGTCAGACAGAATACACGGCAAATCTTGAATGCCGACCCAATACTCTATGGTTGAATGTGCTTAGATGATTTTTCTTCAACTCCCAATAATACAGGGGCGAACAATTATGGCCTTTTATGACCTGTGGACTTCAACTCCCAGAATTCCTGAGCTAGCCACACTGAGCCAGTATGGCTAGCTTAGGAATTCTGGGAGTTGAAGTCCACAGGATATAAAGGGGCCATAGTTGTTCATCCCTGCAGTAGAAGAAATTAAAGATTCCTGTGTGAAGGACAGGTAATCTCAGAGTTTACAAAGAAGATAATTCAATTATACCACCAGCTAGGAAACAGTCACCTCTTTCATGTTTCTGCCTCCATGGTTTCCAAATAACTAGCATAATTGGGGATGGTGAGATAATGGCCGTTCATTCTGGTAGTGCAATGTTTCCCAACCTTGGTAGATTGAAGGTAAGTGGACTTCAACTCCCAGAATTCTCAGCAATGGCTATGCTGGTGGCTCTGGAATTCTGGGAGTTGACATCCATATACTTGGAGATTGCCAAGGGAATTGGGAAATCCTGTCCTATTGCTTTGATGAACATAAGTCACAACACTGACATAAATTAAATGGGCTGTCGGTTCCTTCCCACACGCAAAGTCAATGGAGAAGGTTGGATTTACTTAAGAACTATGTGATTCACTTAATGTCCATGGGGAAAAAGGTGGTAAAATTGGGCACGATTCGCTTAACGACCACATTGTTTAACAAGAGGTTTTGGTTCCAATTGTGGTTATAAATTGAGGATTACTTGTCATGTAGGGCTCAGCAAATAAATGACCCCCATTCAGAGATTTGGGGAATATGCAAACAGATTCTCAATAAAGGAGACTCTTTGTAGCTCAGGGTTGACCTCAGTGCTCTCTGAGCTTGCTTGTTTTCTTGCAGACACTTGATTACTCAAACTAGGTAAGAGTGATTGATGATGCACACACTGATACCGTTATCTAGTTGGGTAGCGAAACATCTGCAAGAAAACAACCAAGCTCAGAGAGTACCAAGGATCTCATAAACAGGTTCTCAAAGTCAGCTAACACAAACATTGATTGACTTACCTTTGAGTATCCAAAGGTAAAAAGTGCTTTGAACTACCTGAGACAAAGTCTTCCCTGGCTATTAGGAATTCTGCCTTCCCACCTGGAAAAGACCGTCGCAGCCAATCTGGACATTTACCTGTCGTGTTTTAGCAGAGGTTTCGATGAACGGGATCCCGTAACTTCTTGCTAAATCCTGAGCCTGCTTCGTGTCTACAGTCCTGGAAGGCAAATCACATTTGTTCCCAACTAGCACCATGGGTACGTCTTCGGAGTCCTTGACTCGTTTGATCTGCTCCCTGGGGGAAAAAACAAAGGAAAGAAAAAGAAGGAAGAAATAAAAGTCTCTCTTATGTGGTTTTTTGTTGTTGTTGTTGTTGTTTTACAGTGATGGGAAAAACTATAGAAGGAAACGAAGGAGAAAAGTAGTGGGGTTTTTTTTTTAGAAAGATAAATAATAAATAAAATAATAAAATAAAATAAAATAAAATAAAATAAAATAAAATAAAATAAAATAAAATAAAATAAAATAATAAAATAAAATAAAATAAAATAAAATAAAATAAAATAAAATAATAAAATAAAATAATAAAATAAAATAATAAAATAAAATAAAATATAAAATAAAATAAAACGGAAGACACTAAGGCAGTTTTTTCCCCCCTCTGTGCCATCACGGAGTCCTCGACTTACGACAGTTCACTTAGTGACGGTTTACAATTAGGAACACAGAATTAGTGACCTAATTCTCACAGGTGACAAAATATAGTGATTACTAAGTTCTGTCTAATGCAGGGGTAGGCAACTTTGGCTCTTTTATGACTCGTGGACTTCAACTCCCAGAATTCCTGAGCCAGCCATACTGAGGGGAAAGGGAGAGGTTTCCATGCTGAGCCATGCTAGCTCAGGAATTCTGGGAGTTGAAGTCCACGAGTCATAAAAGAGCCGAGGTTGCCTACCCTTGGTCTAATGTGTATGCTCATTAATCTATAGACCAGGGGTAGGCAACCTCGGCTCTTTTATGACTCGTGGACTTCAACTGCCAGAATTCCTGAGCCAGCATGGCTCAGCTTGGAAACCTCTCCCTTTCCCCTCAGCATGGCTGACTCAGGAATTCTGGCAGTTGAAGTCCACGAGTCATAAAAGAGCCGAGGTTGCCTACCCCTGCTATAGACTGTAGCTATAGTACAGGTAGTCATCAACTTACAGCAGTTTATTTAGTGACTGTTCAAAGTTACAACGGCACTGAAAAAAAGGTGGCATATGACTGTTTTTCACACTTACGACCGTTGCAGCATCCCCATGGTCACTATAATGAACATTCAGATGCTTGCAACTGGCTCGGCTCGGGGATTGGGGACCCCTGCCCTATATAATATTTCTAGCCAAGCAACTGCTTTAAATACTTAGGAAAGTTGAGTCTAGAAACGAGATATATTTGTGGTTTGTGTACTGGGGAACATTACCAAGCCTTAGAGAATGGCTTATGCGATTGCTATTCACCCCTCTTTAAGTGTCCTGTCAAAAAACACCTTTTAGGTTATTTTTATCCGGACTCTAGAACTGAGAATTCTCAGGGATTCATGAGCTATGGAAATCCATTCAGAGAGATAATGAGAAGGCAACATAATTGTCGTTCTTTCATCAGCCTGTTCATGTCGCTCCCCAATTATATACTTTGAGTCCAAGGAAAATTAGAGGCCTGGGAACGTATCAGGGTTATTGTTGTGGGGTAAGTCAGAACGATTTGACTTGGTGGAAGCTGAGAAATTTATCTTGAAGTCCCAAAGCTTCACGTAGATCCCACAGAGAACTCAAAATGCTTCCTGGGTGGGTGGGTGGGTGGGTGGGTGGGGGAGTTGGGGCCTTTACAAGTAGTCCTCAATGTCATGTGTCTGATTAACGAAACACTTAAAAGGACATATTTTTATCCTAAAAGCATTTATTAAGGTTACAGAGATGTCAGTACGGCATGGTGGAAATGCTTAGATCTGAGATTCTTTTCCGTTGCACATACATTCCAGGCATTTTTCCCACCCCTATTTCGGGGTCATGGTTCACATCTTCCAATTAACTTGGAAGATGTGATTTACTTCCAGTTTCTTTTTCCAGGCTTTCCTTATTCTCCTCCCCTTTCACTGTTGCCTGATTTAACTATAAAAATACCAGACAGTTCTGCATATTGTCAAAGCAAGAATATACAGTATTTGCAGCGTTGACACTCAACTTGAAACAGTTCATTTAGCGACTGTTTGAAGTTACAAAGGCACTGAAAAAGCGGCTTATGACTATTTATCACCCTTACGACTTTTGCAGCATCCCCCCCATGGTCACGTGATCAAAATATGGACGGGCTCAGATTTATGACGGTTCCTGTGTCCCAGGGTCCCGTGATCCCCTTTCACGATTTTCTGACAAGCAAGGTCAACGGAGGAAGCCAGCTTCACTTAACAACAATCCTGGCAAGAAAAGGGGCATGAAATGGGGGAAAAACTCACTTAACAACTGCCTCGCTTAGCGACAGAGATCTAGGCCCCCAAATGTGCTCATAAGTCGAGGATTACGTGTATGTTCCAAATTAGCCATGTTTCGAGCCCACAAAATGGATTGTACCTCTTCAGAACAAAGATTGGGAATGCCGCTTTGGAAGACATCGTAAATTAAAAAGTGGGGGGGGGGGGGAACCCTTTTCCCTTCAAGTAGAAAAATGCCATCAGGAACTTCTATTCCTGATGCACTACATTTTGATCTTGGATGCAAAGTATGGAGGACAGTTAAAAAGGGGAAACATTAAAGAAAAAAAAAGGCATTTCCTGCTGACAGCCTAAAGGGGTCCAGTCATTCTCTCCCCTCCCCATCTCAAGATGGGGAGGGTCTATTTCATTGACTACCCCTGAGATAGCTCAGGGGTAGTCAACCTTGGCTCTTTTATGACTGGTGGACTTCAACTCCCAGAATTCCTGAGCCAGCCATGCTGAGGGGAAAGGGAGAGGTTTCCATGCTGAGCCATGCTGGCTCAGGAATTCTGGGAGTTGAAGTCCACCAGTCATAAAAGAGCCAAGGTTGCCTATCCCTGTGCTACCTGCAAAAACTAGTCTCTAGCGAAAGTCACTCCAACTCCCATCATCTCCTTCTGAAGGCAGGACAGAAAGTATGGATGGAAGCTTATCAGACAGAGTCTAGAATTAAGGAAAAATTTCCTGACAGTGAGAACAATAAATCAGTGGAAGGGCTTGCCTCTGGAAGTTGTGGGTGCTTCATCACTGGAGGTTTTCAAGAAGAGATTGGACAGCCATTTGTCTGAAATGGTATAGGGCAGTGGTGGCGAACCTATGGCACGGGTGCCAGAGGTGGCACTCAGAGCCCTCTCTGTGGGCACGCGTGCTGTTGCCCCAGTCCTAGGCCTTCAGCTGGGTTTTATAAAACCTTTTCGCTTTAGGCCTCCGTCGCCGTGTACAAAAAAAAAAAAAAGGTTCAATCAAACAGTCAATTTCAACTTCTTGCGGGGGAAAAAAAAAGATCTTGCAAAGTTGGAATTGATTGATTGAACTTTTTAGTCCCACCCAGTCTGCCGTTACCACTGCAGCCGCACCCACCCAATGGGCCACGCCCACCCAATGGGCCACACCCACCCAATGGGCCACACCCAGCCGGCACCCGACGATGCATAAATGGGTTTTGGGTTGCAGTTTGGGCACTCGGTCTCTAAAAGGTTCGCCATAACTGGTATAGGGTTTCCTGCCTGAGCAGGGGGTTGGACTAGATGACCTCCAAGGTCCCTTCCAACTCTGTTATTCTACATTTTTCCTGCAGAGCCAGAGAGGTACCAAATATAATCCATTCGTCGAATAAAGCTTACCTGTAATGATGAATATCTTCAAACGATTTGGTGTTGTTTATGGCAAATACACACAAAAAACCCTCGCCCGTTCTCATGTACTGGTCGCGCATTGCACTGTATTCTTCCTGACCAGCTGTGTCCAGAATATCCAAGAGGCAGGTTTCGCCATCAATGACCACTTGCTTCCTGTAGGAATCCTGAGAAAAAGGAAGAGGGGGGAAAATGTCATCCATAAAGGAGAATATTTGTAGCCCAGAATTGAAATGAAGGATCCTTGAGGTTCTCTGAACTTGGCTGTTTTCCTGCAGACACTGGGAGTTTTTAAGAAGAGACTGGACAGCCATTTGTCTGAAATGGTATAGGGTTTCCTGCCTGAGCAGGGGGTTGGACTAGATGACCTCCAAGGTCCCTTCCAACTTTATTATTATTATTATTAGACGTTTCATTACTCAAAACTAGGTAATATCATCAGGGCTCACTGATCACACATCAGCACTGATACATCTGCAAGAAAACCAGACTCAGAAAACATCAAAGACCTTCAATACAGATAGTCCTCAACATACGACCACAATGGAGCCTAAAATTTCTGTTGTTAAGTGAGACATCCTGGGGTCATGTAATCCACTTTTTTGCGACCTTCTGACCAGCAAAGTCAATGGGGAAGCCGGATTCACTTAACACAACCAGGTTACTAACTTATCAACTGCAGTGATTCACTTAACATCAGTGGCCAGAAAGGTCGTAAAAAGGAGACAAAACTCACTTAGCAAATGTCTCACTTAGCAACAGAAATGTTGAGCTCAATTGTAGTCGTACGTCGAGGACCACATTGAGGCCCAAATTTCTCCTGCCAAGCAAGACAGTTGTTAGGTAGGTTTTGCCCCATTTTACGACCTTTCTTGTCACAGTTGTTAAGTGAATCACTGCAGTGTTAAGGAGAAGCATGCGATCATTAAGCAAATCTGGATTCTCCCATTGATTTTGCTTGTTGGGAGCCCATTGGGAAGCTTTCAAATGGTATCATACAACCAGGGATAGTGCAACCGTCATAAGTACATGTCAGTTTCCAAGCATCTGAATTTGGATCACATGACCACGAGGCTACTGCAATGGTCTTAAGCAGGGGGTCTTCAAACTTGGCCCTTTTATGACTTGTGGACTTCAACTCCCAGAATTCCTCAGTCGGCCATTTTGAAGAAACTGCAGGCTTGGATCCAGACCAGGGGTTTTCAAACTTGGCCCTTTTATGACTTGTGGACTTCAACTCCCAGAATTCCTCAGTCGGCCATTTTGATGAAACTGCAGGCATGGATCCAGACCAGGGGTCTTCAAACTTGGCCCCTTTATGACTTGTGGACTTCAACTCCCAGAATTCCTGAGCCAGCGTGCCTGGCTGAGGAATTCTGGGAGTTGAAGTCCACAAGTCATAAAAGGGCCAGGTTTGAAGATCTCTGGTCTTAAGTGTGAGAACTGGACATAAGCCACTTTTTTTCAGCGCCCTTGTAAATTTGAATGATCGCTATACAAGCGGTTGTAAGTCCAGAACAGTTTTTGCACTCCACTCGAAAGCTGGGAAAGTTCACGCACAGGTTTTAACAACTTTGCCCAATTTGTGCACTACTACAAACCACACACTTTGCCCGCTGTTGGAAAGCACGTCATTGGACGCTACTTCTGCCAGTACACAGAGAGAGAGAGAGAAAAAAATGGGTCAGGTAGGAAGAAAAAGAATCGTTTTGCAGAGAAATCTGATTCTGCAGCTGCTGTTATGCGCCTCCTTAAGCACCCATATCGGATCTAATTTAATTTAATTTAATTTAAATTTTTTTTGCACGAAGTTCCGGCTAAGCGCCGTTAGCCCATTTCCTCCAGGCAGTTCATTTCCTTAACCTATGTTTGAATTTCAAATCCTTCCCGCCTTGATGATTCTCTGGTCATTGGTTTTCCCACTGCTGCCTCCAAGCTGCAAGAGGCAGTTTTTAAAATGGGTCTTTTCTTCGCCCAAAAAGCCTTTCGCTTACATAACTGGAACAGAGCAGCGATTATATAAAATGCAAACAGGCCGCAACGGCCCCCCCTCTCCCTCCCGCCAAGCTTTCCAAGCCTTCTTACTCGTGACACACCTACGAGAATTCTGTGTGTGTGTTTCCTGGTCCCGAGTGACCTCATTGCCTTCATTTAGAAAATCCCACTCTTTGCAGTTCTATTCCTAAAAATGTGTCACGTTCGCAGCCACACCAAAGGAGGAGGCAGCGGGGCAGACCAAGCAAGCATTCTTGGAAAGATAATTTAAGAAGGGAAAATAAAGAGGCAGAAAAATACATACAAGCAGAATCAGATTTCTCTGCAAAACGATTCTTTTTCTTCCTACCTGACCCTTTTTTTTTTCTCTCTCTCTGTGTGTACTGGCAGAAGTAGCGTCCAATGACGTGCTTTCCAACAGCGGGCAAAGTGTGTGGTTTGTGGTAGTGCACAAATTGGGCAAAGTTGTTAAAATGTGTGCGTGAACTTTCCCAGTGTTCGACTGGAGTGCAAAAACTGTTCTTGACTTACAACCGCTTGTATAGCGATCATTCAAATTTACAAGGGCGCTGAAAAAAAGTGGCTTATGTCCAGTTCTCACACTTAAGATCAGGGGTCTTCAAACTTGGCCCTTTTATGACTTGGGTAGTGATCAATCTCCTGTCAATCAAAAGATATTCCCTCCTTTTCCACCATGTACAGATAGTCCTGGACTTAACAACCCATCATTCAGTGAGCGTTCAAAGTGACAACGGCGCTAAAAAAAAGTTGACCGTTGCAGTGTCCACTTTATGCTGGTAGTCCTTGACGTGAGGACTGCTCAGTGGAACAGTTGTTAAGCGAGTTTTGCTCCATTTTACTATTTGTTTTGCGACAGCTGTTGAAGTGAATCACTGCAGTTCTTAAGCTAGTAACACTGTTGTTAAGTGAATCCAGCTTCCCCATTGTCAGAAGGTCGCAAAAGGGGATCACAGGACACCAGGATACTGCAACCATCATAAGTACATGCCAGTTGCCGAGCACGTGATCAGGGGGATGCCGCAACGGTTGTAAGGATGAAAAGCCGTCGTAAGTCACTTTTTTTCAGTGCCGTTGTATCTTCAAACCGTCACTAAACGAATGGCTGTAAATCGAGGACTACCTGTACTATTATTATTCGCTGCTGAACCCCTACGGATTGTTGGGGTCTTACAAGGTAAGACGTTGTAAGCATGCATCATTATTTTAGTTCTTTTTCTTGCTAACCTAAAACAGACTCGTTTATTCATTTATTAGACTGGTTTGCTACCTATCTCACCAGGTTACGCAAGTCAAAGATCTCGCTGAAGATCATGTGATAGTTAAATGATCAAGAAGATCGCATTGTGCCAACTTCCAGCTAAGCCCTAAGTTTTGGGGAGTTTTTTTGTCACAAGGCAAACATATAAAAAAGACCGTGGAACAAACTTGGAGCTGCAGTGGAATTCCTCACCGAATCAGCTGATGGACTCGAGAGGTTTTACAATACCACAATGACAACCTGTGTTTTCAAAATGTGGGATAGGTTTTGTGGTTTGTTGTAAACTGTGAGAGCCAACTGGGCAACCGCCACATTCTCAGAGGATCTATACCAAACTAGCAATTAAGGTTAACGAAAGAGGTAGTCTGAACTCTTGGACCTGGTTACTGTGACTAGGTGGGTCTGACTTTACAGCCCAGCAAAAGTTTTCTGCAACTTCTATTTATTATGCAAAGACACATCAGTTTGAAGTGAAAGGAAGAATGGAGAGAGTGTAGTCCTTGATTTATAGGCCGGTCATTTAGAGCAGGGGTAGGCAACCTTGGCTCTTTTATGACTCGTGGACTTCAACTCCCAGAATTCCTGAGCCAGCATGGCTCAGCATGGAAACCTCTCCCTTTCCCCTCAGCATGGCTGGCTCAAGAATTCTGGGAGTTGAAGTCCATGAGTCATAAAAGAGCCAAGGTTGCCTGCCCCTGGTTTAGAGTTACAATGGATTCAGAAAGGGTGCTTCTGTAAGCTGCTCGGAGTCACTCCAAGTGGGGCAGCCATATAATTTTTTTTAATAAATAAACCAATATAGTTAATGCAAGAAGGATTGAGCTAGAAAGTATGAGCCCTAGCGTATCCAACATCACTGACTAAAATCAGGGGTCTTCAAACTTGGCCCTTTTATGACTTGTGGACTTCAACTCCCAGAATTCCTCAGCCAGGCACGCTGGCTGAGGAATTCTGGGAGTTGAAGTCCACAAATTATAAAAGGGACAAGTTTGAAGACCCCTGGACTAAAACAATCTCACAACCACTTGGAATTTATTGCTGATTGACTTTAGTCCAGTGGACCCCAATCTTTGGGGCACCAGGGACCCCTTCCGTGGAGAGAGGATTTTCCATGGACCGGAAGGGGCGTGGTTTTGCGTGCTACCTGCATCCCGTGGATGCTTGTTTGCGTGGACCTGTTTCTGTGATGCCGTGGAGCGGTGCCGGTCTACGGACTGAGGGCTGGGGACCCCTGCTTTAGTCCATAATGTCTCTGCAACCTCTTAGCAGAGTTTTGATATCTGCATGTCTCCATACTTGAAACATAACGATTATCAGCTTCCATTTCTAGATCTACTACCACCATACAGCTCTTTATAATTCAGTTTTTTATTAGTTTATCAAAAGATAAAATGAAAACAAAAATGAAAACCGTTGCAAAGTAGGGGAGGAAAAAAGGAAGAGGAAAAAGTGTGAAGGAAAAAGGGGGGGGAAGCATTGACTTCTGACATTTTGTAGTGCAGAATACGGTAATAGCATAAAGCCTCAACTTTTTACTTTTGCACGATACAGTTCTGGACTTACAGCCACAGTTAAGCCCAAGATTCCTGTTGCTAAGTGAGACATTTGTTAAGTGAGTTTTGCTCCATTTTAGGACTTTACTTACCACAGTTGTTAAGTGAATCACTGCAGTTCTTAAGTTAGTAATATAGTTGTTAAGTGAATCTGGCTTCCTCACTGACTTTGCTTGTCAGAAAGTCGCAAAAGGTGAGATCCCGGGACACAGCAACCGTCGTAAACATGAGTCAGTTGCCAAGTATCTGAATTTTGATCATGTGACCATGGGGATGCTGCAAGTCGTAAGTGTCACAGTCATAAGCCACTTTTTCCAGTGCCGTTGTAATTATGAATGGTCACTAAATGAACTATTGAAGTCTAGGACTACCTGTACAATATACCAGCCATTTTTATAACAACAAACCTATCTAATCAGCAAAACCCAAAATCAAAGTGTCAATTTTTTTTCCACCTCAGGCAGAAAGTCCAGAAATGGTTTCCAAGCAGACAGCACAAAGTCCAGAAGTGGTTTCCAAATAGACACAATTGTTGACAGGATCTTATTTACCTCTATTGTAGGATCGTATTCATCTACAAAATGGTTCTGAATGAGCTGAATTGTCAACGCGCTCTTGCCCACACCACCAGCCCCAACGACGACAAGCTTGTATTCCGTCATCTTCTGTAGGCCTAGGAAAGATCAAACAAAAATATCCACAATAAATACAACAGGTGAAGAATTGCAAAATAACAAGTCTGGTAACAAACCACTCTGTCTCACCTTGCCAAGAAAACTGAAGGAATTAGTCTAGGCAGTTGCCAGGAGTCTAAAACCAACTTAGAATAGAATAGAATAGAGCTGGAAGGGACCTTGGAGGTCTTCTAGTCCAGCCCCCTGCTCAAGCAAGAAAACCTATAACGTCTCAGACAGGTGATTGTCCAGTCTCTTCTTAAAAATCTCCAGTGATGGAGCGCCCACGATTTCTGAAGGCAAAGCTGTTCCACTGGTTGATTGTCCTCACTGTCAGGAAGTTTCTCATTAATTCCAGGTTGCTTTTCTCTTTGATTAGTTTCCAACCATTTTTTCTCATCCTTCCATCTGGTGCTGTGGTGAACAATGTGACCCCCTCTGCCTTGGGGCAGCCCCTCAGATATGGAACACTGCTATCATGTCTCTCCTAGTTCTTCTTTTCTTTAGACTAGCCAAACCCAAGTCCTGCAGCCGTTCTTTGTAGGTTTTAGTCTCTAGGCCTTGGATCATCTTAGTAGCTCTTCTCTGATTTTTTTCCCCAAACTCTCAACATCTTTTTTGTGATATGGTGACCAAAAGTGGCTGCAGTATTCCAGGTGGGGCCTCACTAGGGCTTTATAAAGTGGTACTAGTACTTCGTGTGATCTTGATTCTATGCTTGAAGGCACATACACAAAACCAAAAGAGTTTGTTTGATTAGCAAATTATAGATTTCTTAGTAAGTTGTATACAATTCCTTCGTCTTCTTTACTACCCCCTTATTGATATCATTATTATAATTATTACTCTTCTGCACCAGAAACAAATTCCTTGTGTGACTAATCACGCTTGGTCAAATAAGGTATTCTATTTTATTTCTATTTCAAGAAATGATAAAAGTTGAGTTCAGCATCTATAAACCAGGAAGGTGTTATTTTTTGACCAAGGGACCTTTCTGCCTTTGCAAATGCCACGTGCAAAAAAAATAATAATAATAATCCATGAATCCCTGAGAAAAATATGGGCAAACCAGGAAAAAATCCTAATTTAGATGTTATTTAAAATTTAAAGATACAGATTTTTGTATGTTCAGCTTGATGCATGTACAGTAGTTTTCTTGGCAACAATGGAAAAATAATTTGCCATTACCTTCCAGATTTCTTTTTTAAACTTTCCTGCCTAGCAGTCAATTGATCTCCTATCCAAGTATTTATTTAATTAGAATTACAGCCCTGGTGGTGCAGTGGTTAGAATGCAGTACTGCAGACTAACTCAATGCTCACTCCAGGAGTTCGATCCTGACCAGCTCAAGGTTGACTCAGCCTTACATCCTTCCGAGGTCAGTAAAATGAGGACTCAGATTGTTGGGGGCGATAGGCTGACTCTGTAAACCACTTAGAGAGGGCTGTAAAGCACTATGAAGCGGTATATAAGTCTAAGTGCTATTGCTATAGCTCAGTGATGGTGAACCGTTTAGAGACCGAGTGCCCAAACTGCAACCCAAAACCCACTTATTTATCGCCGGGCGCCAGGTGGCCGTGGCCCACTGGGTGGGGGTGGTTGTGATGGTCATGGCAGAGTTGGTGGGTGTGGCCAAGGTGGGCGTGGTCACCCTGAGGTTGCTCCCGGGGAGGCACGCCTGTGAGGGCTGGGCAGGGTTGGGGGAGATTCAGGGGGTCTCTGGCAGGTGGGGCGGTGGGCAGGAGGCTCGTCCTGCAAGGTGAGGTGAGGCAAGGCAAGGCGAGGCAGGGCAGGGGTGCCATTGTGGCAGGGCAAGGAGAGGAAGGGGCCGGGGTGGCTGCTGCCTGACACCATCGGCCCCCACACATAAAGGCCAGCAAGCACATGGGGGGCGACAGTGTCCGTCAGCAGCCACAGCCTGCCGTCCCCTCGACCAGCATACTCTGGGGCTCCGCAGCCCACCAGCAGTTCAGAGAAGCCGCCTCTGAGCTGGACGGACGGCCGACAGCTGAGGAGGCAATGCAGTGGGTCGTGCCCGGGAAAAGGAGAGCATGTGAGGCCAGGAGGGGAGAGAAACCACCTGTGCTGGGATGCATCCGGCCATGTGGGACCTCAGCGAGTTAGCGGGCGGTTGGTTGAAAAGGGATGGTTGCCATCTCTGGGGCATGGCACGTGTGCCCACAGAGAGGGCTCTGAGTGCCACCTCTGGCACACGTGCCATAGGTTTGCCACCACTGCTATAGCTGATCCAATGTTGCATTAGGAGCCCTGGTGGTGCAGTGGTTAGAATGCAGTATTACAGGTTAACTCTGCCCACTGCCAGGAGTTCGATCCTGACTGACTCAAGGTTGACTCAGCCTTACATCCTTCCGAGGTCGGTAAAATGAGGACCCAGATTGTTGGGGGCAATAGGCTCACTCTGTAAACCGCTTAGAGAGGGCTGCAAAGCACTATGAAGCGGTATATAAGTCTAAGTACTATTGCTATTGCTAGAAAATGTACAGTCCTGTCCTGTGCATCTTGAATACGTAACTCTAGCAACTAACAAACCACATATACAAATGTTTCTCATTTTTGTCTGTGTGTGTGTCCATTCCCCATAAATAAAGCAAAATACGATTAAAATAATCAAATACACCCCCAAGGCACCACATAATCGAATCCCAATTAAAAACACTGGCTCTAATGCCTATGGAGGAAAGTTGGGCCTTCATTATAATTAAACAAATTGGTCAATGTTAGCTAGGCACTGCCCCTTGCCAAGACCTTCAAAATTAGAGTAAATGACAAAAGATTATCCCTTTTAAATAAAATGTGTTTGTTGGAAAAGGTGTTATCAGGCTCCTAACAGATCAAACACCACTGATCCGATTCTCCAACCTGTATTGTCTCTTGTATCACACGAAAAACTGCCAGTCACACTTTTCTGCTTAAGTACAGTATATACCCTATAATCCAGCTAGACATCAAGAGAGGTTAACTGAGGATTGTGTGGCTGAAAGATGAAGGGAGCCAGGCTTGAATCTAGAAAAGTCCTTGATTCTATCCCTGAAAGCAATTCAATGATCTATTTCCTGGAACGTATGCTTTTACACTTTTAGGCAGGCACTCCTCGACCTACGACCACAACTGAGCCCAAAGTTTCCGCTGCTAAGTGAGACATCTGTTAAAGTGAGTTTTGCCCCATTGTGCAAACCCTCTTGTCACAGTTGTTCAGTGAGTCACTGAAGTTGTTAAGTTAGTTAAGAGAACCCCTTTGACTTTGCTTGTCATAACCCTGAGACACCGCAACACACCGTCATAAATACGAGCCAGTTGCCAAGTGTCCGAATTTTGATCGCAGGACCATGGGGATAATCTTCTATCTTCTTATATATATAAATAAAAATGACTAGTTATAAGAGTAAAAATCTGACTCTTGGGTATATCCATACTATAGATCCTGACGATGTCAGGGAGCACCCGACGAAAGCTAGGCTTGATTTATTAAATATTTTCTATTTATTCTCTTGGTGATCATTATTTATTGGTTTCTATAGTATAAATAAAAATGTAAATGTTCGTTTGTTCAAAATCTTAAATCTCCGAAAGTTCTTCACCGATTGCTTTGAAATTTTGACACAACGTTGCATTCGAATACGCGCGTGTTTTTATATACCTATATTATATAGATGTCACACCTGTGACAGGTAAAACCATGCTTTTTTTGAAAAAAGCGCCATCTGTTGGACGTAAAAGCAACACACGCTTTTACCAGACTGAGCCACAGCATGGCTGGGTACAGCTAGTAACAATAACAACAACAAAATATAAAGACCTACAAATAGAAATAGAAAGACTGAAGTGCAAAGGTTTTCTTCTATCGGTAACTTGAACCATGAATGTTTTCAACAATGAGTTTTTCATGTCTCCTCGAAAAAGTAACTGTGACATGTATCAGGCTGACTCAGAGGGTGATGTGACCAAACCCAGCCTTGAATAAAGCAGGATTATAACTAGGTTAGTCATATCCAAGCCTAATCTAGTCTCAACAGATAGCAACATTTTGCTAAGGTTAAGGGGGCTCAGAAGCTAAATTCTGGCTTGTGTTTGAATGGGAAACCGCCAAGAAGAATCTCTAAGCTGGGAAATGGAAAAAGACAACAGCACATCCCTTCTGTCTTCTTTCCAAGAAAAACACATGGAAGTATTCAGGAAGTTAAACCAAAAACTTGCATTCGGCTCAAGCTAATGTACCAGAAAAATTATTTCCTCTTTTGAAGAACTCAGACAATATTCTCCTTGTTGACTCCAGATGGACAGGAAAAAAATGAAGGCTGGCAGCCACTCAAACAACCAGGCACTAAGAGTTTTACAGAGCAGGGGTCCCCAGCCCCTGGTCCACAGGCCGGCACCGGTCCACAATCTGCCAGGAATGTGTTTACTGCCCACGCTACTGAATTTTGAACCAGCTGTAGTTTCTGGATTGTCCTCAAGGGCAGCCCCATGTAAAACACATTCCAATAGTTCAATCGTGAATTGACCTGGGCATCAGTGATTACCTAGAGTGTTTCTGGGTCAAGAAAAAGGTGTAACTGGTGCCCAAGATCAGACCATGCAATGCTGGCCACAGCTTCACACCAGTTTTGAAGGAAGCCTGCAACCATATGCAAGACCAGCAGTGAAAATAGCACTTATATACCGTGTCACAGTGCTTTACAGCCCTCACTAAGCAGTCAGCCTATTGCCCCCAACAATCTGGGTCCTCATTTTACCAGCCTCGGAAGGATGGTTGACCGGTTCAACCTTGAACCGGTCAGGATCGAACTCCTGGCAGTGGGCAGAGTCAGCCTGAAATACTGCATTCTAACCACTGCGCCACCAGGCCCTTCCTTCCTTCCTTCCTTCCTTCCTTCCAACTTAGCAATAGCACTTAGACATATACCGTTTCACAGTGCTTTACCGCCCTCTCTAAGTTGTTTACAGAGTCAGCCTATTGCCCCCCAACAATCTGGGTCCTCATTTTACCCACCTCGGAAGGATGGAAGGCTGAGTCAACCCTGAGCTGGTCAGGATCGAACACCTGGAGTGAGCCGTGAGTTAGCCTACAGTACAGGTAGTCCTCGAGTTACAAATGTAATGGAGTCTGCCAATTACATTCGTAACCCGAGAATTTGTAGGAGTAAATGGTGTAGCGTGAACGCGATCACTCCCTGCTTTGGCCCACGCATTCGCTAATCAAATGTGCGGGTTGTTAAGTACACACGAGGTATCTCAGGGTGGGGAAGGCCATGGAGGAGTCTAGTGCAGGGACAAGACCACTGCGTCCAGCCATCAAAGGCCTCCACGCACTCATTGCTGGAGTGCCGAACCCACACAGGTTTCACAAATTGTGCTACCGTGGAGCTGGAGAGCTTGGCGCGCTACCACCCAGCTCCCCTTGCTTCCAAAAAGCATTCCTTCGCAAAAAATTGGCTCAGGACTTCTGGGAGTTGAAGTCCACAAGTCATAAAAGGGCCATAGTTCCCCAACCCTGAACTAAGGATAACAGGTATTTCCCCTTTCCAGTTGTGTGCTCATCTCCATTTCCTAGCCGAGGGAACCAGCATTGTTCGAAGACAGTTTCCATGGTTATGTGGCCAGCATGACTATACGCTGGGAACGCCGTTACCTTCCCAACGAACTGGTACCTATTTATCTACTCACATTCGCATGCTTTCCAACTGCTGGGGCAAGTAACGAGAGCTCACGCCATCGTGCGGCGTCTGAGTCTCGAACTTGCACTGTCAGCTTTGACAAGCTCAGCATCTTTAACCACTGAGCCATCACGCCCCTCAACTAAGGGGACACAACCACAGCCAGAGTCTGGTCCAGGGGTAGGCAACCTTGGCTCTTTTATGACTCGTGGACTTCAACTCCCAGAATTCCTGAGCCAGCCATGCTGAGGGGAAAGGGAGAGGTTTCCAAGCTGAGCTACGCTGGCTCAGGAATTCTGGGAGTTGAAGTCCATGAGTCATAAAAGAGCCGAGGTTGCCTACCCCTGGACTCTGGTCGAAACTCAGCTAAAATGTATTTTGCAAACCCAGATAGTTGGGTGCATTCAGAAAACCGCAGTTTAATTAGTTTAGCACACTGGGTAAACCCAGCAAAATAAAAACCTTCCGTCCAATTTTGAGAACTAAAACATATTTTGGTTTATGCGTGAAGAGAAGAACGAAGAAAGCACCTCACTCCGGAAACGACGCTTTTACACATCTGCCCGTTAAGCTGAGTTTTCCTTCCTGTGTGGAGCTGGCCAAGAACTGGACAGAGAGCCCTTACAACGTCCAGTCTGTGCCTCTGGTGACAGCAGATGGCAGCAGTGACAGCAGCCAGAACAGGAGAGAGAAAAAAGGCACACACCCACGTCCAGCACTCTTTCAGGTTGAACCCTTTCCATCTGCAGCTCCAGGAGAGATCTCCTTCTGGGCTCTGCTTTCTTCAGTTTTTATGGTTGGGGGCGGAGGACAGGGGGACCTTGATATTTTTAAAATTATGCAACCTAGCATATCAATATTTCAGCCGCCTTTGCTTTTCCCTCCCACTTTTCCACCATGGTAAAATGAGTTTTTATGGTGGCTTAAAACAGGGGTCCCCAACCCCCGGTCCGTGGACCAGTACTGGGCCGCGACATGCCACACAAACAAGCAAAGCCACAAGCAAAGGGACATGATAGCAGTCTTCCAGTATCTCAGGGGCTGCCACAAAGAAGAGGGAGCCAAGCTATTCTCCAAAGCGCCTGAGGGCAGGACAAGAAGCAACGGATGGAAACTAATCAAGGAGAGAAGCAACCTAGAACTAAGGAGAAACTTCCTGACAGTTAGAATAATTAACCAGTGGAACAACCTGCCTCCAGAAGCGGTGAATGCTCCAACACTGGAAGTTTTTAAGAAGAAACTGGACAGCCATTTGACCGAAATGGTATACCTGCCTGAGCAGGGGGTTGGACTTGATAACCTCCAAGGTCCCTTCCAACATTATTATTATTATTATTATTATTATTATTATTATTATTATTATTATTATTATTATTATTATTATTATTATTATTACACAAACCACGCACCCTCCAGTCCGTGGAAAAACCTCTCTCCACGGAACTGGTCCCTGGTGCCCAAAAAGGTTTGGGAGTTCTGGCTTAAAGGTCTCGCCTCTAAACCCAGGTTAGCTTGGGTACCCACCACCTCTGCAGGCTGGCGCATCAGAAGAAGATACCAGGTGAAACTTATGTGGCATGGAGTAAGGTCCACTCTAGGGACAGATGCTAAAGGATGACAACCCCACATTCAGGGCTCATGAAAGCTTTCACTAGCTCTTGGGGCAAAGGTCACCGGACCCAACGATGGGTCACCAAAGGACGTGGGGGCAGAGGTGGCTGGGCCATCGTTCGTTCATAGACAAAAAGCAGCAAAATGGTGTGGGCAACATTTAACAGACTACAGGTAGTCCTCCACTTCTGATCACAACTGAGTCCAACATTTCCGTTGCTAAGCGAGACAGTTGCTAAGTGAGTTTGGCCCCATTTTACGCCCTTTCTTGCCCCAATTGAGCAAATCGCTGCAGTCGTTCAGCTAGTAACAAGGTTGTTAAGTGAATCGGGCATCTCCATTGACTTTGCTTGTTAGAAGGTTGCAAAAGGGGATTACATGACCCCGTGGCCGTCATAAATAGAGGTCATTTGTCAAATATCCAAATTTTGATTTGGGGATCATGAGGATGCTGCAGGCAGCCATTAAGTGTCAAAAACGGTCATAAGTCACTTTTTTCAGTGTGGCTGGAACTTCAAACAATCCTTAAATGAATGGTTGTAAGTCGAGGGCTACCAGAATAAGAGAGTTGGAAGGGACCTCGGAGGTCATCTAGTCCAACCCTCTTCTCAGGCAGGAAACCCTATACATTTCAGACAAATAGTTAATAATAATAATAATAATAATAATAATAATAATAATAATAATAATAATAATAATAATAATAATAATAATAATAAAGTTGGAAGGGACCTTGGAGGTCATCTAGTCCAACCCCCTGCTCAGGCAGGAAACCCTACACCATTTCGGACAAATAGCTGTCCAGTCTCTTCTTGAAAACTTCCACTGTTGGAGCATTCACCGCTTCTGGAGGCAGGTTGTTCCACTGGTTAATTGTTCTAAAGTGTCAGGAAATTTCTCCTTAGTTCTAGGTTGCTTCTCTCCTTGATCAGTTTCCACCCATTGCTTCTTGTCCTGCCTTCAGGCGCCTTGGAAAACAGCTTGTCCAATCTCTTCTTGAAAACCTCCAGTGATAATAATAATGATAATAATGATAATAAAGTTGGAAGGGACCTTGGAGGTCATCTAGTCCAACCCCCTGCTCAAGTCCGGAGTCGTGCTTTTTGTGCTCAGCCGCCGTCCAGACATTTGGGAGCGAAAGCGGGACCAGCTGGCCGGATCCCTCCACGCCTTGATATCCGGGCTTTAAAAAGCCGCCACTAGATCGGGAGGCGGAGACGCCGACGCGCCCTAAATCCTGGGCAGAGCTGGCTGGGCGCCTGGCGGGGGGGGTGGGGGGTGGTGGCGGCAAAGGCGCCCCAGTTTTTGCACGAGTTTGCACTAAGTTCCCGCAGGAAGCCGGCTGGGTTTTCCACGGGGGCGTCCTACAAAAGCAGCCAAGCGGAGCCAAGACGGCTCGGCCGGTCGGCGCGCTCCCCTTTCCCGGTCCAAAGCAGCGAAGGGAATCCAATCCACTGAAGCCCCCCCATCCCACCCTTCCCCTCCCCGTCCCCGCGCCCCAATTCCCGGGCATCGCGCGCGCGCACTCGCCTCTCTGCAGCTCACCGGCGCTCCTCCGCTCCGCTCCTTCGGGACTGAAAGGGACCGAGCCGGGATCGCGGTGGCTGCCGCTGCCGATCGCCGAGCGGGCGAGGGCGCGGCTCTCTCTCTCTCTTTTTTTTTTTTTGCAAGTGCTATCGAGGCCCTCGGCTTTCCATTGGACGGCCTTGATGGGGAGGGGGGGGTGCAGGCAGCCGTGGGCGGGGCAGCCCCAGGGAGGGAGGAGGAGGAGGAGGAGGAAGGGGAGGAGGCGCCCAGAGGGTGTCCAGCGCGGCGGGAAGGTTTTTAATAATAATAATAATAATAATTTAATTTATAGGTTTGCAAAAATTTAATTTATAGGTTTGCAAAAATTTAATTTATAGGTTTGCAAAAAAAAAAGAAAAAACGCGCAGCGCCCGGACGGGAAGGTTTTGCAAAAAAAATAAAAAAAAAAATAAAAGGCGCAACGCCCAGCACGGCCGGAGAAGGAAAGAAAGAATCTTCCTCCTTCGCGAGATTCTGCCGGAGTTGGAAGATCCCAGCGCTTGGATCGCCGCAGAGCTTGCGCCCCGGACGGCGCAGCGCGCCTTGGGAAGCGCGCAGGAGCCCCAGCCCGGGAAGCCCTCGCCAAACGCTGGCAAAAGAGGCCCTTAACGGAAGGAAAGGGGACTTTGCTGCAAGGAGACCCGCGGATCCCGCGCGTCAGGAGCGACCGCGCAATTCGGGATCTTTGCCACCAGCGTGCTCCCTTTGCGCGTCGGAAGCAATCTGGAGCGTGGGTGAATTAGGGTGGCAGATTAAATAGGATCGTCCGCGGAAGGGCCGGGTATTCCAAATCTCCCTTGCCCGGATAAGAAGCTGGAGAGATACTTTGCATCTGGGAAGAGGGAGGGAGCGCCCGGAGTAGCTTGCGTAAGGTCGGAAGGCGACACGATCGTGGGAAAGGCACCAAGCGTGCCGTGGAAAAAAGGGTGGACTTGGGGTAGTAAAGCTCGGCTGGTTTCGAAATGGGAAATCCCCGCAAAAGATGCTGGGTCGACAGCGTTTTTCTACCCGGAACAAACAAACACGCGGGCAGTCCTGCACTGACTGGACAGCCATTTGTCCGAAATGGTATAGGGTTTCCTGCCTGAGCAGGGGGTTGGACTAGATGACCTCCAAGGTCCCTTCCAACTTTATTATTATTATTATTATTATTATTATTATTATTTATTATTATTATTATTATTATTATTATTATTATTATTATTATTATTATTATTATTATTATTATTATTATTATTATTATTCAGCTCAGTGAAGTCATGCCTGGGTTCCCAGGTGAATGTTCCATCTTGGCGCAGATGATCGAAGAATAATCTCCCACCCTTCTGCCCTCTTTTTCACCCCCCAAAAAAGATGTCTGGAATAAACGACCTCAGCCAGCACTTCACGTGTCATTCAGACAAAAAAGTTGAGACCCTTAGCGCTGACCAAAGGGGAGCCCTCCAGATCTGTTGGGACAACAACTCCCAACATCCCGGGCCAACAAACCCGATGGCTGGGAAAAAATGGGAATGGCAATCTGTGGAGTTAGGAGGGTGCCTGATGGAGAAGACAATACAAAACCCATCTTCCCCTCCCATCTCAGTTTCCAGCCCAACCACTGTCATCTTACCTGGGTCTCCAATCCACCCTTTTGGTTGCCTCCAGATCAGGGGTTTTCAAACTTGGCCCTTTTATGGCTTGTGGACTTCAACTCCCAGAATTCCTCAGCCAGGCACGTGTGCCTGGCTGAGGAATTCTGGGAGTTGAAGTCCACAAGCCATAAAAGGGCCAAGTTTGAAGACCCCTGCTCCAGATGTTCCTGTTCCTGCAGCACTTTCTCTGGTCTTGACAGATTCCAAACTGGGAGCCAGACTGCCTCTGATTGGCTGGTGAGAGGAGGAAGGGCGGGATGCAAAAGTTTTGATCCCTGCACCTATAAAATAAAGGTGTTGGCTGGTTCATGGGAGCGGGTGTGCCTAATTGTTTGTTGTGTGCTTGTGTGGGTGCTTTCACATGCTGAGTTAGCATCTGATCCTGGAGTTGTTCCATTCTTTCCTTTTTTTAACTTAACCAGTTTTGCTCACCAGCTCATAGAATAACTGGAGTAGCTTCATGGTATGTTTTGATTTCTAAAGGGCAGGAGTAGGCAACCTTGGCTCTTTTATGACTTGTGGACTTCAACTCCCAGAATTCCTGAGCCAGCCATGCTGAGGGGAAAGGGAGAGGTTTCTATGCTGAGCCATGCTCAGGAATTCTGGGAGTTGAAGTCCACGAGTCATAAAAGAGCCAAGGTTGCCTACCCCTGCAAAGGGGAAATGGATTGTGGTTAGAGCTAAGAACAGGGAGGGAGCATAAAGCTTGGTCAATTCTTTATTTTTATACCGACTTTTCTTTATTTAAAAAAAAACACCTCAAGGCAGCGAACATACCTAATACTCCTTCCTCCTCCTATTTTTCTCCCAACAACAATCCTGTGAGGTGAATCGGGCTAAGAAAGAGTAGCTGCCCAAAGTCACCCAGGGAACATTCATGCCTAAGGCAGGACTAGAACTCCCAGTCTCCTCGTGACTGGCCCAAAGTCACCCAGCTGGCTTTCAGGCCTAAGGTGGGACTAGAACTCCCAGTCTCCTGGTGATTGGCCCTAATCACCCAGCTGGCTTTCAGGCCTAAGGTGGGACTAGAACTCCCAGTCTCCTGGTGACTGGCCCAAAGTCACCCAGCTGGCTTTCATGTCTAAGGTAGAACTAGAACTCCTAGTCTCCTGGTGACTGGCCCAAAGTCACCCAGCTGGCTTTCATGCCTAAAGTGGGACTAGAACTCCCAGTCTCCTGGTGATTGGCCCTAAGTCACCCAGCTGGCTTTCATGCCTAAGGCCCGAAAATAAGCCCCAGTTAAGATCCTACCATATTTCCCCAAATATAAGCCCTAACCAGAAAATAAGCTCTACTACTACTTTTGGAGCAAAAATTAATATAAGTCCAACCTTATTTTCAGAGAAATACAGTATATAACTGAATTCATACACCTTGCTTCCACTTGTCCTTTTCTTCTTTTTTCCTTCCTCCTTTCCCAGCCCTAGAGCCTTCTCCAGATACCTAGATCTTTTTTTCAGTTGTCCAAAGTAGAATAATTTGAACCTGTTCATTTGTGTCTCTGATGTAACTTCTGGGTTGACCTCTTCAATGATTCATCGTTTTGCTTTCTTGGCTGTCCACGGCATTCCCGGGCGTCTTTTCCAACACCAAAGTTCAAAGGCGTCAACGCTTTTCATATCCTACTTCTTCAAAGTCCAACTTTCACTTTTGTAGCGTGCCACAGGGAATGCTGTGTCTTGAACAATTCTGATCTTTGTAGGCGCAAGCATATTCCTGGCTTCTGAACACCTTTTCCAAAGCCTTCACTGTGCCAAGGGCTAAGGTATGACAGATTTCTTGATTTCCTGGAGGCCCAAGTGTGTCACTTAGATGTGCTGGCCTCTTCTTGTTTGTAGACCCTGCTAGACTGGGGGGTGATGGGAGTTGTAGTCTAGCTCCTCCAGAGACTAGTGGAGGCGCTAGATGAGAGAATGCTTAGATGCAAAGTTGGGAATTCCAAACAGCAGAATTTTTGTGAAAAGATGAGAAGACACCGCAAAGATTTGTTGAGATCATCTCCATGGTATTTCTCCTCATGCTATTAATCTTAGTTCTCCATGAGGACTGCTGCGTTGCCCTTTTGAACTGATGTGCTGTACACTTCCAGAGCTTAATCCTTCTTATAATTCACCCACAATGTGCCAATCCTCATCTTGATCATTTTTAAGGTATCAAAAATGGGTTAGGTTGGTTTGTTTAGCTAGCAACAAACAGCCCCACCCATATGTCTGTGAGACATAGATCAGTTTTTATATTGACGGGAATGAAGTCCACACATCTTAAAAGTTTGAAAAACACTGTACTAGGCCAGGGGTAGGCAACCTTGGCTCTTTTATGACTCATGGACTTCAACTCGCAGAATTCCTGAGCCAGGATGGCTCAGCTTGGAAACCTCTCCCTTTTCCCTCAGCATGGCTAGCTCAGAAAAATTCTGGGAGTTGAAGTCCACAAATCATAAAAGAGCCAAGATTCCCCACCCCTGAACTATCCAATTAAGGCAGTGATTCTCAACCATGGCCCTTTTACGACATGTGGACTTCAACTCTCAGAATTCCTGAGCCAGCCATGGCTCAGCTTGGAAACCTCTCCTTTTCCCCTCAGCATGGCTGGCTCAGGAATTCTGGGAGTTGAAGTCCACGAGTCTTAAAAAAGCCAAGGTTGCCTACCCCTGACATAGACATTTGGCCTACTTTTGGGGGTATTTTCAGCAAAGGTTGGGAAAGAACAGGAGAACAGGACCACCTCAGTTGGGCTGTTCTAGGTTCTTGGCCCCACACGTTTTCAGGAGCCCTGGTGGCTCAGCATTGCAGGTAAACTCTGCCCACAGCCTGGAGTTTGATCCTGACCAGCTCAAAGTTGACTCGTCCTTCCTAGCCAGATTGTTGGAGCGGGCAATAGGCTGACATTGTAAATTGCCCAAAGAGCAATTATGGCATTATGGGGCAGTATATGAGTCTATAAGTATTATTGCTAAATGGGCCAGACAGAAAGCCGTAAACTGGGGGTTCAAAAGTGCTTTGATGAACATCCTCTGGGGACACAGAGAGGGAAGGGTGGAATGAAATGAAAGAGAAATCCGTTCAGAAATTCTGTGGGGCAGCATATCCTTTCCTCTCCCACACATCTTCTTTTTTTTATAATATTTTATTAATTTTCCAATTTTACATTTGAGTCTTTAAAAAGCAACGTGGTGACTGGGTTAATCAATAGCTCAATAATAAGATCTTTAGTGCAAATCTCAGGTTACAACATCAGATATTTCTTCTCTTTTTCCCTTAACGTTTACTATCTCGTATTCAAGTTAGTATATTTCTAATTATATCAACTCAATAAAAACATCATTATTACATTTATCAATAACTTTTTAGCTTATACATGTCTTAATTACATTCAATCTTCATAAACAATCCATATCTTGTTATTAAGTTTTACATAATTTTTAA